GGGGGGGTGAAAGGGAGGGTTATCCAGGATATCCAGGATAGAGAAGCAGCGAGGAACGAAGTGTAAGCTGGGAGATTGCTGGTCGTCGGCCGCAAACAGAAGGGGAGACAGGAAGGAAGCCCAAGGGCCCTAAGCACCTGCAGTCTTCACCTCCGGGAAGTTTCTTTGGTTGTTCTCGTCGATAGGGCCGTCGTCGAAGCATTAATGCTCCGGGACTGCGACCCCGGGTAACCATTTGCTCTGTGAGTAAGGATTAGAAGGGGACTCGTTGTTGACACCTTCCTCCCGAAGAACAAACGATAGCATTGCTCATGTTTACATTTATCCAAAAGAAAAGAGAGCGAACATGAACACATCTGTTTGTCATGGAACTCGTTCATTACAACCTCTGCAAAGGCCCAAAGCTCAGAACAGGACCATATGTCTGACGAAACGACCACCCCCAGGCGGCCTCTCCGCTGCTCCCATACCCCAGCGTGGAACCTGGCCCCGAGTGTTGCAAGCCTTCGTCTGCAGGTGGTCCAGTCTCTGTTCCTGTTGTGGTTTTCCCAATGCCAATTTCCCGTTCGTGATAAGTGATTATATCGCCTTGCGGGCTCTCCAAACGCCAAAATGATACCCGGTATATAACGCCCCTATGCTGGTTGCCAGAAAACGGTTTCCTCATCGGTGTCGCTCTTAACTTTCTTCTCTTGCTGTGAATTTTTGCCATCAGACCTTACGTCCCCAACGCTGTTCATGTTCTGAGCATTAAACACCAGGATAGACGGAAGTCGTATTTAGATCATGTCGGATGTAATCCATGGCCCCCGAGTGTGTGGTGCAGGAGAGTCCTTGAGTTTTTTCCGGTGGAAACAAAGCGTCTGTCCTGTGACCCAAATTTCTCCTCTTTGGTACACATCCCCTTGCAAAGGAGGCCCGTTCTGGTCTGCTGCGAACATGAATCTCGACCGCCGGGGTGGATGGACTTGGTCAAGGTGGAGGCCAGCAGCCAGCTCATCTCACATTGAGCAATAGCGATCGCGCGGCAACCAGGACCAAACGCCACTCTGCCTGGCATTGAGAAATCCATCCAAGAACAGTGTTCCGAGATCGTCGTCGGTAGGGTGGTTGCCAGGGGCGGCGGTCTTGCAGTGAGATAAATCCCTAAGAATGGTTCGCTGGGTCCGGGTCTGAATATCTCTATTTCCACGTCCAGCTTGCCGTCAATCCTTTTCCTCGGCTAGTCTCTCTTTTTCGACCTCTGAATTGCGACTGTAGAGGAATCATCAGCATCACACTACTTTCACATGCTGAATATGGTCTTCGAATCACTTTGGGTCTCAATTGATAGCTGCTCATATTCGCCTTGGCCTTGGTGTGTTCAAAAGAACTCCAATTCTGAGTAAGTATCTTCTTTCATTTCGAACGATCCGGAATTTAGGCCGGAGTTGTCGACAATCGCCGCATTGGCTGTCCGTTTCACTTCGAGGGCCCTGGTGCAGCTGTAGATATTCCCATTCAGTCGGTCCTCGTCATGCACGAACCATCGCTTCAAGTACTTGATCTCGACAAATGCAAGCTGTGTCATGAGTGTCTCGATGGCCGCAAGACTCCTATCCTCTGTGACTTGCTCCGCCGCCGTGAGAGGCCGCTCATGTTCCTTCTGTACATCGCAGAATAGCCGCAGTGACGTGGGAAGACTCTTACCCGCGTAGCGGTGTCTCAGCAGCGCGTCTGCCAACCCAGCCAGGTCGATGTCCTCTGTCTCGGACAAGAGGTTGATGCGCTCCAAGCTGGCAGGGAGCTTGTAAAGGCCATTGACCGGGCACCACAAAGAAGGGGCCTCGAGCCTCTGCAATAGCGGCCTGAAGAAGTACGTGCTCAATGCGTTGAGGGTAAGCTCCTTGAGGCACCTCAGTGGGGAGAAGTCGAACACATCATTCAACATCTCCACCTCGAGCCCAGCGCCGTCTTGGAAGGTTAGTCCCAGAGACACTAGATTTGGCTGCAAACGTGTGAGAAGCTCGATCCCTTGCAGGAGGAGACGATATTCTTCTTCTCCAGTGATGGGTCCGGCTTCATGACGAAACTGCAGAGAGATTTCAAACGAGTCCAGCGACTGAGGAGCACCAAGAATGGCGGCAAGCGTGGGCTCGTCGACCCAACACCTGAGAAGCTTGAGCTTCTTGAGAGCTGTCGAGTGCATGGGGATGGAGTCTAGCCAGAGGCCACGTAGGTCGGTGCTTTCGAGGGTCAAGTCGACAAGCCTCGAAGCGCGCAGCAGAGGCATAACTAGAGACTGTCGGAGTTTGGGCCGGAACATCCAGAGTCTTAAATAGCAGTATTGCAACTTGCTGAAATTGGCCAACTGAAAATGAGTCGCCAGGACGGCCTCCCATCTCTTAACCAGGCGTTTGCATCCAGCGTCATCCAGATAGGATTTTGGCCAAATGCACAGGCGTTCCAGGTTGGGGCAGAGAGAGGTAAGCGCGGCCATGTCTTGAAGATTTTCATCCACTTCTCGGATAAATCGGTAATCTGGCATAAGCTCCAGGTGCCGGACGTAGAGAGGTCGAAGTGCATCGCGACTCAGAAAACCCCGGATCCTGTCGTATTGCCCATAGGTGTGGACGGAGAGACATTTCCACCAGAGAGGATCACATAGATGGAATGCCTTCCGGCATGTTGCCCGAAAGGTTTCAACTCCATTGCCATAGATCTCTTCTTCGATACATCCCTCCGGGTTGTGAGGCGGTGGTAAGTATTTGACTATCTCTACCAAGACCTCGTCGGGCAGATCCAAGAGTACAAGTCTTTGGCCTTCTTTGTATCCCGCCATAGCTGCCAAGAGTCCCTACTCTGGGGGCACGTAGACGGCGGAGACACTCAGGGGTGGAGAAGGCAGAAAGCGAAAGTCAATGTTGACCGGACCCCGGGACGTTGGTCGTTGAGACAGAGCTAGAGATGGAGGCGGGGGCGGGGGCGGAGGACGACGACGGCCCTGCCAGTGCCAAGAAAAGATAGGATTTGCTGCTTTTACCGAGAGCGAGGTCAAGAAACACGAGCTCATTCTAGAAATACCTCGCCGTCCTAACGCTTTTTTGTCCTACCTTCTCAACCTCATTTCCAAGTTGACTTTGACAGTCTTCCCTTAAGACCTGATGGACGTCGGCCTAAATGCAAGATGGCGCGCGCCGGTGGCCTTGCGCTTGCACTCGAGCGCCATAACAAGCCATATGCCTGTCCATGGGTGATCAATGAGATACGATTCGCCACAGCCCAATCCACACGAGCATGATCTTCACCGAGCTGTGCTTGATCGATGCTCAGATCCTGCTACAGGACAGGTTCGGCCGAGAAGTGCGGCGTCGGATATACATGTGAGTGACGCTGCCATAAGGATTTCTTTAAGAAGCGATAGAGGCGAGTTGAACCCGATTCGGCCGAACTCCAAGGTTGGATGGAAGTTCATATGAGGGCGCATTGCCAGTGTAAGTCTGACCTATATAAAGCATGGCCGTCATGGACTCTATCCGATCTATCAAACAAAAAACATTGTGACAAAAAAACATTGGGGATTATATTCGTTTTGTTTAAGAATTCAACGAACCAAGCACGACCAGCACCATGTCCGGAACATTGGCGGTTGTCAGCCAATCTGGCAGTACCATCAGCTTCTTCGACCTTGCGTCGGGCGAAAGAACGGCATACATGACAGACCTCATCTCAGAACCGCATGAGCTCCTATTCGACAGCAAAAGAAATGTCATGTACTGCAGCCACGCCTACCATCATGGACACTTCTGGACGCATGGGGACAACCGCCATCAAATCTCTGTCATTGACCCGGACAAGAAAGAGGTGATTGATGTCATTGAAACAAAACCGGCACTCGGCCCTCATGGTCTCGTCCTCGATGCGGAACGGGATATTCTGTGGTCCAGCTATGAAGAGCACGAAACTGGCTCCAGCGGAGGAGTGATTGGGATCGACCTGGAGACCCGCAAGGTCATCAAGCAAGCCGAGAGCTCGACCAAGACGCATTGGTTCGTGGTGACACCTGACGGGAAAAAGGCCTTCACCTGCAACAAGACCGCGGATTTCATCTCCGTTCTTGACTTGTACAACGAACGGATGATAGGAAAGATCGAAACCCCCGGAGGGTCAGAAGAGTGTAGCATCTCGCTTGACGGAAAGCATGCCTACTTTCCGACCCCCGGCGCTTCACTAAGCAACATCCCAGAGAACCCCGAAGTTCTGGTCATTGACACTGCGACCGACAAGATTGTTGACAGGATCCCACTGGAACATCCGGCCCTGTCAACATATGTTGCCGGAGACGGCAAAATCCTCGTCGGCGAGTATCTCTCTGCCGAGGGCTCGGGCTTCGAGGGCCGGCTGGCCGTGTACGATTCGCAAACACACAAGCTTGTTGGCAAAACCAAGATTGGAAGTGTGCCATTGACTCTGCGTGCTTCTCCGGACGGCAAGCTTGGATTCACGGCGAATATCTTCGCTGGATCGGTGTCCGTGGTCAACATGTCAACGGTGGAAGTCATCAAGACGCTCGTGGTGGACACCGAGCGCAGCAAGTTCTCGAATTTGTGTCAAGGTGCTCATGGAATGGTTCATTTCCCCTGATGCTGGTTGTGCCAACGATACTGGAGCATGTCATCACCAAGGCCATTTTCTGTCGAAGTGTCAATCGATCTCAACTTGCTCTTGCGAAGTTGTCTTGATTTAGTGCACCCTGCAACGCCAGATATATATACAGATAGCCTTGAATATTCACTTCGCTCTCATACCTGATTTGTCGGTCTGCTTTTTATGATTTCCCACCAGCCATCTTGTTCACTGTCCCGCCAATCGCGCCGTCCTCTTTGAACATTCCTCCGATCATTCCATTTTGGTCCAAGGGACCTCCAATCTTTTGAGCTGTGCCACCAATAGCACCACTGAGGTTTGCCAAAGTTAGAGCGATGTCCAACTCGGAGGAGGTTGAGCTGATGAGGGATAGGGAGCCAGCGTGGGGACTCACTCTGCCGTGAACTGCTTCCCGACTGAGCCATCGGAGCTCAACATCGGAGCCTGTAGTGAGCGGAATTGCGTTGTCAGTGTTCCGGCCTATGATGTTTGGACGCGGAGACGTAGGCAGAAAGGAAGCATGGGTAGTCCAACAGAGACAAATGACTTGGGTGGGCGTAGTCACAACTCTTTACCATCTACTCACCTTGGCACCTGGAGCAGGATTATACTCCATGACAGGGTTATTGTGTGGATGTGCTTCCTTGGACTCGGGCCCTTGTCCTGTGAACTTGGAGGTGTCGGTTTGACCTTTCGCGATGTTGGGCGTCATCTTGCTCTGGAGTTTAGTAGGCGATGCTATAACAGGAGATTATAGTCAACGAATTCCTTTGGTTGGTATTGCCGTAGCAGTGTGTGTAAGATCTTGGATCGACTAGACCAACGTCCAGGATATTGTGTTTAATATATTGGATAGCAATACGTTCAGTGACACACGATGATGAAACTCTGCTTCTGTCAATGATCAACTCACCGAGTTGCCCTTTGCATTCCGAAACTGTTGATATTGCGTCATTAAGTGCAAAGAAGTCTGGCTCACCATCACCGAACAGTCCAGACAGACGCAGATCATACAGAGAGTGAAGAGTGGATGAGGGAGATAAATGAGCGTCATAGCATAACGCTGGGCGATGGATGGAAGACCCTACCGCCTTCCCACAGCCAATCATCAACTGGTTGATGGCCATGTATTTACATGTATGCCGAAGGGAGTAGTTACTGCAGTTGGGCATCTCCTCCAACTATTACCTAGCGAAGCAGACGACTCAAAAGAAACGACACGACATGACACGACACATGAACTCGCAACAATTGTTCGAATTGGACTTTTAGCATCGTGCATCAGCCTTTGATTCCGGCAGTGTTATGTCTGTGTTTTCAATGACGGTGAATGGTCTCGCCGCTCTATTTCCTGACCCCTAGAAGCGCGATTCATCTGCCCAAGCACACCTCTGCTTGGCATGGAAGACTGCTTCGACCATGTTTGCTCCGAGTCACAGCAAGGTAGGATCTCAGCGCAACCACTTAGCAGATAGCATGGGTCTTCCCATGCTTGCCCTGAAGAGAATGCTTCTCATCTTTGTAGGTACTGGCATTGTGACCACTCCTCCCGGTCTTGGTGTGATGCTTCTTCACGTGTCTGCCAATCACGGTTAGTACGCCTGCAAAGAGAAGAACAAGAAACAGGGGAACAGCGTGCAACGTACTCTTGGTAACGCTCCATTGTCTTTTTGTCCATCTCTCCGAGCACTTGCAACGCCATCTTGACATCAGCGACCAAAGAATCGCAGCGTTGCTTGCTAAAGTCCTCACGGACCACAACACGCATCAATTTGAGGCCCTCGCTATGGGGGGCCATTGTGTAGGCAGGGACAACCCAGCCACGTTCTCGAAGCTGGTGGGCAATGGCGAATTCGTCAAACATCTGTTCATTGTCGGGGTCGAGACGGAATGCAACCACAGGAAGTGATCGGCCACCGCCAGGCGACATGATGATGAAGCCTAGCGCTCTCAGCTGCGCAGCCAGGTAGTCAGACGTGCGGGTGAGATTGAGCATGATGCTGCGGTAACCTCTCTTGCCAAGTCGGATCATTTGATAGTACTGGCCGATGACGTGGCTAGCTCCTTTGCTGAAGTTCAAGGTAAAGGAAGCTTGGTCAGCGCCGAGATAGTTGATGTTGAAGACCAGTTCTTTGGGCAAGTACTCAGGTGATCTCCAGACAACCCAGCCGACACCAGGGTAGACCAGACCATACTTGTGACCCGAGACATTGATGCTGACAACCTTGGGCAGTCGGAAGTCCCAGACCAAGTTGGGATTGACAAAAGGAGCAACAAAGCCGCCAGACGCTGCATCCACGTGGATTGGGCAGTCAATGTCTCTCTCGACCAGAAGGTCGTTGATCATCTGGGTATCTTCGTACTCGCCGGTATAGGTCAGGCCGAGAATGGTACAGATACCGATAGTGTTCTCATCGACCAACTCGACAGCCTCCTCCGGGTCAATAACATAGCGGTCCTCGGTGCAGTACACATATTTCTCCTCAACGTCAAAGTAGCGAGCCGCCTTCTCCCAGCACACCTGGACGGCACTGTTCATCACGATGTTGGGTTTTGAGAAATCCTTTCCTTCGGCTTTGCGCTTGTTTGCCCACTTCTTCTTCATGGCCAGGACAGCAAGCATGATGGCCTCACTTGACCCAATTGTGGAGGTTCCCATTGCGTTTTTCCCATCCTCAGCCTCCGGGGCGTTATAGAGACGGGCAATCATATTGACGCAACGGTTCTGAATCTCGGCCGACTGGGGGTATTCTTCGTAGTCAATGAAGTTCTTGGAGAATGCATCGGTCATGAGCTTCTCGGCTTCCTCTTCCTGGACGCGGATTGTAAGTCAGCACTTGAGTTTGTGGAAGGTGGCCGTTTGCAACGTACCATGAATGTGGTGACAAAGCTTGCCAGGCTGTTTACGGAGTCTTGTCAGCTTCAACGTAGGTGTTTCGAGGGCTTGGACTCACTTCAGCATAGGATTGCCGTCAAGACTGAGCTCATCTTTGATCATACGATACGCAATCTCTTTTGGCATCTCTTTCTCAGGGATCTCGTGTGATGGAAGATCCTCTGCAGCGAAGCGGGAGCCATAGACGGAGGTGGAGAACTCATCTTCCCCGGGAGGCTCAAGAGAGATATGCTCGAGACCAGGAACCACCGAAGCCCGGCGTCTTGGAGCCCCAAATTCACTGCTCTCGCCCTTGTGAGGGTCTTTCGTCACCTGGGCTAAGTGAACCATGTTGACCGTTCGATTTTCAGAAGGGACAAAGTCTCAAATGGAACAAGGTAATGTGGAGGTCGAGGAAGGGAAAGGAAGTGATCGAAGGAAAGTTGAACAGGTTATGACTGGCAGCCCAACGTCCGACAGCAGGCAAGGCGGTGAGGAAGAAGAAAGAAGAAAAGAAGAAAAGACAAGGAGGATTGACGCGTGGAAAGGGTACTCGAGCTGTGCAGGATCCTGTTCTGGTAGCAGGGAGTGACAGCTCAAGTGAGCTGCAAGTGACAGCGAGATGATTGGGTGAGCAAGGAGCTCATGCTCTCATTACATTCCTGGATTGTCGTCAGGGCATGACGAAGCTTCAGGGAAGTTCGGGCGGTGGTCACTGCATCCACTGCAGATGACTGAGAGAGGGATTGGATGATGAGAGCAAGTTTCAGCGATTGAGGTGACAATTGGATGGAAAGGTTGGTGTGCATGGTGGGGGACTTCCTCGTAGGCAGGTATGTATGAGGGGCAGCACAGCAGGACCGCACAGCCCACGAGCCAACAAGCTCTTTCTCAGCACAACCAGGTACTGTTAGGGGTGGTTAGGCTATTGGGCTCTCTGACCAAGTCCCCAAAGTGCCCAGAGAGTTGACCAGTGGCACTAATATCTTCTCAGGGGCTAGCCTGCTAATTGGGTGTCTCCTAATTGATTGGCCTTGAAATGTCTGGGACAACACCAAACTTCTCCCCCTCCTCGTCCCGCAACCCTCTTTTCCACTACTGGACAATCAATCAGGCCTAATGATTCCACAGATTATCCTCAACCACAGCTACTCCCACGGGATCTAGCGAGCTTGACATTGCTTGGTTGTTCTTCCCGCCTCCGGCCCTTACGCGGATGCAGTAGCTCCTAGCGACTACCTTCCGATCCAGGTTTTTGGTTCGCTTGATTTCTTGCACCTTGGGCTGTTGTGCTGCCACTCCTGCTTCTGCCATGTTTCCTAGACCCAGCGATCAAGATTGATAGGGCAGGGTCCAAAGGTGAGGCAGAGTCTGAACACTGAACACTGCAGTGATCGGCCAATGAGCTCCGATGCGGTCCAATCCATCTACGATTCATTTGTGTGAAGTAGCTAACCAAGTGGTACAGTACCTAGTTACAAACCCCTCGGAACGCCAGGAAAAATCATGCCCTTCCTTATGCAGCAGCACCCACCCAGACTTGCCTCACGACATTTTCCGCCTCGATTTTGCGCTGCTCTTTGAGGCCGCCAGATCCAGATTGTGGCCGACGTATGGCGTGGACATCATTCAGGGAAGCTCGTTCCACGGAATATGCAGGTCCAAGATGATGATACTTGTCAGCTCCCGGCGTCCCGTACATCCGTCCCAGTCTGGCCCGAATATCTTCTCGCCTCTGACTTTCCAGCCTAAGTGCGGTTTCACTTGGGCTAGTAGTGAGCTTGAGGTCCTCTTGCGCCGCTTCGAGGCTCTTCTCGGCGAATGGCAATTTTTGTTTCAGCGAGAGACGTCTGCCCAAAGGCCAACTAAACTTCCGGGTCAGGCGACTGATAGGTCCGAGAGACATGAGATCGAGCTCCTCACAGTCCTTGTCTACGGGGATGCCTGGTCCAATGTTCAGCAGGACTGAGATTTCGACATCTGTTCCGTAGATGCGGAGTGCTTCATCGAGTGCCAATGAGGAAATCGGGTGCGACTGCGGGAATATCTCGTCGAAGAAGACAGTGTCTCCGATTTTGTACGGCTTCAAGAAGAATTTGGCGGCGCCAGTAGCACAAAAGACTTCTGGAACCTGACAGCTTTCTGGGTTCGGACTCCCCATCAACCTGTCTTTTGGGTTCCCTTCGACATCATAAGACCTGAACAACGCATATGTTGGAGCCTGTTTTTCTCCCCGTGGAACTACGCCAGCAGCAAATCTGGCTATGGTCAGGAATTGTGCATTGATCAGAGGAGGGTACGCACGCGTATTTGCATCTGCTGCCTTTGGGACGTCTTCCCAGGCCTGAAGTGCCTCCCTTTCGTGCCATGAGAGACGGATCAAGGCCATATCGCTGGAGCGTTTCTTCAACGACAGTCATGAGCCGGTCCTGATCCAACTTGAATGGGCGATTCCTCCTCGAGGACGACTGACTCATATTGATGTCGGTTTTCGTCGCGATCTCCATATAAAATGCCGTGCAAGTGGTGATATCGAGACAGTATCGTCCAAGCAACAGCGCAATCCAGCTAATACCTCGTTAGAGAAGCACTCTCACGCCTCGACCTCACTTACCCCCCCGTGCCAACACCGGCAATGATGTCGAACAACTCGTGCGGTGCAGGAGGCCGATCAGCTCCATTTTGATTGGCAATAGCCCTACAGACTGCGTTCAGACTGCTCAATGTCGCCAGTGCTTGGAGGCCCCCGCCGTCTGCTTAAGTCAGTGGATTTCAAGGCACGAATGTCGACAACGATATCAAATGTCTGCACATACCTAAGGTCAGTATCTTCAGCGGCTGCTGTTGACTCATTCTGTTGATATCGCTGTGTGGCAGAAATTTGGTAAGAAAGTATGGAACAGAGGTTCCAGAAGAATGAAGAACCGCTTTTCTTCAGATATGTCTTCGCCACACCTTTAAGGCTGAGTTCTGAGCAGGTTGAGACTTTGCTCAGCCGAAGAGGCAGCCAAGGACCTGTCACTGCCGGAGCGTGCGTGACATCTGCACTCGCAAGTGGTGTGAAGTCGCCTAGGTTTCAGAAAATGACCAAAAACATCGTTTGATGCGTGAATATCTCTGTGCGCAGCCACGTTCCATTGTGTCATGGCCAGCAAGAGCCCCCAAAGTGCATCGCCCGGTTGCCTAGTCCTGTCTCGAAATCCAGCCTTACGCCCGCCTGGCCCGGTACTGACCTATCAAACCCAGTCTTGCTGTGCAACCGGTGAAATCAGCCTGGGAACCTTTGCAATGGCCCCAACCTACGCTCTCACGGATGGGCTTTCTTTGCTGCCTTAAATATGAGGTGAGTCCGCCTTTGTTACTGCGATACAAAACTTCAGCCTATATCGGAAACTATAATTTCAACAGAGAACACCTTTGCTCAGAGCCTGACCGTTTACCTTCATCTTAGCGAACAACCAGATCTATACGAGCAGTCAAATTGCGCTGCAGCCATGGGGCCGCCGACCGTTGAAGGAGCAGGGTCGCGGTCTTCGTGGCCCATTGCAATGCTGTCACTTGGTACCACAATGTTCCAACTTTTAACCTAAAGTGATGGGGCTAACCGTTTCCTCAGATGGTGGTGGTGTGCGCGGCCTCTCTTCTCTCCTGATCTTGAGATACCTTCTGGTTCTTGTGACTCAGGTGTTGGTCGAGAATGGAAAGCTACCGGCCGGACATCGCATGGTCAAACCACAAGATCTCTTTGACATTGCCGTCGGTACCAGCACGGGTGGACTAATCGTCCTCATGATGGCCAAATTGGACATGTCCTTGGACGAATGCATAGAACAGTACAAGAAGCTGTCGAGAGACATCTTTGCAAAGCAGCGTCCAATTCTCAAGCGAGTCTTCGGCTCTGATCTGTCGAAATATTCGGGCAAGAGGCTCGAAACAGCCGTTGAGGATTTGTTGAAGTCCAGCAATCAACCAGTCGACCTGGAGATGCGGTCGGCCACTCAGCAGAATAACATGAGAGGCACCGTCCTCTGCCACGAGATGCCACTCCGGAACGATGTTTTCTTTTGCACGGATGAATGCCAGGGACCGTATAGACACCATATGCTGAGGCACGATCTCAAAGTACGGCATGCTGCACGAGCGACTTCTGCAGCTCCCTCATATTTTGAAGAGATGATTATCGAAGAGAGAGCTTTTGTGGACGGTGGTTATGGCAAGACCAACAATCCTTCGTGGGAAAGTCGAATCCACTATGAAGCGAATCACGAGGTTGCCACCACCAGACAGCTCGTCATGATCAACATCGGAACCGGGACGCTACCGCAGAACGCTGATATTCCGCGGCTCCAGAAGCACCCGTGGTGGACGAGACTCTTGCCAAAGAGCCTAGTGACAATGTCTCATCTTTTGGCAGACCTTGTCAAAATGGCCACGAACTCTGAGGATGTAGCAAGTCAGTTGGAGTATCTATCGGAAGATAACCCCGAACGACTTTTCTACAAGCGATTCAGCGCCGACACAGGCATCCATGACATCAAATTGGACGACTGGCAGGCCGTGGTGGGCGCCAACGGTCCGAGTGTCATCGAGACGAGGACAGAAGCCTATCTCAACGACGCAGCCGTCCGCAGCAAGTTGAGACAAGCAGCGACAAAGCTGGCAGAAGTCTATGTTCAACGTCAAGAACACGTCGACGCACCCTCCTCGACAAATGAAGTGAACATCCAGGAAGATATCAACGTCTCTGTTGTCTCGGTCGTGCCCATCCCGTTGAATGTTGCTCATGCAGTACCAAGCCTGGTGACAGGATCTGAATTGACGCGGTCCCCTGGTCCTTCCCCACCACGGACTCCAGATGTACAAATAGGCCAAGGATCAACAGGACAGCCAGTGGATGTTGCCCAGAACAAGGAAATCCTGCAAGGCCAAGGGGGACAGTTTGAACAGACGATTCCTGGCCATGGCAACTGCGACGCACCTACCTCGCCACCTATATCTATCACTGTCTGACACATTACCTTTACCACTACCATACCGCCTACATCCAGTATCTGACGCCTAGCGCCCGCAACGGGGTCTCCTAGATGAAGGATGCCGCCAAGATGACACTGTAACAGTGACGACTGCGATTTGCAGATATACAGCAAGGTCCAGTGCCAGAATGGCTGGAACTCACCGCGTCTAACTCCAACCCTACCTAGGTAGATTAAGCTGCTGCTTCTTCTGAACCGACACCTGTAGCATTCGAATTGGTTGACTAACGCCGACTGCGGTACGTCCCCATCCGGTGCCTGACCAACGGAGGAGGGAGTTCGATGTTTTCGGGGGTCGTTGTTGAGTGTAGGATAGTCGTTGGTAAGGACGGGTGCTCGTTGTTGAGTATGGACTCTCTCATAGTTCAAGGTTGGGTATTCAATACCTGTACCCTCGTAGGCGGTCGAGTCCTCCCCAGCACCCAATGGTTTCGGAAAAATATTAATGCGCAATGTCCATCTCAACCTCCTCGCGTCGCCTTTTTCTCCCTCTCGTCTTTCTCGTCTCTACCTCGTCCTCTTTATTTTTATCTCCTAAAATCTCCCTGCAACCCCGCCGCGCAAAATGGCCTTTGCCCATGCATCGTCGCATCATCACCGGCTGAATCGGGCACATCATGCGACCGACCTGGCCTCGGTTCCAGCTCGAGTTGCGCCCACCGCCTCTTGCCCAGGCGAATGAAAGCAGGATGTGGCGTAGCCCCATACGACCTGCAAACGCTCGTCCGACCGTCTCGGGGCACCAACCCCAGCCTCCACGTTCACCCTCCTGTCCGTTCTGTGGGGAAATGGCCCTCACCAGCCTTGACCATGTCCATAGAGGATGGCTGACCGTTCGTATACACCCAGCTCTTTTTGGCATCGCCGTGGCTACTACCTCCTCTCCTTTCTCCTCCACGGTTCCACTCAGCTCCACGCTCCACCTCCACGTATTGCCCGATGGAAATCCTCGAAGCTAAATCAATCCTGCCTGGTTGTTGCCATTCGAGCTAACAGGCCAGCCATTGGGAGAGGCGCCAATGATGCCCTTGCGGGGTCGTTCCAGTCAGCCATTCCTAATGTCCTACGGGGACCATCAAATCCGAGCAGTTGCAGAACGCCATGTCTCTCCTCCATTGGCTTTCCTCCATGCTCACAGGAGCTCAATTGACCCTCGCCGACCCTGGCTCTGGGCCGTGCACTCCTCTGATCCTGGATGACATTGAGCCACGCGACGTCTAGTCCGTCCCGCTAAAGAAAAAGTAAATGGAATTATTTCTGTGACCGATGCATCGGATGCATTCGAGATGCCTGCCTTGCGCAGCAAAAGGGGTCGGCAGTTTAACCCTGACCAGTTAGCATTCATTCCTTTCACATTGTCCACATCACAAAGCTGGGCTCCAGCTAGGGTCTGCATCAATGTCCTAGCCCCACGTCCTGTCATCACCCATGGTGCCCTTGAAGATGGAGGGTGCAGGCGAGGGCCAGAAGATCGTATGAAATCAAATAAAGAGGGTGGAAGCTGCTGTGGCCTGATCTCCGTCGGCCACGGTTGAAATAGCTGCCCCTGCTCCGGTTCGAAGCCCTTCCAATCCTGCCGTGTTGTCTAATTTTTGTTTTGTGACTGATCTGCGAGAGAAACACACGTCCAAGATGGCGGCTGAACTTCAACACACTCCTACCTCCACGGAGAGGGACATGATCGAGGAGAAGCCAGGCTTGTCGCACACCATGTCTTCAGGCGCGATCTCTATCAGTCCAGAACTTTTCGAAAAGGTGCGCATACAGTCTCACGGCTCTGCCGAAGCGCATCATCCCTGCTTCAAGCTCGGAACACTAATACCACTCGACCTGAACAGCTCTACCTTACTCCCAAAGTTCCCCATCCCGGCGACAACATCAAGAAATTCGCCAACCCGACTCCTCTCGGTTTTGTTGGGTATGCTCTGCAAGTATCACCTTGTGGACTGGAATACTGATGAGTGGATAGCTTCGTGATCTCCACCATGACCTTTGCCATGGTCATGATGGGCTGGGGTGGCGCCAGCGGCCTCTCACCTGTGGTGTAAGAACCTCCATAATCCAGCCATCGCTCCAAAATTTGCCCTACAAGGCTGTGCTTGCTAACGTTTGGTATACAGCGGTATCTTCTTCTTCGTCGGCCCGGTCCTCCTCATCTTGACAGTAATCTTCGAATGGATCATGTATGTCACTTGAAAGTCCTTCTCCAGTGGTGTGGAAATTTTCCTCACCGCGTCCCCGATCCCATTATTTGTCTGATCCTGACGTCGAACAAGGGGCAACTTCTTCTCCATGATGGTTTGCGGTCTCTTTGCTGTCTTCTGGCTCTCCTTCGGCATGCTCCAGCTGCCCACGCTCGGTCTCGCGACGCCGTACTCGCCCAGTGGAACCAACGCCGTGGTTGGATCAGCCTCAAAGGAGTACAACGCTGTCATCGCCCTGTACTTGATTGTATGGGGATTCGCGTTGTTTACCTTTTTCATCTTTACGCTCAAGACGAATCTTGTGTTTGCGCTCATCTTTTTGTTCGTTACTCTCGGCGCGTGGGTCTTGAGCGCTGCCTACTGGAAAGTCAGCACCGGAGATTATGTTAATGCTGGACATTTGCAAAAGGTCAGTTCGTCCTTTGCCCCCGATCAAAAGGTGCCGTGACTTCTTTGCCTAGAACGCATCTGTTGCGATCGTTGGCTATTCGAAAATCGTCTGTGTTCTGGTGGTGCAACGGGACGCTAACATTGGGAAATCGAAACAGACTGGCGGGGCTCTGCTCTTTGTGGTCGGCTGTCTGGGCTGGTATATGACTTTTGTCATGATGGCCGCCGAGATGCGTCTCGCCATCAAACTGCCCGTGGGCGACCTGAGCCACTTCTGGCCGAGGACGGACGTGGAGATGGGCCGGGCCGAGAAGCAGGCCTAAGCAAAGCCCCTTTGCGAGTTACAAGCCCGAGGTCCAGCTTCGGGCAGGCCTCGCCACCGTCGTCGTCGACTACCATGTCACAAATCCAAGTTGCCATCGATATCTCGATTTGTTGTGGACGAAGGACTTTATTGGCGGAAGTCGACTTGAGAGAAGTCATGCAGAATAATTGTCAACCTAATTGCATGGGTACCTAGTTCCTAGGGTCGATAGCAGTGTCTAGGTCATGTGTCTTCGCTAGCCATTCACCCCCTTTTTCCAGTAAGTAACGAAGAAAGGTCAAAAGTACATTGAGCGAAGCGCTGTTTGACGTGTGATAATCCATGTTTTTGGCCCCCCCACAACCCCGGATCACCCCATTACTGTCGTTGATTGATACCACATGCATGACCATTCATGAATCCATTATTTCCAAGACCCGACATGGCGGCGGGTGCCAAGTGCCGTGTGCAGTGCACCAAATGCTAGATAGAGATTTGGCCAAAGAAGCATCAATTCTTCGAGGCCAGCTGCGTGTACCGCTTCTCGAGCCACTCCCTCGCCGTGTAGACTTTGCCGTCATCGATGCCGTCCGAGAACTTGCCCGCTACTTTGACACGGTCCTGTTGTTTGGCAACGTCGTCGAATCTCCCCACGGGCTTCATCGGGCTGTGGTGCGTGGGGCGGACAAAGTAGACGACGCTGATGCGTTCCATGCCAGCTTGCGCGCCGGGGGATGGCACGACGCGGTGTTTGGCGCTTTTGAGAGAGCCGTTGGAGAAATGCACCATGGCGTCGCCCAGGTTGATGATGGCCTTGCCCGGCAAGGGTTTGACGTACTCCCACTCGCCGACGCGGCCGGGGGTGCGCGACTCGATCTGCAGCCCGCCGAGCCAGTTGAAGAGGATGGTGACGCTGCCAAAGTCGGTGTGGGAGGGGAGGCCCAGGATGTCGGTCTTTGCTGGGTCGGAAGGAGGCTTGAGTGTCAGGCGGATGTGGTCACCGGATGATTCCTCGAAGCGGTTGAGGTTGACGAAGATGTCCTCGTCTTCTTCGCCAAACGCTCGTGCCAGTGTGCGCAGGATCGTCATGGCCATCTCATGCGCACCCTTGCAGAATGCCTCTAGGAGTGGTCTCGCATCCTGGATGATTTCGGGATATGTGCGGCTTGGGGACACGCCAAAGAGACAGTCCTTGCCGATGTTGAAGAACTCGGTGCTGTCCGGACGCTGCGACTTGTCGGTCAACTTGACAGTGCCCGCGGGCTTGTACCCGAAGAACGAGCCCGTCTTGCGGAAATCGTACTTGTCCTTCTCCTCGAAGGGCAGAGTCAGTGCCTTCTTGCTGAGGTCGTGGAGCTGCTCCGCCTCGGTGAGGAGTTCGCGACCCGGTTCCGAGTCGGCCATGTCGAGATAGAAGAATCCGTAGGTCTGGCATGCTTGTAAGACTGCAGCTGTGGATGCAGGGTCCTTTTCCAGGAGTGCTTTGGAGGAGATTTCAGCGATTGGCGCGTGGACTAGGTCGGTTGGGAAGGGTGGAATGGTGGAATGGAGTCGAGTCGTCATTGTGCTGGTTGTTGTGGCCGACATGGTGGCGGTGGAATATGAGTAGGTTATATATATGGAAAGAAAAGTGAAGATAGTGAAGGTTGTCTCTTTCTCAGTGAAAACAGTCGACTCTTGTGTCACCTTCAGTTAATATGTCTTGGTCGGAAGCGGGCCCCTTCAATACCTAGGTATATGTATTCCCACAAGAGGTGGTGCTTCTCCACAAAGTCTGACTAGCTCCCCTCTCCAGACTGTCGGTTCCACGGGAAATCCGCTGTTGGCACTGATTGTGCCGAGCACTTGTGTCTTCTCATCCAGCGCCACCTGTGTGGCCGACCTGCAATCGCCGCCCGCTCTGCATCACCCGCTTGAGGACGTGCGTCCTCGCTCTACCCAGCGTGAAGACAAGCGGTAGAGAGCTCAAGGCCGGAGCGGCTATACCGTGGTGAAGGGATTCGTGGAGCGTGAGTTGGGCAGGTGGGGTAAGTCTGACTGGTAAATACCCGGTACTGGGCGATGATGGTCAGACTCTGAGTTTGCAAGAGTGAGCGAGTGAGATACTGCTTTGTGACGGGACCTTCCGAGTAAGGAAACACGCGCATATACTACCTACCCAGCACCCTTACCAGTGTAGCTGAGGAGATCCCATCAGAAAAGTCGGAAAGGTCCGAAAAGTGGCCAGACGGATCGTCTAGGCGCAGAAGGGTTCAGGGAGAGCTTCAATTGACGATGATAGAGCCACACGCTGTTTAGTGGAGGCCTGGGAACAGACTCCGCAGGCAGTATGATTTCAGAAGAGAAGAGATTTTGACAGCAGCAAGTACGAGGTCCTATTGTAATCCTTTTATCTGCCTTTCGCTGCATAGCTCCGTGCACGCTGGTGCTCTATGGCTTCCCTCTTCTGCATTGGTCTTCTTTCTTCTGATTAAGCATTAATTTCATTGGTCTTTTGCACTTCAGACAATTCGTTGTGTCCATGACAGCCACCCTGTACTCCGAGTTCATGTCCATTGCTATCCACATTTCATTCTTCAGTCAGCCGCCGGGAGTCGTCTCTCGCTGTCGTTGCAGCCACGCTGGATGCGTCGCAATGCAAGGTCATGGTTGACGTGCTCACGCAACGGCTGTGGTGACATTCGCAATGATCACTTCACCGTCATCGGATACACAATCTGCGTTTCCCATGTCACATTGGTAGTAGTCGGTGGCGGGATACGTCAGATTGAAATCGGAGTATTTGGTGAGGATGTTGTATGGGGCTTGACCAACGCTGTTTCAGTCAGACCCGTGACCTGGAAATGAAATTCTGACGACGACCTCGCTTCACATACCTGTTGTCAATGTACTGGTGGCCCAACCGCAATGAGAGATTTCCAACTCCATTCCACGAGGTGACGAGGACGTCGAAGGTGCTGTTGTCGCAGGTGTTCGCCGCAGAGGTAGGCGGGCTCAAGCCCACGGCCCATTCAACACAGCAGTGAGTGGAACCAACTTCAGGGGTATCTTCGTCACAGAAGTCGACTGTTATTCGTCAGAAGTGGACAACAGCTAGATTGCGCGGAGTGTGAGACGTTATAGGTCTCAACTCACATTGGACATAGGTGCTCTGAGTCGACGTGGGATCTGCTTGAAAGGGAGAGGAGACAACAACGTTGGTGAGCTCAAAGTTGCCGGAGAATGCTGACGCAGCGGAAGAAAGAAGGGCGATGAAGGCGATGAAGGCGAGAAAAGCGAAGAAGGAAGCCATCACTGTGATGATGAGGAGGTGCAGCAAGCGTGATCGTCGAAAACGGGAGGAGTGGCAACACCGAGCAAGGAAAGTGTAAATGTGTCCCGTCAATCTCCAAGCAAGAGCACAGTGCTGAGTGATGAGGTTGAGATTGATGTTGAGGTGAGATGAAGGAAGAGTGAAAGTGAGGTGAGTGGAAGTCAGGGTTTTATAGCCTGCTCCTTCCACACCGTAACCCAGAGGTCAAACAGCAATGCTTCTCACCAGCCTTTTCTCTTCGTCTTGTCCTGTGAAAGCAGCCAGCAGAAGCTGGATCTGGACACAAACACCAATGGTTTGCATGTATGCACTTGCTTGGCGGTTGTTGATAGACAAGCGCACCCTTCTATTGAACAGCACGCACCTTGTTGTACCGAAACAGCCTCCTTCCAGAATGCTACCCAGCGGAATTGCAACTGAGACATTCCAGAAGACAGTCAGCCAGTTCTTCAATATGGATCTTCGGCGGTGTGTGCTCTACAAGGGGAGGAAGCGCAGGAGTCGCATGAGTCTTGGAGTGCCCCTTGCATGCTGTTTGCCCGTGATGCCACACCCAGCCCACCGCTTATCTGGTCCTCCTGCACACACATGGGGTTGGAGACTGTTGGACGAGCGCCAGCTGCTCGGAAATTTTTGTGAAGCTGCCAGAAATAGCTTCCCGAGTGACACAAACCCAGCAGAGCGTGACGGAACAAGGACCAAGTGTACCAATACCAAGGCCCGGATTCTGGACCCGACTGCAGCAGAGTCCCTGATCGGGTCGGAAGGTTGCATCACTCAACAGGAGGATTCCGGATGAAAAGGAGTACCGTTCTCTCCAGAAGTCAGTGACGATGTTGGAGTGCGGTCAAGGATTGCTGTGGCTGGGGTTCAGATTGCCCTTGCGGTGAGGCTCCTTTCTAGACCATTCTGTGGCTGCTGCGAGGCAACGACAGGAGACAGGACTCAATGCGCAGTGCAGATAGATGTGCATGGGCACAGACATGCGGATTCCAGGTACCTGCAAAACGGAAGGGAGAGACAACCAAGCACAACAATAGAACTAGAACAGCCCTGGACTCTCATCAGTGGGTAGATGAATCCGAAGTTCGTCAAGAGCGGGACGAAGCTAGGAGTTGCAGCGCATGGCACACCTGGTCATGTAGCACTCTTCATCTCCTGCTTGCTTGTCCCACGTCGCCATAGTCACCGCTTTCATCACACTGCATGAGGGACAGCCACAAAGAAAGCCACTCACAATTGAACGGTGAAGGAAACAAGGTGGAATTTTCACTTTATGCCATTTGATTGCTCGCAAGTCCACTATCAGTGGGCTTTCCATGTCCCAATTGTGGCACTGTTGCACCAGGTGTAAAACCCAGCCATGCCGATTGTGCTTTTTTCGCGCTTCTTGAAGAATTTCTCCTGCCTCTGCGAATTCTGGTCAAGCGTCATTCCACCACCGTAATCGCCACAGAAATCTCACCACAGTGACAGCCAGGATCGCTTAACCCTTCTTCTTGCTGACACCAACCGTACGTCCTCTTCGGCCGGTGGTCTTGGAGTGTTGACCTCTGACACGGAGACCCCAGTAGTGACGGAGACCACGGTGTGCTCGGATCTTCTTGAGACGTTCCAAATCCTCACGCAGCTTGCTTTCCATACCGTTTGCCAGCACTTGCGAGTCCTTGCCGTCCACAATGTCGCGCTGTCTGTTCAAGAACCATGATGGAATCTTGTATTGCGTAGGGTTTTGGATGATGGTGACAATTCGCTCGAGTTCTTCGGAGGTGATTTCACCAGCACTGTCGTGTATTGATTAGTCCCCGCTCTTTGCAACCTTGATATTTTCCATAATGTGTTCGTACCGCTTGTTCAAGTCGACGTCGGCTTTCTTGCAGACGAGGTTGGAGTAGCGTCGTCCGACACCCTTGATTCGGGTCAGGGCGTACATGATTTTCTGCTTGCCATCGACGTTGGTGTTGAGAAGACGGAGGATGAACTGGACTGTGGTAATCATTAGAGTGCATCCTCTAGAGTAGAGGTTGGGATGAACATACAGTTCGACTTCTCCCCACTGACGAGAGCTGCCCGATTGTTAGCAAATGTCATTTCGCTGTTGTCGCAACATGCCGGGGACTTGGAGCAAGGTATATTGCTGTCCCATATGTGGCGTAATAGCGACAGTGAAGAATCAGTATAGACTTACACATGATGGGCGAGTCTCTCCTTGTCGATTGCGTTGACGGTTGACGGTTGCGATGGACAATGTTCTGAGACTTGCCAAAAATTCAATCAAATCCAACAGTGCGCCGCGCCAAGAAATTACTTAGTCAGCGAGCGGCCATTTCACGTGAGCGATAACTGTCACGTGCCCGCTATCTGTCCTCAGTTCTCCTGGAATGTTGTCGTCATTCGATTGGATGAAACAGCTCCGGTGACGGTTGTCCAGCAACGGGAACAGGGTTCAACAGGCTGCTTCATTACGAGTCGCAGTCCCCGTCTCCGACATTGATCTTCCCTCTCGTCTTACATTCTTCTGTCTTGTATTCTCTCTATCATCTCTCTCTATCTCTTCAGTTCCAACTTGTGACTGTGGGAAGCTCACTAGACTGCTTATCTCTATTGAGACGGACTCCCAGTCTGACAACGACATCGATTTTCGCTGCTGCCTTAGCTGGCCCAGTAGTCGAACCTGATCGATTCCATTCACCCCGTCCTCTGCCATGAAGGCCCTTTCTCCCCTCCTGCTGGCTGGAGCGGCCTCTGCTGCTATCGCTCCTCAACAGCAGCCACTCCAATTCCCCAAGTCCTTCCCCACCGAAGCCAAAAACGTCCTGGGTAACCAGCTGCACCATCTTAAGGATGCCCTTCGTGGTCTTACTGAGGAAGCTGCGGAGATCTGGGACGAGGTTGCAGCGCTGTACCCCGAAGATATGAGCCGCGCTAGCTTCTTCTCTATGCCCAAGAAACACACCCGACGACCGGATCATGAATGGGACCACATTGTCCGTGGCGCCGATGTCCAAAGTGTCTGGGTCGATAACGCCGACGGAGAGAAAGAGCGTTATCTCGATGGCAAGCTTGACACATATGACCTGCGAGTTAAGAAGGTCGACCCCAGCTCATTGGGCGTCGATCCCGATGTCAAACAATATTCGGGATATTTGGATGACAACGAAAACGACAAGCACCTGTTTTACTGGTTCTTCGAGTCGAGAAACGACCCAGAGAATGACCCTGTTGTATTGTGGCTCAACGGTGGCCCAGGCTGCTCTTCTTTGACCGGTCTGTTCCTCGAGCTCGGACCCTCGCGCATCAACGAGAAGCTTCAACTGGTTCCGAACCCGTACTCCTGGAATGACAACGCCAGCGTCATCTTCTTGGACCAACCGGTCAATGTCGGCTATTCTTACTCCAGCTCCAGCGTCTCCAACACCGTGGCTGCTGGCAAGGACGTCTATGCGTTGCTTACCCTCTTCTTTGAGCAATTCCCCGAGTATGCCAAGCAGGATTTCCACATTGCCGGGGAGTCGTATGCTGGGCACTACATTCCCGTCTTCGCATCAGAAATCCTGTCACACAAGAAAACCAATATCAAGCTTACCTCGGTCTTGATTGGCAACGGGCTGACCGATGGATACACCCAGTACGAATACTATCGGCCAATGGCCTGCGGTGACGGAGGGTGGCCGGCTGTGCTCGACCCGCAGTCTTGCCAGGCGATGGACAATGCCCTTCCTCGCTGCCAATCGCTGATCCAAAACTGCTATGATAGCGAGAGCGTGTGGTCGTGTGTCCCTGCTAGCATCTACTGCAACAACGCATTGCTCGCGCCTTATCAACGAACGGGGCAAAATGTCTACGATGTGCGCGGCAAGTGCAAGGACAGCAGCAATCTGTGCTATCCCGAACTAGGCTGGATCAGCAAATGGCTCAACGACAAGTCGGTGATGAAGGCTTTGGGAGTGGAGGTTGATGGATACGACTCGTGTAACTTTGACATCAACCGCAACTTTTTGTTCCAGGGCGACTGGATGCAGCCCTTCCACCGACTGGTGCCCGGCCTCATTGAGAAAATGCCGGTCCTGATCTATGCGGGGGATGCCGACTTCATCTGCAACTGGCTGGGCAACAAGGCGTGGGCGGAAGCGCTTGAGTATCCCGATCACAAGAAGTTTGCGGCAGCGACCATGAAGGATCTTCGCTTGGATGCAAGCAAGGACGGGCGCAAGATCGGAGAAGTCAAGTCGCATGGCAACTTTACCTTTATGCGGATTCATGCGGGAGGTCATATGGTTCCTCTGGATCAACCCGAGGCTAGCCTGGAGTTTTTCAACCGGTGGCTGGCGAAGGAATGGTTCTAGACGGGTCGTCGCACGGGTTGACGAGGACAAGAAGCCATGATTCGTCTGTGCAAGGGGGAAAGTCGTGGATATTTCGTGGGATGGGTGTTATACAAAGCCAGAGCTCTTTCGAGGGCATGTGCTTCGCGAGAGGCGGATCGTGGTCGGCATGGACTGGGGCGGTTATGTACAGTCTTGTGGAGGGCAATGGACCCAATGAGTGTTGGGAGAGAGGGTCTTTTCTGCATGGCACACACACACACATACACCTCTTCTGGATATATGCAGCTCGGCAGATACTACTGCATCCATGAAGGAGCGTGATCTATCTGCTTGTTGATTGTTCCTGAGTGCCTATCTAGGTAGGTACTTTTGCCTGCCACCGTACAGAAAGGAATTATTTTCTCTCTCGTAATAGTTCTCGTTATTGTACGCGCCTTGGAGACTCGATAGTGTCATGCACGGCATGCATTGTCTGTCACTTTGTGGAGCGCTTAGGGTCTTTGCTACTGGTTCTCCTTCTCCTAGTGATGGACTGATGCTCCTAGTGAGTCTCCTAGTCCTTCTATTCTTAGATGAAGCGGCCATTGATTGGATCGACCTTCTGGCGACAGCAGCCAGTCACACTCGTGGTGTTGGTTCTCGACTCGTCAACCTGCTTAACCGCCCACAGGCCCTCCACAGGCCCTCTACATGCCTCGATCCTATCAACTGCCATATTCGTCTTGTAAGCGCCCGGCTTGTTCACCATCTCTGTGGCCGTTGTGGCCGTTGCCCAATGTGCCGCATCTGCCACTCCGTCTCTTCTCTCTCACTGGCCTCGCCCACTGTGCACATCATTGCAGCCAACCCGAAGGAATCCCCCTCCTCATCTCCCTCGCCTTTTTGGAGCCGATTCACACTATTGCCTGCAGCCTCGGGAAGGGCCTTCTCCTCCACCTGGCCGTGGCCTATGGACTCTGGAGCGATGATGCTGCCGTATCTAAATATTGCCATCCCCTTCCCGCTGTTGCATCTTGCTTTCCCTTTCTTTTCCTTCAAGCAAGCAAGTCTTGTCAACACTGGTCGTGCGGTTTGAAGAGCTATTCTTGAATTTCTGTTCTTTTTTTGTTAATCCAAAGTCCCTAATTCATTATTCTGCAAAGAGATAGTGTCTGGTACACTATTGACTTGAATCGAGCACCTGTCCAACAAGCACCAAGTCAATTGCTCCTTGTCCATATCAACACTGCCTCCTCCTTCGGCAATCCTTGTGGCATCTACGAGCTGTGCTCATTGTTGCTGCATTTTCCAAAGGCATCACACCGATCTTTGCAGAAGCTTCCAAAGTTCCTTTGACGCAGAATAAAGCACAAAATCAAAACAGACTTCTTCTATCAATCACTTTGCCAGGAGACCATCATCGTTGCCGGTCAACGATCATTCTTTCCAACCAAGGCAATCTAATAGCTTTCAACATCATACCGCCGGCCTGACTTGCTGTGCCGCTCCAACAACTTAATCTTTGTCAAGCATTCCGTCATCGTTGTTGTCGATACTGTCGCTTTTCCCATTGTGTCCCATACTCATACCTCTGTCGATTCAGAACAAGCAGCAATCCAAAGACCTCACCAACTACCTGCTCTTTGAAGGTAGTCAATCCTTTCTCGAACAAGCCCAGCTAGAAGCCGCTTCCACCACGGCTTCAAACTGTTCGACGTCTTCATTGCTTCAGCGTCAAGCATCACTACCCCCTCGATCAACGCTCTACATTGTGTCGTCACGATTGCCGGTCAATCCACCTGACACCGATCCACACGCACCTTTCTGAAACCTTCCAAGATATCAAGCAAACATCAACCTTGACCTATCTGTCGAGGAAGCTCTGCCCGGTTTAGACCAGTCTTCTAGACGGCAATCACCAGCATACGCACACACGCGTGGACGTTGATCTGAGTACTACAGTGTACTTGATCTACCAATAATCGACCATAATATCTGTTCAGCATTTTTACACCAACAGAGCATCATTAGCGCTTTTAATTCGGACGACGATTCCTTGTTCAACACATCACAGCTCTACAGCAGCCTAACGACTCCTCACGCATTGTAACGAGCCAAAAGTCTCAACGACACGCCTTTTCTTGAGTAAATGTATCCTTCCCCTTTCTCATGTGTTGTGATCATTGCCGTTCCCTCGAGCTGACCCATTGACTAGACAGCGATTAATTCATCAGAATCCAATCTACCTACCAAAGAAAAACACAAAAAGAACACCAATATGTCGTCGCCAACAGTCCAACTCTCCTTCACCCTCCGCACTTCGCCCAATGTCCGCACTGTGCACTTGCTCGGCTCATGGGACAACTACAAATCCCAGCTTCCTTTGTCTTTGGTCAAAGATCCTGCCGCCAAACCAGGTTCCTGGAAAGGCACCTTCCGTTTCCAAGGCTCGAATGCTCTCAAGTTGGGCTCCCGCTACTGGTACTACTACATCGTTGATGGCTACCACGTCTCTCACGACCCGGCCAAGGAATTTGTGACTGAGAAGACCACCGGCCGCAAGCTCAACATCATCGACGTTCCAGGAGGAGACAAGTCCAGCTCCAAACCAGCCCGACCGAGTGTCAACACCGAGGTGCCGACCTCGCGCCACAGCAGGGAGATTCCACAGGGTCGTGCACTGAGCCCTGGCAAGATCCAACATCCAAAGCCCAGCAAGCCCTACGCGTCCCGTCAGTTACGCGAGGCCGACTATGAGGTTTCGCCTGTGGACGACCTCGAGGAACGCTTCGCAAGCTACCACATTGCTGACTCGTCGGCCTCGCCGTCCGAGTTGTCAGACGACAGCTCCTCGTCCGGTACTGCCTTCTCGCGCTCCTCTCCCTCCAGTCTATCAAGTGTCAGCGACCACAGCTGCCGCTGCGAGCGTTATGGAGTGACACGCTCCGGCCAACGGGTCAAACTCGACTGCGGCGGTAAGCGATGTGGTGCATGGAGCTCGAGTTCCTCTGAATGCGATTCGAACGACAGTTCCGAAGAGTCCAGCGAGGATGAGCGAGACCGTCATGCGAGGATGCGCAAGGAGGCAGAGAAGAAAGGCGCACCGGCTGCAACTGCGACAAAGACAAAATCCAGTGGCGGGGACGAGAGGAGGAAAACTGTTGTCGTGGAGAGGAGACGCAAGTAGATGAGAGGAAGGAGATGTCGAGGTGACGGTTCAGTGGGAGGGTTGGTGAGTGCATTTGTTGTGGGAGAGGAGATGTCCCTTCTCCCGTGCCAATCCCAATTCCAACGACAAGACCACACGTCGGCCTAGAGTCCACCAAATCAGACCCAGGCGAATCTACTAACCAGCAGCGAAAGCGCAACGACAAGTCCGATGCGAGAGTCAATCCAACCAGCCCGAGGCTGTGCGATGGCTCGGACCTACGTCAAAGCTCGCGGAAAGGGTTGGCGAGATGGCTGCAGTGAAGGGGGGAACGCATGCCCCAGCAGGAAAGCAACTGGCAAGCTTGAGAGTAAGGGGACCAAGAGAGTGAGAGGGCAAGCTGTGGATTCCTTTGTGGGACCCTCGGAGGGGCCCAAAGGTCAAGCAACAAAGCACACGAGAACGGGCTGCCCTCGGGGACTGGAAAACCAGTGACAAACATGAATACGGGAAAAACTTGGCAATGATGTCCATAGAATGAAGGGTCGGGGACAATTGGGCATTACCCTTTCATAGAACCGCTCCTTTGGTCCACCCTCGTTCGGGGAGGCAGAGGGAGCGGCTAGACAATCAGCCCGACGAACCCGCGTTCTATGCCTGCATCATCCCATGAACGATCACCGGTGTCTTCTGTTGTGTATTCTCCCTCCTGAACTTGTCCCGAAAAGGGTCTTACAAAGGCAAGCGACAACACCTGTTTTCATCTCCTGAAGCGAAGATGACGATCGAGGAGGAGCCCGACACCAGTATCTTACCCGCGTGGTGGACCATTGATGCTCGTGTCAGCCACGGGGACCTGATTCTAGAGCCCGAAACCTACTCAGCCTTGTGTCAGCCAGGAGTACTGTGGTGTCGGCGCCTGACGACAATAAGCTCGGTGTCTACGAATCTTGCCTGACACATCGAGGTGTATGGTATTATATATGTTTCGTGGATATCTGGTGCCTTGGATATTGGCTCTCACGGTATGCTGATCGACCGGTTGCTACCAACATTCTCGTCGCCGTTGTCAATCTATTCCAAGGACTCGTGAGGAGCGAGCAATCCAATCAAAGGTCGAAATCATGGAGCCAGAGGTCCACGCGGTATTTGAGCCGGTGACAGGCACATGGCAATATATTGTGGCGGACGCACACACGAAAGACGCCGTCATCATCGACTCTGTCCTCGACTACGACAAAGACACAGGCAAGGTGTCGACGCGCTCCGCCGACGAGATCCTCGACCTGGTGGCCCAGCGCGGATACACTGTGACCAGGATCCTCGAGACGCACGCCCACGCCGACCACCTCACGGCCTCGCGGTACCTGCAGGACGTTCTTGCGGAGCGACAGCGACAGCAAAGCAGCACTGCCAGACCTCCGCAGGTGTGCATTGGCCAGCGCATCGCACAGGTCCAGGAAACCATGTCCAGGATCTACAACGTCGCCTCGGCGGAGCTAGTCGACGCGTTCGATCACACCTTTTCCGACAACGAGACCTTTGCCATTGGAAGCCTCGAGGCCCGCGCGATCCATCTCCCAGGCCACACGCCCGACCACCTCGGCTACGTGGTCGGATCCGCCGTCTTCACGGGTGACTCCATCTTCAACCCGGACGTCGGCTCCGCCCGCTGCGACTTCCCCGGCGGGTCGGCCGCGGACCTGTTTCGGTCGATGCAAACGCTGCTGGCTCTCCCGGGACATTTCAGGCTGTATACGGGCCACGACTACCCGCCTGACGGTCGAGACGTGGCGCTTGACGGTAACGGGCGGAATGTAGTGGTCGTGGCGGCTGGGGGGAACAGCAAGGCCGTGCCGTTCACGACCGTCGACACCCAGGCAAGGGAGAACAAGCACGTCAAACGCGGCACATTGATGGACGACTTTGTCAAGTGGCGCTCAGAGCGGGACTCTGGTCTCGCCGAGCCCAAGCTGCTCGCCCAGGCCATGCAGGTCAACATTCGCGGCGGCAGACTGCCCGCCACGAGCTCAGATGGCTTCAAGCTCACGGACGTACCCGAACGAGTGGTCAGGGTCGGTCAGGCCGCTGCGTGATCCATGTCATGTTGCATGAGACGGCGAGGAAGGATCAGATTTGCTGCAAATGTTCTACTCATTATTGATGTTAACTGGCGCTGGCAGCAGTTGTGCGTCTTGTTCATAATGTTTATGGCGCAGCTATGGAGTTTAGGTACGGGATACGATGTGGTTTGCTCCGGTTCAGGTCCGAACCTACAGGAAATTGGGCCTTTGCGGGGGTCTGTATCAAGTGCGCTTCATATTATTAAAATAAGTCTAGCCAGGCTTTTCCATTCCACTCAACTCTCACTAGAAGGGGGTTTGACCCCTTTTTTCACCCAAGTGGTCAAGAATCAAGAGTCTAAACGCCAGCCATGCAATCTGATGAAGTCTGTCTACCAGCACATTTGACCCCTGGCTGCCGGGCACCAGCATGTCCTTATATGTTGACGACCTAGCCCGAGAAATAACTCGAGTCGACGACGGGGGCGCGGTCGAGCTTGAAATAGCCCGGCTGCAGGATCTGGAAGACCTGCTGGGGGTCGTATTTGGCGGCGATGCTCTTGAGGCTGGCCTTGTTGGCGGCGCCATAGCTCTGGATCACGTCCTCGTAGACGCCGCCGTAGTTCATGTAGAGGTAGTCGTTCTGCTTGCCGATTTGGGTCGCGGCGGCTTTGATCTGGGTCAGCACGCTGGTGATGAAGGCATAGATGGTGGCGTCGTCCGAAGCATTGTCCCACCAGCACGCGACGTGGATCAGGTATAGGGGCCCATCGGACACGGCGATGCCCAAGGGATTGCCCCCGTTCTTCTGCATGAGCTCGATCATTGGCAAAGTGATGCCCTGGTACAGCAGCACGGGGTTCGCACCAGCCACATTGGCTGTCGCCGGCAGCTCCTGGTAGAAGATGTCCTTGGCCAGCGCCGCGAGCGAGGCGTCCGCTTTGACCGTGAGCCCGTAGTACGACTCGCGCAGCCCGTAAGGATTCGAGCTCGCGAGCTCCGCCGTGTACGCGGCAAGCTGTCGGTTCTGTGTCGAGTCCGAGATGGCCGTAAGCGCGTTGTAGCTGTCCCAGATCGCGGCACTGCCGCCGTTGGGCTGGCCGTAGTAGAGTTCCGCAGAGGCGATTTTCGTGCCATTGCTCTCCAGCCAGGCAACCCACTGGCCGGCGTTGCCATCGTTGGGAGAGTCGCTCACGACTCCGGCAAAAGCATTGGCTAGGTCCGCAAATTGATCCTCGGTGTATACACGAGTGCCCCCCCACAGCTCGCTCCCGGGCAGGTTGATGGTGGCGAGGTTGAAGTTGACGACGATGCCGAAGTTGTTACCACCGCCGCGAAGACTCCAGTAGAGGTCGGAATTGGTCGACGGTGACGCCGTGACCTGGACTCCCGAGGCAAGAACCACGTCGTACGATGCAACGTTGTCGCAGGCCCATCCGTACAGAGAGGAAAAGAAGGATATGCCACCCCCAAGCGTGAGACCACCGACACCAATGGGCGCAACCCGTCCGCCGATGGCTGCCAAATTGTATGGGGCGAGGGCTGTATACACGGCATTCCAGGTATTGCCTGGTCCGACAGCGACGGTCTTCTTGTCACTAGAGACGGTGATGGTGTTCAGCGCGGCGAGAGAGACAGTGATGCCGCCTTCGATGTTGGAAGCACCTTGGAACGCTGCATGGCCACCGCTCTTGACCGCAAAGGGGCAGGTAGTCAGTCGAGAAAGCAGAATCACCACAGCCACAGCTCCTTTGTTGGGCGCGTTGAAGATGCAGTAAGGGTTCACATTCTCCTGGATCTGAGACCAATAGCCGGATGTGAAGGCGTCATACGCGGCGCTATTGCTGAACTCGACACTTGATGCACCATACAGGAGTTCCAGGGAGCCGCACTGGGTTTCATATGCGTTAGTCCCCGTATCCGACACATTGGAGCACTTCAGCCACTCACTGCAAGCGAACAGGCAGCGTTAGACGAGCGTTCAGCAAGTTGGGCAACAGGAAGTGCAGACACGTCGACTCCCATGTCCACCAGCGCCTGGGTGACATTAAAGTCCGCCGGCTCGATCCCATCGGTCGAGTTCAACGGGGCACTGTCAGGCAAGGCGACAGTCGCAGGGTCGACGGCTTCGGAAGAGTTAGACTGTGCATTGACAGACAGGGCGAGGGCTGCCCACAGGCAGCCAGACCAGAGACGCATTGCCAAACAAGGGAAAGATAGCTGAAGATCCGACCGGATTGGAGAAAAGAGACTGAGGAACAGGGAAGTGACAGGACGTCGAGGCAGGACGTAGAAGTCTTGTAAAGCAATTCGGCTTGCTTGGCCTCCCAGGGTCAATCTCGCAGTTCAGCCTAGCGTCGACATTCTGTGCAGCACGGTGCAGGCACGAGGCGGTATACTCGTCGGGAGGCCTCAGACTTCGGTAGTTCGGCTGGCGCTATCGCATTCTAGTGAATTAGATCCAGGCTCAGATGTCTTTTCCATGTGCATGATCGTCGAGGCGAAGGCTGCCGAAGGAGGTCGGTTGGTTTCTAGCAGTGTTCTTGGTCTGTGTCCCAGAGCACTAGCCAGGCTTGGTAGCAGCCCTTGTACTCGTCGACGCAAGAAACAGTGACTGGCCGAGTGACAATTTCCGACTCTCTGCAAATTGCAGGGTATATGGCGAGATGGCTTGACTAGGTAGACAGCCAACACCCGGGCCATACTCGTAAGAGAGAACAGGGACCCCAGGAAGGAACGGACCAAAGTTACCTTGAACGGGGCAGGACATGGATACGGAGTATATGTCCTTGCAGCGTAGGTAGGAAACGCCATCGTGCAACAAGGGTTCGCGGGATCAGCACGCCCGAGCTCCACCAGCACCCTTTGAATTACCTATAGAGGTATGTATGCAAGGCACAGGGAGGGGATGCAGCGAGGACACTGAGGAGATTATAACCCGCGAAGCAACGGACTCACCTGCTAGACAGGGACGACGGGTGTGGCGTGAGGCGCTAACCCACGGCCCGTGCATCCGAGGAGCAGTATCGCTGGATGATGCTAACAACGTCCGGCTTGTGAGCTAGGTCCAGCGAAGGGATCATAAACTTCGACTTCCTCTATACCGGGTGCAAGCCAGCAGAAAGTATGAACTTCAAAATTTGCTGCGAAATGCCGTCTCGCTTGTTTGACTGCCAACAATGGAGCAAACCGACGGAAGAATATATCAGCTCCTGGGCCATTCTGGATGTATCATTGTACTTGCAGGGATACAATCAGATTCCCCAGACCAGCCTTTCTCGGGCCTTGGAGCCTCCTGGAACTTCTCCTGCAGGGTAACCCTGTTAGTCGCGACTTAGAGCGTGCAGTAAGTAGCAGGCTGGTGCTTACTTTATGCTGAACTAATTGAACCTTTGGAAAGGGCTAGGCTTCATCTTCCACACCTAGGATCAGTGTAAGAGGTTCCAAGCAGGGTTTTTTGGTGATGAATGGTCTCAGCTAGCTGCTGGTTGACTTCGTCCAGGCTCCCTCAGAGGTTCCCTTCGCTTAATGAAGAAACTATCAAGAAAGGAAAGGTTTGAAGATCATGACTGACTGGCAAGACGTCAAGACTTCGACTGGTGGGAATCTTGGTCGGCTGGAAGCCTTGCTGTGTCCAGACACGCCAGTTTGGCTGGACCTCGATTAGTCTGTTTGAACCTCGCCTCCCTTTATCCAACCTATAACGCCGGGCCAAAACTCATAAGGATGGAATACGAGGCCGAAGTACAAGAAGAGCGAGATCTGTCTGTCGCAGTTAGCACAAGCCCTGCCTTCCCTTTTGTAGGACCGACTCTGGTCAACCTCGCCTCCTCAAAATGGGTGCCACTTATGTGACCGAGACCTCTGTGAGGGCGACGGGGATCACCATGATCATTCTGACCACCTTCGTCGCCGCCTTCCGCATCTTTGTCTCGGTCGAGCAGCAACGGAAGTTCAGTTGGGACGACGGCTGGCTTTTGGCCGCCTACATCTTCTTCCTAGCGCTTTCTATTCTGTACATCGTGGCCGCGCCGACAATGTTCAGACTCACTAAGCTTGCGAACGGGCAGATCCCACTGTACCCGACGGTCGCCGAAGACGGGCTCTTCATCCAGAAGATCTTCTTCGTCACGACCTCGGGATTGTGGCTCTGTCTGTGGAGTGTCAAGTTCTCCTTGATGGCCGTCTACAAAAAGTTGATGATAGCCTTGCCACGGAAGATCAGATTGTGGTGGGCTGTGGTTGTATTCTGCCTGGTGGTTCGTTGTCCCTCGACTTACTATACGACCTGGCTGATCTGGCTAGGTTCTGGCTGGCGCTATCACCTCCTCGATGCTGTCTTGTTCGAGCATGAAAGCTTGGTTCACAGCTGGTGCTTGCTCGACTCCGCGTGATGTCAAAGCTGCAAGTATCAGCCTTTGGTATGCTTATGCAGTTGACATCCTCACCGATCTCATGAGTCAGTATTCTTGTTCGACACGTGAAACAGCTACTAACAGAATGCCAGTAATGCTGCTGCCCCTCGACCTCATCTGGAAATTGAAAATGCCGCGGACTCAGAAAATGAGCATCGGTGCTCTCTTCTGCCTGGGATTTGTTTGCATCGTGGTAGCGACAATTCGAGTCAAGGAGCTTGGGAGCACGGTCAACAACAGTCAACCCAGCACAACTTGGCTAGCGCTATGGGGCATCGTCGAGTCCTCTATAGGTAGAGTGCTCCCTTGCCTCCATGCGTTCCCAGACCTGATCGTTTCCCAGCTGTTTTAATTGGCTGCGGCCCAGGCCTTTACCGTAAAGCCAGAGCGATCTATCAAACTCGTCATGGATCGAGACCCTCTCGCGGCTATGACCGATATGCAAACAGCAATTCCGCCAGAGTCCAGTCGCAAAGCATTGCTCTCGAAAGTTATCAATCGAAGAAAGCTCGTACGAACATTACATCAAATATCAACGACGCTGCCAGCAGTCAAGAAGAGTTGGCAAATACAAACCTTGAGCCTGGTATCGGCGATACCAAGATGGCAACTGAGAGCATCAAAGAGCGTGACGTGGATTCCGTGCGCCATTGGGATGACAGGCCTCATGCATATTAAAAGCGCTGATACTACGCTTGGTGCAGTGCTGGCTGTTGCCTGGGCACGATACAAACCAAGGAAAGCCGCCCGTGGAATCGCGGCCATCGTTCAGCACAGCGAATACAATCTCCTGCGCGCAATCTGGAGGCAAAAATAATCTCGAACGAATCAACTACTACTCATCTATCCACCGCCACCCACCAAGGCGTCTACAAGGATTACGCCCTTTGTTGTCAATGACTTGCAAGCAGATGTGTACGAATTTAAAGCGACGATTGACTGGCAAAAACACTCTGAGATCTTGATCAAAAGTTTGTGGGCATACGTTTGAACGACCCACGTTTATTCATACGACATGTTGTTACCAGCAATCTCAATATCTAAAGTAGCGTTAAATATCTGCAGAGACACTTGGGGCCTTGTTAACCACCAAGCGTCCTATGACATAGTGTCCTCTAGGAATGCCATCTGTACAGACTCTTCCCAAACCAATCTGTACGCTCTAGCCCCTCAGAATCTCTGTTTCTGTTTTGAGATCTGGGCACCTGTCGGTTTGTCCTGAAGCCTGACTCGACCAATTTGAGCTGTAAATGTACAAACCTGAGCCTGGACTTGGAGAACGAACCGGTCGCAACCGTGAGCCTGTATATGCGCCCTTCAGGTGCCATACATACGGAGACCTTTGGCACTCATCCGTCACAGAATATGGATTTAGACGGTGCAGTACATTGTACAGATTCCAACGATGTGGAGAGTGCAGGGCCCACACGTGGCTTACCCGTCAGATAGCCACTCTACGAGGCGCTTAGGTCAACACGATGATCTTGTCAGCGGCATCTAATGATGGCTCTGCCAAAGGCTTTTTGTTAGTTGTGCAAGCCGGTGAGATGAGGCAAGTAAAGTGACGAGGCGCTAATATTTACTAGGTAGTTACAAGGGCAGATTGTAGACTCTGAGAAGGGCAGGTTTACCGTTCTCTACAGTATCACTTTCCTCAACCATCCCTTACTCTTCCACTTATCCTATTGACAAACCGTCTTACTCTCTTCCGCTTTCTCTATCCCTTCGAGTCAGCCCGTGTAAGTCTTGGCCGGGACGGTACAGCACATTGCTATGCATCTCTCTCTTCCCCAAGTGGCTGCTAACTCGCTATCGAGAGACCGATAACAGCAGGAACCCACCTCAAGCTTGCAGCCCTGAATTTCCCGCAAGTGAATTTTCCAGGAGGAGAATAAACGTCCCTCGGCCACTATCTTCCCGTACTCGGACCGCCGGAGACCAACAACAGCCAATATCCGCGCGAAGTAGCTCGATGTCGCGATATGTACCGGAAGATCAGGACTTGGGTAACGAAGGATCGCCTAGTGCGTCAGAGAATCTCGTGGCTGGAAACGGCTAGATACTGATGCAGATGAGGTGGATAAGATCCAGTCAAAGGCCAGCACATGTTTCCATCTTTCTGCCACCTCATCACCACAGACTGCCTTCATGCATGCATATATCCCCGCATCCCGAAGATCAACATGCGAGGCACCTGTTCTGATGCCCGTGTTGTTGGAGTGCCTGAAGGGAAATGCATTGGCATCTGCTTTTCCTCCAACTGGACCATTTCGTTGGCTGTCCACATGCAGGTGTTCAATGCATCACCCTATCATTTGCCTTTCTTCAGTATCATTAATGACGCGAGATCCCACTGACCTGCATGCCGAGAGCAGACGACTGCCGGTTTATCAAGTCGACTTGGTGATACCGCAGGATTCCTTTGCATAAAATGGTCTCGCCTCTACCGTGTCTCTTCTTCCACTGGACGTCGTCTTCTCCATCCATGGATCAAGGTTTGTTTTCTTCCCTCTAGCCTTTGATCCAATCCTATCACTTTGAGCCAGCACACCCAGACTACTGTCGAGATCATGGATCTGCGTATGTCGCCTCCCACTCCAGCAATCCCAGCGGCATGCCCTCATGCAGATGGAGTTATATGGCGGAGCAGGCTTTTATTACGATGTGACATGGATACCAGTCCTACGGATCGGGTAAGAGCATCAACGAGAATGGATTGCCCAGCGCAACTATCGCAGATGCTAGCTGTGGCCGAGGTTGTCTGAAAAATGCACGTCGAGAACATGGGAGACTGCCGTTCCAATGTCCCCGCAGCTGAAAAGCAGAGATACTCCCCTTCTGGGACCCATCTTCTGCTTCTTCTCTGTCTTACAACATTCCTTTGCCGCGTAACTCATCATGGCTACTACCGAGCCCTTACTCACAGAACCCAGCAGTCTCCTCCCGCTTGACACTAAGCTCGCGGGGAATACAGTCTCTGACCCACTTGAGCATGACGGGGAACACGGTCTCGAATTAAGTTCCCGAGATTCGAAGGTCCAAGCCCAAGTGGCGGTGACGGATGTATCTTCAGGTCAAAGCAGTTCGGAGGAAAATGACCTTAGCCCTCTAAATCCAGAGCCACTGCCCGTCGTTGAGTCTCCAATTTCGGACGTGGTTGATCTTGATCCTACAGCCAAATCCCTGCCAACACGGCAAGACTCAGCCTGCTATTTAGATGAAAAGTCTGCAGGCGCACCTGTCATCGATGACATCGAGCATGAAGACTTCAAGGACCTCCCTGGAGCAGCATCTGCCGACGCGGCCATACTTGAAAGCCCTACGCCAAATGTGTCGGCGCTTATCATCGACCTCGGTGATGTTTTGTGCAACTGGACCGCACCAGAAGCGCTGCCAGTCTCGCCAGCAATGCTTCATCGGCTCCTCAAGACCCGTTTCTGGCATGAATACGACTCAGGTGTGATCACACAGGATGAATGCTACAGCCGTCTTGCCACACAGTACGGGCTTTTGTTATCTGATGTGGCAGAGGCGTTCAAGCAAGCCGCGCAATCTCTCAGTCCTGATGAAGAGGTCTTTGGCATGATCCGAGATCTGAAAAAGACTTACCGGGGCTCGTTGAAAGTCTACCTGATGTCAAACATTCCCTTGCCCGAGTGGAAGGCCTTGGAAATGGACACACGATACGATTGGACCTTGTTCGACGGCTTTTTTATCTCTGCCCAAGTGGGCATGTGTAAACCCGAGCTTGGATTCTTCCGGCATGTTCTCAGCCAGATCAACAAGAAGCCGAAGGATATCATTTTCGTGGATGACAACGCTGAAAACATCCTCGCAGCTCGATCGCTGGGCATCAAATGCCTCAGACACAAGAATGCTGATGGATTAAGGCAATTCTTCCACCATATTTTCGATGACGGAGTCGATCGAGGACGGCAGTGGTTGCAGAGGAACGCGAAGAACATGTGGTGCGTGACTCCTGAAGGACGGGAAGTGAGAGACAATTTTGCCCAGCTCTTCTTGTACGAAGCCGCTGGTGATTTGTGAGTTTGACGCACCCAAGTGGGAGAATCGTCATGTTACGTGCTAACATCCGGATGTCAAGAAACCTTGTCTCTTTGACCTTCTATGAACGGACATGGAATTACTACATTGGTGAGATGTTGTCGAGACTGGGTGTCCCTCACCAGCTCTACGGAAACTGACCAATGTGAAAGAGAAACCCATCGATACCGTGGAAAAGCACCCCGACGATATCGATACCACTTCGTTGGCGATGATCCTCCTGCCTCACGACGTCGAAAAAGCTTACTCAATCCTCGATGAAGTCTTGTTGTATACTAACAGAGACGGTATTATTCTGGTGAGTGTTCTCCTTGAACTGGCCTCCCTTCCGGACCCGAGACCGACCTTTACAGACATATTTCGACAACAAACGCCCCCGCATCGATCCCGCTGTTTGTGTCAATGCCCTTCGCTTCTTCTACAAGTATGGGCGAGACGACCTGCCAGCATTGCAGCCCACAAAAGCTTGGGTTTCAGACGTCCTGTTCTACCGAGCATACCTTGATGGAACGTATTACTACCCCAGTGGAGACGTCTTCTTGTACCTATTCAGCCGCCTCCTCAGCGCAAATCCCGAGAGCGACATTTACCGCAGCACTTGCGCTCTTCTACGCGAACGATTGCAAGAACGAATAGGCTCACCGGGAGATGCGGTGGAGCTGGCTATGCGAGTCATTGCGTGTCTTGACATGGGTCTCAAGAATGATGTTGACCTGAAGAAGCTGGAAGCACTACAGGAAGAAGATGGCGGGTGGCCGATTGGCTGGCTTTGCCAGACGGGGAAGATCAGTCTGAAGATTGGGAGTCGAGGTGTCGCGACGGCATTGGCGGTCAAAGCCATTGAGATGGCGCGGAAATATTGAGGAAGAGAAGATCAAGACGATCAGCATCCCGGATACGTGGCCTCAGACAATACGGGCGGCAGCGGGGACATGTCGACATGCCCCGATCTGGGTTCGTTATTGGTCATGCAGCCTCTCTCAATGCTTCTGTGATACGGAGTTTAGAACACACAAATTCATACAGTTAGACAATGGCAAGGCTGGTATTCAGTTGGTCATTCCTACGAGATTCGAGATTCGAGATTCGCGTACGAGGAGAATGGTTTTTCCGATGCTAACCGACGGATTGTAAACTAGCCAGATATGATTGGCTGTGAGACCTTCCCCATCGGGATGCGGGGGTGCAAGGGAAGAAGCGTGGACTACGTCATTGGACAAGGCTGACAGCCAACGAGACTCGAGGCCTGCGAGGTCACCAGTCACCAGTCACTCACCAAGCAGCAAGCCACTTTCTGCCTCTTTGTCAGGGCACCTTTGGCCTTACAAACCCGCCAACTTTCATCTCAGTTCCTCAGCGCTGAAGAATCACCCTCCTTCTTCTATTTCTCACACACCAAACACCTGTAAACCATTTCCACGACAGATTGATCCCTTGAAGTTGATCTCGTAGTCGCGACAGATTCATCCCTTGACTATGGCCGCCGCTCAAGTCTGCCCCGTGGTTGGCACCACAAACACGGTCCTCCCTCCCTCACACCCCGAGTTCGACATGGACAAGCCTGGCCAGGTCTGCCCCGTCACCAAAGCCACCACAGACCATCATCACAACCTGCACAAGCACCCAGGTATCTTCGACTCGAGCAACCAAGACCTCGCCAACGCCGACAACTGCCCTGCGCTCTCCAAGATTGTCAGCCGTCCTGAGCAGCAGGCCATGGACGAAGCCATCTGCCCTGTTGTTGGTACCGTCTCGAGTGTCTTGCCTCCGAACCATCCGTCGACGAGCAGCGCAAAAGATGGTGATGTCTGCCCCGTCACCAACGCCAAGTTCGAGCATCACAAGGACAAGGTGCATGAGCACCCCAGCCTTGAGACTGCCGCGAAGGGTGCGGTTTGTCCAGTGGTTGGAAGGAAGGCTTGAAAGAGCTCGGGAGTATACTTCCGGAACAATATGTTGGGCGGGGTGTCGCAGTGAAATGCTACTTCTATATGTCTCTCTCACGGGTATAACAATCTTGTACACTGTGGTGGCTCACTCTGATGGTTATCTAAAGATGTGGTGGATCTCAACATTCACTCAAATGGGCATACTTGTACTAGCACCGGTCATAACAAAGTCACTAGATGCCAGTTTTATGTTGTACCACAAACAGAGCCATTTCCTCTACATCGAGAATGACATGCCCGTACCTAATCCTGCTACTTCGGCAGAACTATATTCCGATACCGACATTTTCGAGTAAATTCAGGTAAGTACCTACCTTAGTAGCTTCATTCGCACCATCTTTTTCATCAGGCCCAACCAGCACTCGTGTGAGAGATCTATCAACTCGATAACACTGAAACCAATTCTAGACTTCATTGCTGCATACAGTTCGGCCACTTGCCGTGTCTTGTGACTTTGTGGGCCGGTAGCCGCAGTCCTTGGAGCGGTCGATCATCCTTGCTGATTGCTCGGGGTTGGTGCTTGTGGAAGGCTGGAGGCTAGATATGCAAGACGTTCGCACTATCCAATCCTGGAGTCGGTCCAAGGAGGGATCTTCTTCCTATCTGCAAGGTGGAAAGAATGCTACCCACAGTCGGGCCATGTCGCATTATGTGCCAGTGCGGAGATCAGAGACCTCAGTCGGCCTTGTCCTTGGGAAACGGAACAGGGGGGTATCTTTTCTTGATAAGACATTCGGTAGGTGGTATGCAGATTGTTCTATCTGCTTGATGTCGGCTATTGCAAAGGCAGAGCGCTCTCTCAACCCCTGTGTGCAATATAAAACCTCCTGCAAGGCCGTCAAGAACGTGTCTCATTTTTACAATTGCCAATATCTTCTGCGTCAGAACGCTGGCATGCGAGAAAGCACAACTCGATCACTCCGACTCCGCCCTTCAATCAACTCGCAGGTATCAAACGAGAATCATGGGCCAATGGACCCGTCCAACGGGACCTTTGTCTCGCCTTGTCCCCACATCGCAGATGGCGCTCCTCGTTGCTGTCGTCTCAGTCTCAGTTGTCGACTCGGTGCTGTTGGGTTACGACAGTTCGATCATGGGCAGTCTCAATGTGATGCCGACATACCAGAAGTACTTCACTCTGACCACGGCCACTAAGTCGCTGAACACGGCAATCTCCTATGTCGGAGGGTCCTGTTCTGCTCTCCTTGCTGGATTCGTCGTCGGCTGGATTGGCAGGTGGAAAAGCATCATGCTTTCTTGCGTGCTCACTCTTATTGGCGCAGTCATTCAAACTGCGGCCCAGAATATCGGCATGTTTATTGCTGGGCGTTTCATTGTTGGTGAGTGTCGAGCAAGCCGAGACACACTACGAGCACCGCAATGTCTAACCTGAGACAAGGATTTGGCCTGGGCTTTGCCCAAACATCATGCCCGACATACGTGGCCGAGACTGCTCCTCCAAAGCACCGCGCAGTGGCATTAGGTCTGTACTATGCCTGCTGGGGTGTTGGGACCCTTGTTGCTTCAGGGGTTTGCTACTCGGTAAGCTTTTTGATGATTGTTCCCGGGCCACTGCTCAACCATGGTTTATTATGCAGACGCAACACTACTCGTCCACATGGGCCTGGAGAACCCCGAGCTTGGTCCAAATAATCCCTAGCATCCTGTGCATGATCGTCCTACTGTTCCTCCCGGAGTCACCCAGATTTCTCATTGACCATGATCGGCATGATGAGGCCTTGGAGGTACTGGCAGCGCTCAACGCCAATGGTGACAAAGATTCTCCCGTCGTTCTGGTGCAGTACCGTGAAATAACCGACACGATTGCCTGGGAGAAGAGCCAGCAGCTGTCCTGGCGACAAGCTTTCAGCACCAAAGCGAACCGGAAGCGCATCATCATCACCGCTACATTTTCCATTATCGTTATGCTTCCAGGAACGAACATCATTACCTTCTACTTTGGTACCATGCTGGTATGTTCATCTTTGATGGCAGGATAACTCAAGGGTGCTGACTTTGTGCATAACAGTCACAAGCTGGTATCACTGATCCAACCACTCAACTGGAAATCAATATCATACTGACCTCGTGGACATTGGTCGTCTCTCTAGTCGGCGCATGGTATGCCGACTCTCTGGGCAGGAAGACGCTCTGCGTGATCAGCCTCGCAGGCCAGATTGTGACCTTCTTTATTCTCGCGGGACTCACCGCGGTATATGGCAACTCAACTGATAAGTCAGGAATATATGGCACCATAGCGATGATATTCCTCTACAACGCAGCATATGCGTACGGAATTACGCCGCTCACGGTGCTTTACCCGCCCGAAGTACTATCATACTCTCTGAGATCAGTTGGTATGGGTTTGTATACTCTGACCACGAAGCTCTCGGGCCTGCTTGTGACGATGGCATTTCCCTTCGCCCTGGATGCCATTGGATGGAAGACGTACATTATCAATGCGAGTGCGGATATCGTGATGATGGTCGGCGTTATCTGGTATTGGGTCGAGACAAGAGGCCTTACCCTTGAAGAGGTGGACAAGGTGTTTGACGGCATCAAGCATTCCGACGTGCCTGATTTGAAGGCAGTTACTGAAGGGGAAGTCGAAGTTGGTTCCGAGTTGCTGAAGACAGTAACGAGCATTGTGGAGAATCAGGAAGTTGTGATAAAGTCGGCAAAGTGAGTCGATAGGAAAATACGGTCTAGGCTTGCTTGGACATGAAGCGTTCAAGGTGTGCCGGAATGCGTGGATGCATATCAGTGGCCATGCATCCATGATCCATGATAGTTGTCTCCAACCAGAGGCCCGAACCTGTCTGTATCTGGGCAATGATAAGAGAAGGGCGGAGAAGAGCGTAAGAACAATGTCTCTGTTTCCCTAACTGTCCTCTTATCAAAATGCCTTGCATGCCCTAAAGTTTTGCTGCGGGAGAATAGTATAGCATCCCGCTAGCCGTCTGGTATCCATCTGGTATCCATCTTGTGCGGGGAACTAGGATATAGGGGAGTTGGCCGCGGTATCAGGGAACTCGATATCAGGACTCCTTCTTGGGCGGTTGATGCCCTTGTCCGAACGTGGAGGACTTCTGACACCTATTCTCTCCCCCTATCCCCAAGATATACCGAGGAAGGGCCTCTTTCAACTCGTTCGAAGCGCAGCATGGCAGAATCAACACCCATCCCCGTTGTCTCGTTCGCGAGATTCCTCACCGGCGACCGTGCGGACCAGCAACAAGTGGCCCGACAAGTCTATGATGCATTCTCTGAGGTTGGGTTTATCTATCTGAAGGACCACGGCATTCCCCAGACAAGGGTTGATGAGATCTTCGCTCTGGTAGGTTACCACTGACACAACCTGTGCGCGCTGGGTAATCCGGCGGGCCCCCTTTTTGGCGACAGCCTTACTTGGCCTGCCTGTCTTTCACCATTTTCGTCCACACCCACTGCCATTCTGCCCTCAGATTGAGCATCAGATTTGCCGTCGACACAAGTCATCAGCATGTGGCTCTAGTTCTGACTTTATCTTTCATACAGGCTGAAAAGTTCTTCTCCCTTCCCTTGAGCACCAAGCTCGCGTACAAGCTCTCCAATGCGCACGTCAACCAGGGATACACTGCTGATGGAGCTGAAGGGGTCAACGATCACAAGGAATGCTACGAGCACCGTCGGTTCACGAACGAGCTGTGCCCTTCGGAAAGCGACATGCCGGGCTTCAAATCCACGCTCGATGACTTCTACAAGCAATGCTTCTCCCTCGCGATGAATGTGCTCAAGTGTCTCGCCATGGTGATGGACCTCGGGGACGATTTCTTCGAGGGCATCACGAAGAAAGCGGACCCGCAGATGCGGCTACTTCACTATCCACCGATCGAGCGCAGTGTGATCGAGCAGAAGGGCCACGCGAGGATCAATGCCCACACGGACTTTGGGCTGTGCACGTTGCTGTTCCAGGACGGCGTTGGCGGGTTGGAGGTGGACCCGTCGCACGAGAACAAATTCGTCCCGGCTCCGCCCATTCCAGGCGCCGTGTTGATCAATATCGCCGACCTGCTGCAGCGGTACACCAACGGACGGGTCAAATCCACGCGGCATCGGGTCGTCAGTCCGTCGCTGGACCAGTTCAAGGACTGCGACGTCTTGCCGTCCCGATACAGCATTCCTTTCTTTGTGCATCCGGACCCTGAGACGCTCATCGACCCAATCCTCTTGAACGAGGGCGAGGTTAAGTTGTACGAGCCGGTGAATGCGGGCCAGTGGAGGGACTGGAAGACAGCTACTAACTATAGACTCAAAAGTGAGAACGGCGAGGAGGTGAGCTTGAGGAGCGTGGCGGTTGAGACTTGAGAGGTTGGCTTGGTCAAAACATGCCTCCCAAAGAGTTCTTGTCGTCTCCTCAAGTATATATGGATGCATGTGTGCAACTGTCTATTGGAGAGGTTGTTTACATGTATCTATGAATCGAGCTGAAAGGGTACCTATATACGTAGCAAATAAAGAGGCAGGGGATGTATCTCTTTGTAAAGGGGCATTCTCCTTTTCAACAGCAGCCTGTGGGCGCCCGCTGTGGAATACGTTATGTATACGAGGTACGCATATATAGTCGGTAGTTATACGTCTGTGCTTGCTGACGTGATGATAACTCCATACTGTATACTTCGACTAGTCTATGCTGTACTAGGTAGAGAGTGGCTCTCCACGATGTTCTCATAATAGTGATGACCGCCGTGTGGCCGGGTGTCAGAATGCGTAACTTCAAACCCAGTTCTGACTGACTACCCAGGTACTCAGACACGGCACTATATCTTACAAACATCGCTCCCTCCTCCCTCGCCACGGCCAGTTATTCAAAACCACCCAGCTCACCTGCGGAGTCGTCGATGGTGGACTTCCGCTGCAGATACAGTTCTCCAAAGGCAGCTTGGTGAGGTCAAGAATGAATTGTCATCCCCATCGAAACCAATGAACGCCTCAAACACCGTCAACAACCCTCAACGGCCTCACGCTTCCCGTAGAAGATGGTCAGAAAGACATGGGCATTCTGCATAGAAACAAGGGTCATACCAGAGTCAGGCGGCCAGGGCAGGTGATGTTATGTTGACTTGGGCGCAGCCAAGGATCCTTGCTTCCTTGCAACAGGAGGACACGTTGTTGCAGTCTATGTCGTACGACTGTGAGCGTATCCCACGTCCTGTGCGCCCTCCTTCAATGACCGTGAGCACATCTTTGCAGCTCCCGCAACAGATTCAACAGGTCGGTGCATCCCCTGTTCTCACATCATGAACCTGCATCACAGGTTTCGGCGTACGAAGTCGCAAGAGGAACGTGTTCAATGACCATCAAGCAACGTTACGATGCACGCGAGCATCACGCGAGCTCGACGCCCGCAGCGACTCCTCGCCTGAAACCCTTTCAAGACCTTTTGTAGGCTGGGGATTGGCATGTCTCGTTAATACCTAAACAATATACAGGAGGCGACATTTCCTCCTCTTCTCCGACACGTTGACTGCGTTCAAGCGTTGGCCCTTCACGCTTCAAGGCTGGCAGTCGCGAGATTCAACCCAACGTCCAGGCGCAAAGTTGTCGAGCCACGTGCATCAGCACTTCGAAATTCCTGCAATTGTTCTCTCGCAATTTCAGGTCATGGCCGTCCGCACACCTTGTTTTAGGACACAAATCCTCCCCCACCCCCGGGAGTGGGGACCAGCTATCAGAACGCTGTGGCCGAAGTCAGCATGAGCGATTCCTTGATGGCAAGCTGGCGGTGGTGTTCTCGGTAGGCCGCAAACGGTCTGTGACAGGCGCAGGAGAGAATATCAATCATTATGCCCTGGAGGAAAGCTGCTCGATCTATGGTCTTTCGCACGTTGACATGAAAAAGACAGCAGCAGCTGGATGTCCTTGGAGAAATTCGAGTCACATTCCAATCCAGCACCGTCGGCTTCTTGTACGAGAGGCCACACAGTCAAACCCTCCGTGGATTACCCGCCGCCGTCGGCACCCGATATCGCTGCCCTGGGTGGAGTATTGAGATCCTCTCTTCTCGTCCCCAACCTCGTGCTTGTCGTCATGTGGGCAATTAGAGAGCGAAGCTCATATCCACACGGTAGATCGGCATCTGAAACTTCGATTCGGCCATTCTCCGACGATCCTATTTGGGGTGTACGGCGTACGATCTCGACGTTCCTTTCCCTCGCCGTACAAAAACTCTAGATGAAATCCGAATTCTCGATTTCACGATGTCTTTACTCTCCAGCCTTTGCGAATCACCAAAATGGCGTGGGCTTCTTCAGCATCGCAAGATGTTGAAGCAGGCGCCATACCTGTACGTGCAGAGGATCTGCCGTCCGAGAAGAAAGTCGTACTAGAGGATGAGAAAGCCGAAATCCTGGTCGGCTGGGACGGTCAGGACGATCCGGAAAACCCTCAAAACTGGTCGACCACGTTCAAATCCTGGGTCACTTTACAGCTAAGTCTACTGGCGTTTTCTGCCAGTCTGGCTTCCAGTATTATTGCACCAGCGAATCGAACAATAGCTGAATATGTCGGTGTGGGTGAGGAGGTTGTTGTTCTTAATGTCTCCCTCTACATGTAAGTTTCGTACCGGCCAGCTTGTCTCCCTAATGGTCCCGTATCTGATCGTGTGTCTAGCATTGGCTTCGCTTTTGGGCCCTTGATCTGGGGTAAGTCCTTCTAACTGATCTAGATCCGGAAACGGTGACACTGACTTTCTGATGCTGTAGGTCCTTCCAGCGAGGTCTGGGGCCGGCGATGGTCCATGTTGCCGGCAATGGCGTGCCTTGCTTGCTTCTCCATCGGTTGTGCCACAAGCCAAAACGCCCAGTCGATCTTCATCAACCGGTTCTTCAGCGGCTTTTTTGGCTCGGCCGCTGTCAGCAATGTCAATGCTGCATTGGGAGACATTTGGTCTCGAGAGGCTCGCGGGACCGCCGTCTGCATGTATGGCATGTGCGTCGTAGGAGGGCCGACCCTTGGTCCGACAATTGGCGCGGCCATCCTTGTCAATCCACATATGGGATGGCGATGGACCGAATATACGACTGCCATGCTCAATTTTGCCATTGTCGCGTTGACATACTTCTTTATGCCGGAGATGTATCCTCCGATTCTTTTGAAATGGAAGGCCCAGCGACTACGACGACAGACCGGCAACAATTCCTACTACCACCCTCACGAGAGGATCAAAGTTGACATCAAGTCCATCGTCACCAAGCAGCTGTCGCGACCACTGATGATGCTCTTCACTGAGCCAATGGTCACCTGCATCGCATTCTACGCATCCTTTGTCTATGCGATTCTCTACATGACACTTCAAGTCTTTCCGATCGTCTTTGAGGAGCAACGCAAGTGGTCGCCTGTTGTGGGCTCGCTGCCCTTCCTCGGGATGTTTATTGGGATAGTCTGCGCCACCGGGGTCAATCTTGGGAACCAGCCTAGATACATTCGCAAGTGCCGGGCCTCCAATGGAAGACCGGTCCCTGAAGCAAGACTCCCGCCTCTGGCGATTGGTGCTGTCATGATGGTGGTCGGTCTGTTCTGGTTCGCATGGACTGCTGCTCCAAATCATCCATGGCCTCTTCCTGTCGTTGCTGCCATGTTTATTGGTGGCGGGTTTAACGTCATCTTTCAGCAGTGTAGGCATTTCCCAGACTCTTTTTTGAGATACGCTGACGCATTGTCTAGGCATCAACTACCTGGTCGATGTGTACGGTCTCTACGCGGCCAGTGCCACGGCTGCCAACACCTTTCTGCGCAGTGTCCTTGCCGCAGGCCTTCCTCTTGCAGCGCGACCCTTGTATCATTCAATTGGAGTCGGCCCTGCAACGTCGATCCTTGGTGCTATAGCTTCCGTGATGCTCCCAGTGCCCTTCATCTTCATGAAGTATGGGATGTATCTCCGAAAGAAATCAAGTTTCGCCCCGGTCCCGGGTTAACACCGACCTGCCTTGCCTTTGAATCTTTCCCAATATTCCGGCAGCAGCAGGGTGTTGGGATATGGCTCAGACTCTCCGCCGCCCCTATGGCCGAAGGAGTACCGCAACTTCGTCAGGATTCTACAGACTTTGTCCCGTGGCAATGCCAGGAAGACGTTGATATAGATGACTCTACAGAGCACGCTTCGTCATCTAGGGGTCAGGCACTGTGGAGAAATCTACTCGTGGTCTCGAACAGAGCAAATGCCGATATACGAGCCTCCAACTCGTCTCTCAGTACACCGTTGCTTTGTGCGAACTAGGTTGTACCATTACAGGGTAGACCCACGCCGAAAACACGCCTCGTCCCCGTTGCTGGATTCGTCCCGCTACGGTGATCAATGCCGTCGTGGAAACTCCTCATCGCTGCATGCTGTTGAAGATTGTCACAGCTCGAGCCTGCAATTTTGACTCCCGACATGTGCGTTGCGAGACAGATCTACCTGGATGGGGAACGAGAACGACATCGAGCCCGCTCTCTGGGCCATTCGCTGCGTCGAGTTTTCCAGCACAGAGCATCTATATTGGCATCCGGGAAATGAGGCTCGCTGGGCACATTACAGGGGGTTGGTTAGGAAGCTGGAAGGAGTGGGTGGGTGAGCAAGTGAGCAGGGGAATAGGGAAGAGCAGATTACAATGAGGATCCTGATATGGAGGGAGGCCAGCGTCCGTGCGATGGGCTTGATAGAACGGATCACAAGGTCGAGCGGGTTGAATAGTATGAACTGTGAAAGTCAAAGTCAACAGGCTCGTGGACGAAAGTGTGGATTACAGGTTGAATGCGAGACAAGATCATGAATGAGTGAATAAATATAGTTCCTATGAATGTCGGTGTGAATGTCGATGTGAATGTCGATGTGAATGTCGATGTGAACGTCAATATCAAGAAACCACCGGATCTATGAATGGTCGCCAGCAGCATATGACAGTAGTAACGAATAGGACCGAGACACTAGTTCAGACGACCTCTTCCCTTCTTTCCTCCTTACCTTGTTCTTTTGCGATGTTCCCTGCTCTCCACCCTATTCATGTCCCACGTTGTTCCCTCTTGAATACCTGGATTTAGTCAGATGTTCTTGCATTCCCCTTCCGGTACGCAAAATTTTTCTTCAACTTCAGAGTCTGGCTCGAGGCCCAAGCCAGGTCCGAGCCCCAATTTGTATCCATCAGCACAACAAATTCACCTCGAAGGGGAAACTCTTGTGAGCAGGTGGTGACCTGGAAGGGAGCGATCAACGTCAGTCGCTCGGGTGCAAAGACAGAATGCCTGGTGCGAGAGTCGGGAGCAATGGAGGAGAGGATTGCTGCACAGTCGATCACAGAGCTTCGGGGGCTCACGGCAAATCTGAATCGACATCCGACACTGTTGCTGGCCGCCTTGCATCAGTGGGATTCCACGCTCCAGCCGTCCATGGAACAGAAGAGACCTCACGATCTTCGAAGATGCCAATCTCTTGTTCCCACAACCCACGCTCTCTGACCTCGGATTTCGGACCTCTACTCGAGCATACACCTCATTTGATCGACGATGACCCTACCGAACCAAGAAGCGCTGAATTCTGCCTGCCGCCAGCGGCGGCAGCCCGGCCACGCGAATCATTCGCAAGACAACTCGGTGAACAAGACAGAAGGGTAAAGCTTAAGGACCCCACCGCTTGTGTGCCCGTTGCGCAGTCGTGGCACAGTGTTTCCGAGGTCAATTTAGATCAAATCATTCTTGACAGCATTGATGAGTACCGGTCGCAACGGAATCAAAACCAGAGACAAGATACCCTCTTCGCGCCAAACTCACCAAATCTGCCCGAACCATCCACGCGACCCGGGGGTTTGGCTTCACCTTTCTGCAGGCCTGACTCAAAGACAGTCTGGAAACTCAACCATCCCAACAGACAAGAATATCAGCGAATGAAGCAGGATTGGCAAAAGCTCGAGTGGGACGATGAAATGTGTGGGTACAGACGTATTCTCGCCGCGAGCTGGGCTTTGACCTCGGTGGTAGCATGGGGTCCCGAGGGACTTCTTCGATTGGGAGGACAGACGGCAGAGCACGAGCAGAATGGAGCATCTCTGCAGGACCGGGCTGTATCGTGGATGAGGTCTCTGATGGAATGTGTGGTCTAGTAATGTAGACTGACTGAGGTGCAGCGAGGCGCAAGAAATTGTGGAATTCTTGCTATGGATTGCAAGCAAAGGAAGGGAATAGAGCCCAATCAAATTTGTGCAATCGTTGTACTCCAACCTCTGGGGCGTGGCAGTGGTTCCACTCGAAGAACATCCGCTGAGTCCAAATCCAAGGGCATCGGTATCAATTTGCCCATTTTGGTGCGAAAAGTGCATCATCTGTGTGACTAGGACTGGAGCATTCGATTGGGTGCCCTTTGTCATTTCTGTGCTTCCTCGCTGGTGTAACCCTGACGCCTTCTTGACGGTTGTGTCGTTGCACATCAAAACAAAATCTGCCTGCGATTTAGTATTTCTTTTGTGCAGCTCACCTTTGCCTACACCAGCCATTAGAACGGAACAACGACCCCTTCGAGACAGTGACATCTATTGTGCCGTCAACGCCATTGCATACCTCCCCAAATATGTCTTTTCGCGAAGTACGAAGGATTCCAATAACCAGAGGATGGGGTCCCTGCAAGAGAACTCACTGGGTACCTGTCAGCGATTACGAGATGTGGCAGACTCCTGATGGCTTCACCCATACGTCGCACTGGAGGGTCGGCATCGATCCTTGGGCACTTGGGACGCGAGGACCAGAGATATATCCGGCACGCGACGATATACGATATGTGGGGTTTCGAGAAACCAGGCCTGGTGGGCCTGGCTGGCTATTGGGCCCTGGAGTGGAGAGGATTCGGGATGGCAATTGGAGCCTGGCCGAGATCAATGAGGTATTGGACGGAGGATATGCTCGAGACCGGCAGGAGCTCGAGGACCGGCGGGCGATCGAGGAACGGCGGACAGACGAGTATAGAAGGAGATGGCTCGCGCTCCATGAGGCGTCCACTGGCACACAAAACCGGCTGGCCCAGCACATGGAGGACTATAATAACGCCATGCAAATGCCTATCGCCAACGACAGACTCACCAGCCTGCGGCGGGACGCCGAATCGTATAGCGAAAGACGGAGACAGCGAGAGGAAGAGCAGCACAAACGAGACCGACAGAGGGAGAGGGAGCTTCGCGATGCGGCCCTGGGACGGAGGGTTGATGAGGACTTGGAAGACTATGGATTCGTCCCTGTCACGCCCACGCGACGGCGACGAGGGCGACGGTGAGGGACTCTTGTGCTTGGTCTTGTGGATGGATATGTGAGCATTGAGGGGAGGAGAGGGTAGAAGAGGGCGTGGTGGATAGGCACCTTGGAGGTCGTGTTTTTTGAAGAGTCAGAGTGAGAGTGAGAAGGACAAGGCGAAGGATGATGGCGCAGGCGCAGGAATTGTCCGTTGGGCGGGTTGGCGTTTGGCTGGCGGGGGCCGCGCTTCTCCGATCAAGGCTCTATACGCGCAGGGCGCACGGAAGCATTGATTACTAGACTTCTTCTCTCGTGGTGTCTCTGGTCGTATTTCTATCCTTATATCATTGCAAAGAAATCCCTCTCCCTTGTCTGTGTCTCTATATCTCTCCCATTATATCAGGAAATGGCTCCTAAACAGGTGGTAACGTCGGACAAAGGCCTCAAGTCCAACCTCTTCTCTCAGGCCACCATCCACAATGGAACCGTCTATGTTAGTGGAAACATTGGCATCGTCCCCTCCACGATGAAGGTGGTGGAAGGGTCAGTTGCAGACAGGACGAAACAAGCCCTGGAAAACATCAGAGTCGTGCTGGAGGAAGCCGGAAGCAGCTTTGAACAGATCCTCAAGGTATGTCTGCACCCAGCGCATTCTCGGGAGAAGCACTGACCAGGCCCAGATGAACATCTACCTGACCAATATGGAGGATTATGCGGCCATGAACGAGGCCTGTGCGTGGTTCCCCCAGCCCTGCAGCAACATTCCTGCCTGACCCAGAACAGTCCTCAAGATCATCCCGGATCCCAAGCCAGCACGGACCTGCGTCTGCGTCAAGGAGCTTCCATTCAAGACAGATGTAATGGCGTCCTGTCGATTCATCCGCTGTCCATGCTAACAGCAGTCAGGTTGAGATTGAATGCATCGCAGCACTGTGAGGGGCATGTAGAATGCTGGCATTGCTGAACACCTACCACTGACTGTTCCACCAGGGGCGAAACCTCAGGGCCAAAGCTCTAGGCCGCTGGCGAAATGTCTTTGACGGAATCTTACCTTGGGAGGACAGTTTCTCTCTTTGTCAAAGGATGTGTTTGCAGCACTAGACTTCGCATTGCCGTTTGCCCATCGTCCTTTGGCCTTGGCTGAAAATTTTGAGTCAAAGGACCAGACCCCGACAGTGACAATAGGCGCAAAAATGACAATGAATAGGATGAAAACGGTGCTATTGTTTCTTCCGCTTTCGGAAATGGCGACGCCGCATGCTTTTCACTCGTCTCCCATTCATATATTTCCTTCCTGGTCTTTTTGATCTCTTTTGTTCCTGAATGATTCGAAATTTGTCCAAACTCCTTGCAAAGATAACCAGACAGGGTCTCAACAGCAATCGCTTTGCAGAGCTCCAACATCCATCATGGCTCCACGAGTACGGCCGACCGCAACTCCGACTCGGAGAGGGACAAGACCTTCCGCCATGAGGACGCCCGCAGTGCCACCGGCTCCAGCAGGACCATCGGCTCCATCAGGAAGCACATCCCAATCTGCAACACAGGGAGCCACGCAGGGAGCCACGCAGGGAGCCACGCAGGCAGCCACGGGGAGAGCAACATCCTCCAGGCCATCTCGCAGCAAATCGCCCTCGAAGCGTGCAACAACTACCGCACCGTCTAGACGCACTCCGGCAAGATCAGCATCACCCAAGAAAAACCCCAAAGCCACACCGGCGAAGAAAACGCCTAGGACGACCAAACGCACCAAGGCAACGCCAAAAGCCAACAAGAAAGATGACAAAGACACGGAAGATGAGGAACCACCTACCGCACCTGACAACAATGATGACAATGGCGAAACAGACATACCTATCAAACGTGAAAGCGTGTCTCCGCCTATCAAACGCGAAAGCAAGTCTCCCACTTCCAGCATCAGGTCGGCTACACCAACTCCGGCTTCAAAGACCGCCAAAGCCAAGGCAGGCAAGAAGAAAACAAAGTCTTTGGATCAACAGGCGTATATAAATGTCGAGAGCTCAGAAGACGAGGACATATCAACAGAGCAAGCCGCGCCCACTCCCAAAGGGAAAGAAAAGGCGGTGGCGATCAAACAGGAGCCCTTGAGCGAGGAGGAAAACGACATAGAACAGGAAGAGCCTGTTGCAAAGACTCCCACCCGCAAAAGGAAGACCAGACCATTTGATGACCAACCTTACAGGTCTAATGGAGAAGATTCAGAGGACGACGACGACGAAGAACTCGATGATAACGTCCCTGGAGATTTGCCGCCCAATCCACCCCCAAGAATCACTCTCACATTCAGTCAAGACCAGCACGACCGTCAGATGCGAGAGCTTGCAGAAAGACGAGCCCGTGAATCATCTCCATCTCCCAGCTCGTCATCGTCTAGCTCGTCGGCGTCTTCCAACTTGTCGGCAGGTTCTCCCAGACCGGCTCCCCAGCAAGGCAGAGGTTCCCCTGCGAAGCGTCAACGAACGACATCACCCATGGTCGCCGGTCCCTCACGCTCTCGCAGCAGAACTCCTCAGACTCAGACTGTGGATCCCAATGACCCGCTTGTCCTCGCGGAGAAACTATTTGCGGACATTGAAGAGGTACCAAGGGCACTGGATCTCGACGAAATCGGCGCTCTCTTCATGATCTTGCAAGAGAAGATCTCGCGGTTCTGCAGCAACCATTTCGACTTCGAACTCACGGCAGAACAAGAGAAGGCGTGGCCCATGCATCTCTTAGCCACCAAGTACTTGTCGCTGATGCTGATGACGCAAAGAATCGCCGATGGGAGCGAATACGGCTGGCAGAACTTCTTCACAAAACGCGAACACCGACGGCATCTCGTCCACGGCATCATCGGCGAATGGTTCCACCAACGTATATTTAAACATACCGCTTTCAGCATCCCTGGCGACAAAGTCCGCGAACTCGAAGACATTGACCACAAGTATCTCCACTACGATGCCTTTGTGCGCAACAAGAAGAAGGCCGAGTGTCTCGAGGAACTCAAAATCGGCGAAGAATATTTTCCTTCGAACGATTTCCCGAACAACTACGAGCATCTGGACAATCTGGAGATCGCCGCTCGGAGGATGGCCACCAACTTGCTGCTTGTCATGGAGCCACTCCTCCCGCCTCCGTTCTTTGACCCCCTCGTGCCCAGATGGAGACAGTCATCGAAAGTCAGGGATGAAGGGGCCGAAATGCGGTTTCAGATCTGGCTCGACCTCGTCGCGTTGATCAGGATGGCTGGCAGTCTGCATCTCTGTATCCGCTTTGCTGGCATCAACGGCGTCGTCGTGCGCATCGCACCACACGTTCCCAAGGGTACCACACTGCGCCGGGACGACGCAGAGAGGAACATTTGCGTCAATGCCAACTGGTTAAATGTGCAAACTGATCGATCTGTGAACGCAAACGATCAGTTGCAGGTGCGGATGACCTGCTTTGGACGAGTCGAAGCTGTTGTCCCGCACGGCGCGGACGTGCTCGAACTCGAACAGGAACAGGAAGCAGCTCGAGCAGCAGGGAGAGAACTCACCCGAGAAGAAGCCGAGGAACGACTCTTCAACCTGTATCCATATGACTTGCAAGAGACGGACGCCGGAAGGGATGCCGTTGCGGATCTGCCACCGATCCCAGGCACAGAGTGGTCCACGGCTATCCTCAAGGCCGGCATTCAGGAACGTCAAGACACAAGACGTGGACGCCTTCTCCGGGATGACGAGTTGATGGACCAAGCAGGTCCTCAGAGCGGTGCATTCGTCACCGTCTATCCACGAGTCGCCCCTTCGAACCTCTACTGCGAATGGGTCTCTTCGTCCGAGAAACAGGCGACATTCCCACCCATCGCAGACGCGCAGCCCCAGCCGCCCAAGCAGACCCTCGCCGAAGTCGTCGCAGAAGCACGCCGCGAAAAGTTCATCTCCTGCTCTGTCGAGGACGCCTATCTCGCGGTCTGGAACACCGTTTCGCGGCGCGAGTTCCTCGAGTGGCTGGTGTTTTCCGGCAGCATCGCTGGCGTCAGCGCACTTTCAGCCCCATGGATCCGGAGCAAGATTGAGAGTCTCAACTTGGCAGACCGATCGAGAGATGTCGCGACAAGCATTCAACTCGGTGCCGCCCGTGCTTTGTCTTCTGCGGCGAACTGGCGAGGTGCCCTCCAGGATGCTTCGGCATATGTATCCCAACTCATCGCGCCGACTGCTGCAAGCACCCTGACGGTCACATCCGTTGTGACGGACTGGACCACGACGACCGCGCCGCAAGTCGTTGAAGCGACGACTCTTGCAGGAGGCGAGCCGATGGAAGGTGTCACTTACTCCTCTGCTGCTTCTTCTCAGGGTTTTGTTTTCGACCACCTTCTCGAGGAACTGAGAGGATTCAAAGGCCCCACCAGCCGACGAGTCATTGCGCAAGACGACCCGGATTATACCATGGTCGCGAGGCTCTTTAGCGAACAGATGGGTTTCGTTCAACCGCCAACAAAAACAAGCTCCACTAGGGCCGCAACCCACACCGTCTCCTAGGACCAGTCGCTCCAAGATTCTTAAATCTAGCGGACCTCTTATCATAGTGTGGATGGCAATGGTGTCGACGTGAAACAGGGCCAACAAGAGATGTAGATTGCAGAAGGATGATGGAGAGAAACAGCAGTGGTGTGGGATGAATGTGCAGACACGGCTCAGAAGAATCAAAAAGGCGCAGGCGCTCGGGGTCAAAGGCTGTCGAAGAGATGGTTGAACAAGTTGAGATATGTGACCACGTTTCTTCCATTTTCAACTTGGCTACGAAATCCCCTGGAATAAGGCAGGCACTTAGCAGGGGAACAAACATATGGACTGAGATAGATAGATTCAGCACACTCGCTTCTTAATCTTGGATCATCATGATATCGATTTTCAAGGCAGCAATCTTCAGAGAATTCAAACTAATTTTCCTCTTTTTGTGCTCACCGTTCCTTATTAGCAGCCCTCCGCTTCTTGCCATCTCTCAGTGGTCATATCGTAATCACTGACAGTTCACCTCCTGCAGGTAGTCCATCTGAAGTGACAGGCAATCAGCTCAAGACCTCGCTCACACAGCCCATGCTTTACCCAATGCGTGTGCTACGTAGGACGCAGTGGCTACTCCAACAAGGAAGATATCACTTTTCCTCAGTGTTCCCCCTTTTGTTTGCAGAAGCAGGTACATCAACAAGAATGAAGGGGGCCAAAGACACTTGCTCATCTTGCTTTGTTGTGTTTGTCTCCATGACCTCCCTCCTTGACTCCTTCATATGGCCAGACCGAATCCATCTGACCGCGTAGCCTCCACCGTCCATGTCGTTCCCTCTCGCTGGTTGCTCAAAAAACTCGCCTCCTCCTATGCCTTGAATTCAACAATCCCCTTGATCAGCCCTTCTACCTGTCCAACGTCCTTCAAACACTTGAGCCAGGCGCACTCTGCCCGACTGGCCTCCATCTTGGCCTTTTCCATTGCCTTTTCCGCGTCCCTGGCCGAACTGACAACCTCGACCATACACTTTGATAATTCAATAAGGTGAGCCTTGCGGGTAGGGTCGGTCGAGGTGCGCGCGAGGTCCAGCAGAGAATGGGTCATGTTCGTCGCGATAGCTAGTGTGGGCGGGGTAGTTGGGGATAAAGTCGTCGGTGATCGTACCTGAGGATGGGCATGAGTGGTGGGAGAGGCGATCTTCTTTGCCGTTGCTTTGGCAGCCACTGCACTAGTCTCGAGCGGCGAAGTGGGAAACACCGATGTGTTGAGGCCTGCTGTGAAAGGTGTAGTGGGACTGATGAAAGGAGTCTTCCGTCTAAGCGCTCTCGAACCTGTACGGCTGATTTGCTCCTGCGATTCTGTCGCTTGACTTTCATGGGTTGGCTTCAGTTTACCTTGTCCCGTTTGTCCATTGTCGCTAGAATTCACTTGAAGTTGACAGCTCACATTCTTATCATCCCTCTCTCCTGACGTCGAAGTTGGGACTGGTTTGCGACGTAGGGATCCAGGACCACCGGCTGCTTTGGCTGGGTTCGGGTTCACCTCATCTGATACGGCACCACTTTCAATAGCATTCGTAGCTGCCTTACTCGACTCAACCGACCTCTTGTGAAACAAGCCCCGAATGTTGGAGATGACTGTCTTCTTACTGGAACTCGACGGACTATGTGCCAAGACGTGTGAGATCTTCCTTCCTTTGACGGAGTCAGTGCGTGGAGAAATGCTCTGTGAAAATGTCTTTACATTGCGTGGCTTCTTGATCTTGTCTTGGTTGACCGCGTATGCTTTCGGTGCTCGCTGCGCCAGGAAGCTAATTGATTGAGGATGATGCTCAGGGGGAGAGACAATGATCGGAGGTGGTTTGGGCTTCCGCGACGAAGTGCGTGGGGGAAAGGGTGTAGTGGTTTTTGGTTCGGGGACTGTTGCGACCTCGTCATATGTCGCCTTTGCAAGATCATTGACAAGCTTCTCCTGTTTGGCTTGTTCTTGTGCTAGATCTTGGAACAAGAAAGGCGCTGTCTCTTTACTCGGGGCGGCGCGCAGGACGATGGTAGGTGGTCTCGACGAAGAGCTTGGTGTTTGTCGCTTCGTGATAACCCCGTCAGTCGTACTGCTCGAGGCGTTTTCCTTCTGCTTCGCTGTGACAGCCGCGGGCTTAGAGGGCGTGCTGAAATCCGCAAAGTCCTTGCAGGGCCAGTCACTCTGTGTAGAGGTTGGAGTGGTCTGGTAAACAGATGTCTCCTTCTCGGTCGATTCTCTGGCATTGACGTTGGTGTGTAGGTCTCCTAGCTGGCCCATTCTGAAATTGATGCTATTGTCCGGAAGTTCTGCCCGCACCACGGTATCCACAGAGCTATCCTTACCGATGAGATTCTGAGTCTCATCTTGGTCTGCGTCGTGATGCAGGTTAAGAGATCGATCTGTGAAATTTCTGACGAGTGACATGGGGCGGCTGAAGATGGCACTGGATCGTCGGACTTGGTCTTTCGCAATTCGTGGGGAGCCAATATCAGGGGCGCTTCCCTTGTGGTTAAGAGAAGGCCTGTGACTTCGCTTGCCCACAAGATCGTTGCCCCCTTGACCTAGCAGAACGCGGCTGGCAGAATCTGTGATGCGAAGAGTCGGACCCATTCTAGACCCATTCCCAACGCGCCGAACACGATATCCTCCGAAGGAATCGTAGCCATGAATGCTGACTCCAGACTCGCCATCGCTATCAACGAAGGACTCGTCATCGCGGGGGGCTGTTGTGGATAGCATTTCTTTAACATTTAGAAGTTCGACTTTATGTTTGTTCGTGGTTTCAGAAGGGTTGCCATTTTCGTTGACTCCATTGCTGGCAAAGTCTTCAACAAGATGGCTTGACGGTCTTCCCGCACCCGGGAGTTCGTGCACAGCGATGTTCATGAAGGGCTCCGAAGGTGAGTTCTTGCGCATGTTTCCTTCGCTGCTTTCGTCCAGTGCTTGACGAGTAAGTCTAGTGGGCAAAGGAAGGGAACTCTTGCGGCCATTTTGTCTTGGTGAGGAAGGTTGTTGGGTCGTGGTTCCACGCTGGGCAAGACCGAAGCCCTGGTCGGTGACTGGATTGCGAGATGATCCTACATCAATGCTCGTCTTATATCTTGAGGCTGTCTTTTGAACAGACTTTGAGCGGGTCGGTATGGTATATGGGGAGCCTCGGCCTGTAACACCATAACGACCACGAGAATTAGTACGGACTGGACCCCCAGGAAAGGCCTGCTTCGAACGCCAAACCGAAGGAGATTCAGCTCGGTCGCGGACAGGAGGGATATGACCACTACTTCCAGCCATTTCCCCAATAGAACCTCCAATTGCTTTTACCTGATGAAGTCGCAGTGCCGAGGTCTTTGTTTGCTGGGTCATAGGCGAATCGACATGACTAGACAGTGATCGAAGCAGAGATTCACGAGGTTTCGGCAGCTGGCTTGATGAGAGAGGACGGGTGGTGCTGTCAGCCGTGACCGCCGAATTGGCCTCGCGAAAATGGGTTGCTGCTGCCACCGGCTCGATATTCTCTTTGAATTCGACGTTGTGTTCTGCTTGGACAATTTTCTCCTTATCATCATGCAGATCCAATGCTCGCATGCCTTCATACAAGCTCTCGCTCAGACTTGGTTTAACTTGAGACTGGCTAACCTCTGAGCGAATTGTGTCGGCTTTTGTGGGTTCAATCGCAGGCCAGTCTTCTTGTTGCTGAACTCCGCCATAAGGAGGGGTTAGAGATCGCCGAAGGGGTCTTTCAGTGCAGTCGATGAGGGATCTGCGGATGGGTGATTTAGTCTTGACGGTTGCAACAGGAAGACTTGGGAGTGGTTTATCTTCAGGACTTTGGTGTCGTGGGTGACTCAGCGGAGCAGGAACAGGTGAACGAGAGCTTCCGGATAAGTTGTGCGGTTGTACCTAAACTGTTCGTTAACATCGCAGGAGAGACAAATATTTCTCATCCTCCTCACGTTGAGACTTTTCGTCAAGGACGCCCCCGGCGCGGCGGTGGAATCCATGTTCATGATGCCTTCTCGTGGAAAACTCGCCTTGGGACGCAGCTTCGACAACCCAAGATGCTTGGACGCGCTATTGACCCAGGACTTCTTTCTGGTCTCACCATACAAAGTGGTTGGAGTTACGGGTGATGCATTCGAGTTGGCTGGTCTTAACCTTGGCTTCAACGGGACAAGCTGAGCTGGACAAGAACGCGGCGGAGACAGCGCAACTGGTCGATGACCAGATGACGGGGTATTTCGAGACCGAAGGCCTGTTGGCATCCTTGAGATGGCGACGTTGTCCTTGTCAGAAAGGCCACGGTTACCACGGAAGGACATGATCTGACAAGAAGAATTTCTCAGGCCACATAGTTGGAAACAGTGTCTGGCAATGTAAATCCGGTGATAGTGATGGCCGACCGATTGTTTTGGTGGGTGCGGCAGCCAAAAGATCACAACCTACTGAGTGAAGTGCCTGATCTCCAGCTGATGAAAATTGTAGATCATTTTCATTCACCTCAAAAATAAATCCTTCCCTTATCAAATGCTTTTGCTCCTACTCACAGGCACAGCTCAGAGGCCCATGCCTTTTTGGCCTCCAAGAAATTCCAGTGCCGTCCGAATCAACAATTGAGGGTCGGAATCGGCGAATCTTATGGATAGTCATCCTCATCATACCCTGAATGATCGAAAGTGAAGTTGCTGCTAATCATTCTCTTCGTCCCCTTGATTGGCTGCTTGTTGGGACTCACCACCTTCTTTCTTCCGCTTTTCAGCCTCATACTGTTCCATGTTTCTTGCCCTCCACTTTGATCCACCGAAATCGTCTTCCCTGAGCCGATCGCCGTCGTCGATAGTGAGACCTTGCTTCTTGGCCATCTCTTCGAGCCTACGCTGTTCCAGGAGCATGTTCCTCAAAAACTCGGTGGTTTTTCCCAACATGACTTGCTCGCTTCTTTCATGCCCTAAAGCTCCTGGGACGAGATGAGAGAGTTCTGTGAAGCGGTCACGGATGGCTGTGCGTCGCTTATTTTCGGCGTCTTTGTGGTTGAAATTCTTCTGAGATGCTGTCAAGCGCGGCTTCGACACCTTGTTCGCTTTCTTGGTGGAGCCGGATTTGGAAGTGTTTGGCGGGGCGTCAGAGCCCGGTGTTGAGTCTCGAGAAGATGTGTTTGATTCCGTCCCTTCTTCTTTCGACATGGTCATAGAAGGTCTTATGTTTGAGACAAGTTGGAAGGATGAAGAAACGAATGGCTGGGACCCTCTTCTGGGCAACCCGGGTCAGCGGTCTGCCAGCAACTCTCAGCTGGTCCTTGTCGTCATTGTGAGCGAGGGCCCCGTGGTTGATGTATTTCAAAGTACTATTGATCGAGACTTGATCTGTCAGTCGAGTAGCTTCCGTTGCGAGGAGATGAAGGCAAAAGTACGATGTAGTCTACAGCTGTCTCTCAGACGATACTTCGTGGCTGAGGCTAGTTTCCGGTTTTGGTTTAGGGCGAGCAAACGGAGATAACCCCACCTGCAGCTGGCAATGTCCGCGGATGTTCTGGAAACTGGAACTCACATGTAATTACCTAGGTATGGATTTCCTTTCCGTTCTTTTCCAGTTCAGTTCGACATCATCGTGACCTTTCTTCTATCTGTACTGGCAATAGAAGAGCTATATTGCGGCCTTCAATTTGATGAATCGCTCTCGTCCAAAACCCTCTCTCTTATCACCGTCAGCTTCTCTTCGTGGTGTGATCGTATCAGACATGAGCACAATCCGACCCCTCCAAGGTGCCTGCAACTGCGGCCGCAATCACTATTATATCACCGCTCCACCCAATGCTACGGAACAGGCTTTGGTCTACTTTGACGAGAGCAGCGCGAGTAGTAAGTTCATTGAACCCTCAACTCTCACCAGCGGCTCTAATAAGCCTCGTCGTTGTTAGGACGAAGTCAAGCAACCCCACTGACCGCGTGGCTCCGTGTCCCGTTGTCCTGGTACTCGTCAACTACACAATCCTTCTTTCCGGACGAAACCCATGCCTCCATCCGCAGAATCTTCACACCTTTGCACACGCCGCACTCTCAGCGAGTGTTCTGCGGCTACTGTGGTACGCACCTGTCCTTCTGGACTGAACAACCGCCGGAAGAGGCAGAGTATATGAATATCACTTTGGGCAGCCTGTTGAGCGAGGACCTGCGCGCACTACAGGACTTGGAATTGCTGCCGGAAGATGTAGAAGCAGGAGAATTAGCAGATGATGCGCAACAATTTACAATGAGCGGGGCACTGCAGCAGGGCGATGAGGATGCGGCGCAAGGTCGTGCCACACAGCAAGAAAACCAACCAGTGATTCGGACAGGACGAGATGGTCGTACAGGAGGCCTGACTTGGTTCGAAGAGATGCTGGAAGGAAGCCGACTAGGCCGGGCGCAAAATACTAGACGGGGAGTCGGAATCAGCAATGATGGTTTGACGCGGGTGGAGTGGGAGGTGTCTGAATATGTTGACAACGGCAGTGAAGAGTCAGTGCAGACGGCCACTGGCTCCAAGCGGAAAATTGGGGATGTGGGCAAAGACGATGACACAACTATGCAGCAGTGAGCCAAAGATATGCTTCTGAGAAAACAGCATAGATGTCGCACACCAAACGGAGCCTGGCATACGACATAGCGCTGGAGTTCAAGCAGTCGGGCCCTTGAAGACAGAGCGAAATGAGCGAAGGAAAAGACCCAAAAGCCAAACCCATCAGTTGGTCATTGTACAATCACGCTTGAGGGAGGATGCAAGCCAGTGGTTCAACAAAGAGGCCATGGTAATAAACATCATCATCAACAGTCATCGAGCACAGTCAAAATCTCATTCAATCCGTACAAACCGTTTGGCGCGGGGTATCAACAGCCTCATCTTCTTCGACTCTTCGCTCTCCTACGTCGATCCATTTACCTCGGGCTGCGTGCCGGTGATTCTCTTCCAGGCACCCCTCATAGCTTCTGGCAATGTGCCCACCTTCTCATTGAACGACTCCTCTGCCTGCTTCCACTCTCTCGCATTCTTCCTTTCCTTCAACTGAAGCAGATTCGGCAGCAAAGCTTGGGAGACCGCCTCGCTATCTTCCCTTGGCAACAACGAAGGTAGGTGGTCCATGCTGATCACGCACAGCGGAGGGTTCTCATACCCCGGGACAGGGAGTGTAGGCTTTTTGAAAGTCGAGTTCTCGTTGTAGATAGGGACCGGGTTGTAAGGATTCGTCGTGTCGCAACTGACATCACACACGACTGACAGATTGCTTTTTCGGTGATGAGAGGGATTCCTTGTTGATAAAGGGCGGGATCAGCTCGCTCAAATAAATGCAGTTCACCAAGATGTCTGACTCGACAATCTCCGCGAAAGGCCCGCCTTTTTTGGTCTCAGGCATATCCCCTTGGAGCAGATCTTGGCTTGGGTAGCTCGATACACTGCCCATGGGCTCGTTCGGGTTGGTCAATTGATGCGCCCGCGCCTCGACAGCCAGTGCCGCACCCGCATAGCCAGCATCTGCCACCCTCCGTCCAACATCGTCTGTCAAAAGTTCGAGGTCGAAGAGTGTCCCGCCGCCTTGGGGGAAACGCGACAGGACTTCTTACCAACCACCCCGGGTCTTGTAGCAGTGTGCAAACTGCACGTGCGTGTGTTTAAGTGCAAATTTGTCTTCCGGGAGCCCCTTGAGCCCGACGATTATATGGTCTATCGGAGCATCTTTTCATTGGCCTTCGGGGACCAGAGTTGCGCCGACCGCTTCGAACTCGGAGTCGTCGAATATCCGTTCCGGGCTGCGCTCGACGTTGACTTCATAGCCGGCGTCCAGCAGAGCTTTGGTAGTGCTGGAGGTTACTGTGCGGAAAGTCAGTCACTACACAATCAGATCGAGCAGGATGATCGAAAACATACAAGCAGATCGGTGCTCAAGTGGCTTATTTTAGAGCGAAGGTGCAGTGTGGTCGCCATCTTGAGTCAAGCGCTCGGTGAAGAAGGAAGACTCTATGCGAATACGAAGTTCGGGTTGAGAAAGCAGTACAAGGACTCCACGGAGGTATTTTGAGTCAAGCCCTGCGACCAGGTATAAAACCGGTAGAAATGAGAGGGAGGCACATTGAGACTTTTTTCTGCCACCGCCGGAGACTCGTACCTGACGCAGGTCCAACTCCCTCCGCACCGCGACACGCACCCAATTGAAGATTTGGTTTGTCCCAGAACCGCAAGAGAACTGAAGATGTCTAAATCCCAGAAAAACGACGTCCCAACAGACAACCCTCCTTCCTACGACGCTCTCTCCATCCCGGCTCCGACAGGAGTGCAAGCAGGCACAGCACCTCCGCCCGGACGGCGCCCCCTCCGCCCTCCGCCACCGTTAGAACTCCCCGCCCTTAACCTTCTGCGAAATAAGCGCACCATTCTCGCCTCCCAATCGCCTCGCCGGAAACAGCTCCTTGCCCAGATCGGACTACATAACGTCGAGATAATCCCTTCGAAATTTGAAGAGAACCTGCCCAAGACACTGTCCCCGTTCGAGTATGTCCTGGCGACTGCGACACAAAAGGCACTGGCTGTTTATAAGCAGGAGGTGAACAATGAAGAAAAGGGGGAGCCTGGATTGATTCTTGCAGCGGACACGATTGTTGTGAGTTCGCTGGGAGAAATATTGGAGAAACCCACGAGTGAGGCACATCACATCGCCATGTTAAAGGGCCTGAGGGATTCGAGGGTGCATAAGGTCTACACCGCCGTATGCGTGGTTACTCCCCTTGAAAGCGCAAGAGATCCCGGCTATGCCATCGAGACCGCCACGGAAGAAACTACCGTGAAATTCGACTCTGAGGTCACAGACGAATTGCTTCTGGCATATGTAAGGACCAGGGAAGGGGCGGATAAAGCGGGCGGATACGGGATACAAGGGACCGGGGCGATTCTGGTGGAGAGGATAGAGGGCAGCTTCGACAATGTGGTTGGCCTCCCATTAAGGACGACATTGAAGTTGATCGAGAAGGTCATGCAGCAGGCAGAGGATGAGGATATCTTGGAGGGTGAAGGCGAGGATTTGCTCGAAGATGAGTGACGATATATCAGTCTCTGCATGAGGACAACAAAATCGGCGTCAGTGGCGCCCGGATCCCGGCTACTAGGTCAAGGTCAGTAGATAGAGGTCTCCCACAAGGACAGCTTGGTAGGAATTGTATTGTTTGTAGAACCCATGTTGTTAAAATGCATCATTTACATGGAGGCTTCCAACCCACCCCTCTTGCAACATTTGTGCCACTCCTTATTTCAGGTTCTTGAGCTTCCCATCGTAACCCAAACTCGCTGTATCGGCCTTGCCAATCGTGGCGTCATTCGCACCTGCGTGCCATATTCTTTTCATTGCCTCAACCACACCGACATCGTTGGTTTCGAACTCGTAGAAACCCACCGCCACAACGAGGGTACCCAGGTTCAATAGCCACATAAAGGTTCGCCGCATGGTCGGGTGACGGTTGATGGGAATGTAATCAATGATGATTGACCTGCAAGAGTCTCAACTTTCGCTTTCTGGTGGGGTGACGCATAAGTGCATGCAATGCCAGCTCGATACTTACTGAAAACCCGCGTGTGAGTGGATCAAAATACCAAAGATCAAAGCTGCATCTAGCATCGGACTGACTGAGCCGGCAGCAAAAGGTGTGATGGTCAAGGGCACCAATGCCACCGACAGAATCCGTTCAAATGTCCAGTGATAGCTTCCATGGAGGGGATCGGGCTTCGGTACGGGCGCAGGGTCGTTGACTCCCCCTTTGATGACCTGCGGACCGGCCGGGAGAATCTTCCTTTGCGCAGTTGAGGAGAAGGGCGCAATCTGAGAAGCAAGTGACAGTTGCGGGGAAAGGAATTGTCTTGTGGAAGGGATCAGAGGAGCTGGCCGGAAGGGTCGAAGAGGTTGGGCAGTGCTCGAGAACAATCGCTTGGACGTCGATAGGAGCTGTGCTTGTCGAAGCATAGCTGTCCTCGAAGCTGCCGCCATTTTCCTAGCACGATCAATGGATAGTCTGATCAAGGTGGTCGAGAGGCATGAGGGTCAAGAGAGTCAATGGTCCGATCGCATGCTGCGATGGGAGGTTGCTCGGCTGCCAAGAAGTTTGCCTCGGAGCCAATCAGAAGCTCTGCATATATAACAAGCCGGAGAACTCCCCATCAACTCATCAACTCCTTCACTCTTTATCCTCCTCTCCCTTTCTGCACGGACGTTTACGAGGCCCATCCCTCCATGAAACCCTAACTCTGGTGAAAAGGACTCGGAAAGACGTCACACGAATTGTAAACTTAGAATCCACAGATTTGTTGTGTATTCGTATTACTAGCTAACACCATGGCACACCTAGTGTGGAATATCGCCGACTCTACCGCGGCTATCTCACTCGAATACATCTAGGCTAGTCTGGCACTACTGACTTGTCGCGGAAGGATGATATGAATGTACTTGAGAAGATCTGTGCCCTCGCGGGCCCCCAAGACCGACAGCCTCGTGCTCCTCGGAATTCCGATTAGTCACTTCAAAGATCCAGCAAAGGGCACCCAAAGGGTACAGAATACTAGGTATATGGAGCATCGCCCCGTGCGGGGTTCGCCCGAGGGAAAAACACGCGTTATTAGAGGGGATAGCCTCGAGGACTGATCAATCACTCCACCAGTCAGCTTCTCGAAACCAGCTTAATAGCCTATCGAGTCTTCTGATATACTGTGTGCTTACTTCGTGCTATCGGAAAGCCTTATATAACCTAGGTTCACGGAAACGGTTTGTTTATCTTCGGCTCGCCCAGGGCATTTTCCTTTCGCTTTCTCCACCGCCTTGGGATTTTGTCTGCCTGCTTGTTCTCTGCTTGCTTCCACGATGGCGACTGATAGGGTTGTGCTCATATCTGCTGCGCCGACGGAAGATGTTACTGTCCCTTCGGACGCTCCCCATGAGAATAGTTGGTACAATGGGAGAGACTTTGACGGCTACCGAGTTACCGAGCAATTACTCTTTGAGAGACGAAAGCTGCGAGTCATCTGTGTAGGGGCTGGAGCGACGGGCCTTCAATTCGCATACAAGGCAGAACGTGCCTTGAAAGACGTGGAACTCCAGATCTACGAAAAGAACAGCGACGTTGGTGGCACTTGGCTGGAAAATGTTGGCACTCCCTCCGCTCTTTCATTGATCATCAGCTGATTTTCCCTTTCTCCTGCTTCTTCTGAAAAGAGATACCCTGGGTGTACTTGCGACATACCCTCTCATTCCTATCAATTCACGTGGGCAAAGAATCCCAATTGGTCAAGGTTCTACTCTGGATCGGAAGAAATATGGCAATATCTCAAGGATGTTGCAACCAAATATGACTTGGAGAAATACGTCCAGTTTAGGACAACTGTCGAGTCAGCCACGTGGGACGAAGAAGCTGGAGTTTGGAGATTGCGTATCATTGCTCCCAACGGCTCATATTTTGAGGATACTTGCAATGTCCTTGTTAACGGGTCAGGAGTCCTAAAGTGAGGAAGACCCCATTCTGGCCCAGTAGCAACGACATCAGCTGCTAACCGAAAATGCCAGCGAGTGGAAATGGCCTAACATTCCAGGCTTAGATGTGTTCAAGGGAAAGCTCATGCACTCAGCGAAATGGGACAGCAACTATGATCTGAAAGGGAAGACTGTCGCCGTAATTGGTGGCGGGTCGTCCGCAGTACAAATCATCCCGTCAATACAGCCAAGTGAGTGTCTCTCACACATTGCCGCTTCCTAAATCTTGGTTGATTGACCACCGTTTATAGCCGTCGGAAAGATGTACGCTTTCTTGAGGTCACCGGTCTGGATCACGACAGGGTTTGGTGCTAAGTACGCCGGACCGGGCGGAACGAACTTCTCGTGTAAGGCTTCCGCTCAGGATGTCTAACTGTCGCTGATTGCCGCAGACCCGGAAGAGCAGAAGGAAGAATGGAGAAAACACCCAGAAAAACATGCGCAGTACTGTCGAGACGTCGAGGGCGAGCTCAACAAGAGGTTCACATTGGTAAGTCCCCTCACTATTTCGAAGCCAACTTGGCGCCCTGAACTGGTCTTAGATGCATCTCAAAGCCAAAGACCAGAAAGTATCCCGTGATCTCGTCGCAGACATCATGAAAGAGCAACTCGGCCATGATGAAACTCTCACCAAGCACATGATACCACCATTCGCTCTTGGCTGCAGAAGAATGACTCCTGGATCGGGTTACCTGCAATCATTGAAAGCAGACAACGTACAGGTCATCCCAAAGTCAGCTACAAGGTTGACAGAAACTGGTATTGTGGGCGAAGACGGGGTTGAGCACCAGGTCGACGTAGTCATTTGTGCAACAGGCTTCGACACATCCTTTACGCCGCATTTCAAGGTCTATGGTCGCAACGACGCTGAGATCCATGAGCAGTTTGGCGACTTCCCAATTGGGTATCTAGGCATTGCAGCCGAGAACTTTCCCAACCTGTTCCTTCTAATAGGCCCCAATGGGCCGGCATCGCACTCGAGCATTCTACCAATCTTGGAATGGTATACTCGATACATCTTCCAGGTCATTGAAAAAATCCAAACGGAGCGCATCAAGGCTGTCGAACCCAAGAAGGAGGCCATCAAGGATCTGTACAACCACACCCACGAGCTGATGAAGCGTCTGGTCTGGTCGTCCGCCTGTCGATCGTGGTTTAAAAACGGGAAAACACACGGTCCGGTGACTGCCATCTACCCGGGCAGTCGACTACATTTCTTCGAGATTATGAAGAACGTGAGATGGGAGGACTATAACATCACATACATGTCGGAGAACAGATTTGCGTTCATGGGCAACGGCTATACACAGACTGAGGTGGACCCTGAAGGAGACCCCGTGTGGTATTTTGATGACCCTTTCACCAAGATTTAGAGCCTTTTCTTCGACCGGAGGATTAGCAAAAGTTAGAACATGGTACAGACCGAGGCAGCAGAAAGAAGGGAAAACGTTTCCATCACACGAATACTACTACTAGGAGAGACCGTCAATTGGAACCCCGGAGTCTTACCGCAGTCCGCGCGGCCATGCCCAAAGCGTGATGCGAACGTGACGTTGGCCTAGTGGCCCTATGGGCCTTTGTGTCTATCGACTGTGATCGCAGGTAGAGGAAGTCCGTCGGCACTCTGCCCCGAGTAGCTGAGGGCTGGTCAGCAGCGGATCATGGGGTTGGCTGGGTGGGCAAAGGGCGTGGTAGCGGCATGGCTCAGGGTCGTGAGGTCGCCTTTCTAGCCTAGGTCCTGGCCTAGAGCTCTTCGTATAGGGCAGCCCACGTCCCGCGCACGCCCGCCCTCGCCGCCCCTCGCCGCTAAGACGCCCACAAGGTTTTCGATTGACACTGGCGGACTAACCCCAAGTGGCCAAGTCCAATGATGCCAATGGGCCTACAGTTCTGCGCTGTTCCTACCTATAATCCATGGATCGCTATTCGACTCATCCTCAGTCTGTTGTACGAGCCCGAGCATTGCTCTCCAAAGGCAAGGTCTGTATAGTGTTCGGCAGGGACTTCGCGTTCGAGGACAATTCATCATTTCTCCCAATACCCATTGATTTCATCTCCTGTCATATATTTGCCTGTATTTTATTTCCTCGTCCTTCCTCCAAGGAAAATGTCCAAGCGGAGCTGGCAAGAGGCCGAACTGCCATCCCCACGTTCTGCTCCGGGCCCCAGTCCACACAGAGCAACCTCTACGACATCTCCTAACACATACAACTCTCCTGCGCAATCCGCCTCCCCAAAGAAGCCTCGCAATTCCTTTGACGAGCCTAGTCTTGTTGCCAGAGCCGCGTCCCGTCCCCAACGGACAAATTCCACCACCAATGGAGCGGCCGCCGACGCCAAGTTGCCCGGTATCTCGAGAAAGGTCAAGGCGTGCGCAGCATGCCGCAAGCAAAAAGTAGGGCTTCCACAAGGTTCTCGGAGTTCCAGATAACTGAGCAGATGCGTTGTACAGATCAAATGTATCATGATTGGTGACCCGCCGTGTCAACGATGCAAGGAAAGGGGATTATCGTGTCGCCTCAACAAAAGCCTACAAACCCTCATGTCGGAAGACTCGAAATGGAAAGCCGCCGTTACAAAGGATGTCACAGCTCTGTACGCGGCCGTCGAAGAGATTGTGCGAACACTGCAGCTGCCAGCCCTGCCACAAATGCTCGTCTCCACGCAAGACCCGGCCATTTTCTTCGACCAGGAGGAACAGGGCAATGATCCCGACGACGAGGACCAGTCCTTTGACAATTCACCCAAGGTAACCCCGGTTGCCGACAATTTGTCACATGTGCCCATTGAGTCGCTATATCAGATCACCGGAATGCGGTCTCTAAGAGCTTCCGAGAACATCACCGAAGATCAGTCCCGCATTTGCAAACAACTGCGAGACACCGACTTTATTGCAAGGGGCTTGGTGAAGCAAGAAGATGCGGAACACCTGGCCACCTACTATCTCAGCAAGCTTGACCCATATATTTGGCATATATGTCCCGATTATTCGGATCTGGAGTCCTTCCGACGTCGCTCACCGACACTGACTGCATGTGTTCTCACTGTGGCTGCCCTTCACGACACTAAGCTGGGTCACCTGTACTCCGTCTGCAGCAAAGAATACAGAAGATTGGTAGCCAATGCCATGTTTGAGCGGAAAATTGACATGGAGTATCTGCGAGCCTTGGTCCTTGGGTCGTATTGGCTGAGCGACATCTCGTGGACTTTATCCGGTTATGCCATTCGCCGTGCCAGCGAATTCCACCTCCGACAATACTATCACGAAATACAAGAGTCGGTCAGATCGCCGGAAAAGGCTGACCCAGCAAAATTGCAGGAAGCCATGGACGGCATTAGAGTACTTTACCTGCTCTATATATGTGACCACCATCTCTCTATTCTCTACGGCCGATCGTCAATCATGCGTGACAACGAAAGCTACATTACTGGCTGGGAATCCTATCTAGCCTGCTCATTGTCCACAGATGCCGACCGTAGAATTGCCGGGCAGATCTGCCTGATGTACCTGATGAACCAAATACGAGAGACCCTGGGCCCCGAAGATACCAGTTCGGTACTGCCGGTCTCTGCTCTAACCAAAATTGCCGGCTTTGAGCGCGACCTGGACGACTGGATTGCCCGGTTCTCGAGACACAGTAAGTAGAGTGGAAGCTGTATTCATTGATCCATGCTGATGTCGTTCCAGATCCAAGCCAATACATTGGCAACTGGCCAAACAAGGGTGCAGTCATGCATTATCACTGGGCCAAGCTCTACCTGCAGTCTTATGTCCTTCGAGGTCTGCCTGAGTCTGGAGCTGTTATCCCCGAGCACTTTTTGGAGAACGCATCTGCCGCAGTCGCTGCCGCAACTGCCATCATCAACCTGCTCTTGGATGACAAAGATGCGCAAATAGCTATTGCCTATGTTCCGCATCATATCCACGGCATGATCGCATTTGCCTGCATGTTTCTCTTGAAAATCGCAACAAAGCACAGCGAGCAGCTATTCTTAGACACCGTTCGTTTTCAAAGGCTCATCAACGCACTGGCACAACACTTCAAGTCGACAGATGTCGGTAAAGATCATTTAATTCACAGAATGGCCGAGGGACTGGAGAAAATGGCGGAGAGCTTGGGAGGACCAGCACGGTCCAAGAACCGCGTGAGAGCCAACGGAGAGCGTTCAAGTCAGCCGTTAGCGTCCCCGAGTCAAGCGGTCGATGCGACGGTGAATCTGGGGAGGATCACCAACGGGCAATCGGATGTGCCTGACTATGGCTCACTGGACCCAGCAGCATTCGATTTCGGCGATCCTGCTTTGGGGCTGGGCATGCCGTTCTTCGATTTCGAAGGAACGACTCTCGATGCAGGACAAGCAATGTGGACCTTTACGTAGGGAGTACAGGACACGTATGAGCGAGACCAAGGCTTCTGCTGCCATGATTACTAGGTACCTACCTGCCTACATATCGAAATGATTGGAATTTTTGATATAATTTTACCCGCTCACGCTGCTTTGCTGACGGGGAATGACCAATAAGCTGTCGTGTAAAGAAGCCCTCCCATTTGGGTATAGCGCCTCTTGCGGGAAGATCTGAGCTCCAGAAACTCCAGTCGCCTGCGTTCAAAGCTCAGTTCTTCTACGAGTACGACACACAGCTGCTACCGCCCTCCTCCTCTTGATCAATTCCCTGCAATGGCGTCTCAGCGGCTGGCGCTGAACCTTCAGCGGTCCCTTCGAAGCAAACGAGCTATCAATGCTATTCAGTCTCCTCTTCGCCGCTACGCCAACCCTGTTACTCCCTCCAGAACTGAAAGCACCACCCTTTCGAACGGCCTAACGGTACAATCCTCGGTTCCCGCGGCTGACTGGCTTGGAGTGACTGACTGGTGGATCTAGATTGCGACTGAGCACTCGCCATGGGCTCAAACCTCAACCGTCGGAGTTTGGATTGATGCCGGGAGCAGAGCGGAAACAGACAAGACCAACGGAACCGCACATTTCTTAGAACATCTCGCTTTCAAGGTGAGCGATGAATTTTCACGACTCGAAGGCAGGGATTTAACGATGTTGTAGGGCACTGGCAGACGGACCCAACACCAACTAGAGCTCGAGATTGAGAATATGGGTGGCCACCTCAACGCATACACTTCGGTAAGTCGGGCTACACCCCAGCTCCTGTCTGCTGCTAAACGAATCCGGTAGCGTGAAAATACTGTCTACTATGCCAAATCTTTCAACTCCGACGTTCCCAAGACCGTCGACATTCTTTCCGACATCCTGCAAAACTCTAAACTCGAGCCCTCGGCCATCGAGCGCGAAAGAGATGTGATTCTCAGGGAGCAAGAGGAAGTTGACAAGCAATTGGAAGAAGTGGTATTCGACCACTTGCATGCAACGGCTTATATGCATCAGCCTCTCGGCCGCACCATCCTCGGACCCAAGGAGAACATTGAGACGATCTCTCGCCAGGATCTGGTTGATTATATTACCACCAACTACACCGCTGACCGCATGGTCCTTGTCGGTGCAGGTGGCATTCCGCACGAGGAATTGGTTAAGCTCGCTGAGAAACATTTCGGACACCTGAGATCCGCGCCGCCGACATCTTATGCCGCTGAAATTGCCGCTGAGCAGAAGCGTAAACCCAATTTCGTTGGCTCTGAGGTCAGGATAAGAGACGACACCATCCCCACTGCACATATCGCCATTGCCGTTGAAGGTGTCTCGTGGAGAGACGACGAGTATTTCCCCGCCCTGGTTACACAGGCCATTGTCGGCAATTGGGACCGGACGATGGGCAATTCTCCTTACCTTGGCTCAAGACTCAGCACTTTTGTGAATGCGAATAACCTGGCCAACAGCTTCATGAGCTTCTCCACGAGCTACAGTGACACTGGGTGAGTTATTCCTTTGCGCCCCCAGAACTCATTTGCCTTCATGTTGCAAGAGGGAGATGCTAACAGCGGTGTGTTACGTGGTTGATCCAGATTATGGGGCATCTACCTCGTTTCCGAGAACAAGACTCAAATCGACGACCTTGTTCACTTCACTCTGCGCGAATGGTCCCGCCTCTCATTCAATGTCTCCGAAGCAGAAACCGAGCGCGCAAAAGCCCAACTCAAAGCCTCTATCCTTCTGAGCCTTGACGGCACAACCGCCGTCGCGGAGGACATTGGACGACAAATTGTCACGACTGGCAGGAGAATGGATCCTGCCGAGATTGAGCGTGTAATCGGCCAAATCACGGCAAAAGATGTGATGCGGTTCTGCCAGAAGAAGCTGTGGGATCAGGACGTTGCGGTGAGTGCGGTCGGCAGTATCGAAGGCCTGTTGGATTACAACCGGATCCGGAATGATATGGCACGGAATTTGGCATAGGCAGAAGGAGATGAAGTGGGTAGGGGGCCAGCGGGCTTGTAGAGGCAAGCGAGTCGATAAATAGGGAGAAGCAGGGGAAAGTGTTTTGACAATCACCCCTTCTGGTGATTCTAGAGGGCTAGGCAGTGATTTGTATTGTACAGTGCACATGGCATAATCCGCACAGAAAAAAAAAACGGACTGTCAACTTGAAAGAAGGCCGAGTCATCTCTTTCGTGGTTTCGTTCCTCGGGCTCTGGAAGGATTTCGTCTCAGTGCTTTCTCATTGACATAGCGCCACATCATTTATCTCATTGCTCTAGTTACGAACAGAAAGAATGGGCCTGGATCCTAAGCTTGGAAAAGAAGACTAGAGAGACGCAGACAAGAGAAGAATGGTGAACCCAGAAGGCGGCGCCTCCTCTGCAGCATTACGCTGATCATCTTGCATCGCCCTATTCTCGACCGCCGGCAGGAATCCTCTTCTCTCCTCTCCCCAATCCTAAACAAGACGACCTTTCTGGGCTGACAGGGAGGATTATTTCCTGAGCCCTCGATCCTAGTCCCAGACCTACACCCGGCCAGCCTAGACTTTGACTTTCAAGATAGCCTTTCCGAAATTCTCGCCCTTCAACATGCCGCTAAAGGCCTCGGCGGCGTTCTCCATGCCCACGGTCTCGTGGACCTTTGCCTTGAAGCTGCCGTCCCGCAACCACTTGGAGACGTTTTCGAGGTGGGACTTGGCGTGCTTGGGGCCCATGTTGGCGTCGCCGACCATGAAGCCCGTCATGGTCAGCCGTTTGACCACGGTCAGGAAAGTGTTGCGGATGGGATAGCGTTCAGAGGGCGGGAGGTTGTACTGTGAGATTTGGCCGCATTCCACGATGCTGGTGATGGATATGGTTAGAAAGGGCTCGTGAGATGATCTGGAGGGACAAGGGAGAGGGAGAGGGAGGAACCAGGTTTGTTGTACGAGAGGAATGCATAGAAAGAAGCGGGAATGTTGATCAACAAAAGGAAAAGCAGCTTACCGTCCAAAGAGATTCAATGTCTCCATTGCACCGTCCAACTGCTCGCCGCCAACATTGTCATAGAAGATATCGATGCCTCCCTCCCCATTGCCCGTTTCTTCGGGGACTTTCTCCCCTTTCTTCTCCTTGTGTTCCCGGACCAGGCGCCCGATGACCTCCTTGGTACTGGGTTCTTTCTTGTAGTTCCACCCGCCATCGAAGCCCAGCTCGTTGATGATGAAGTCCAGCTTGTCGTCGCTGCCCACGGATCCAAAAACGGTCAAGCCCTCGTGTTTGGCCAGTTGGCCGACCAATTGACCCACTGCCCCGGCCGCGGAGGACACCACAATGATCTCCCCAGCCTTTGGTTTGCCGATTTCGTACAGTGAAGAGTAAGCCGTGAGGCCCGGCATGCCCAGGGCGCCCAGGTACTGCCTGATGTCGAGCTGGGAATCATTCGGGTTGGGCACTTTGAACGGCCGCTCCCATTGCGCCTCGCCCTCCTTGGGCGGCTTCGCCACGTGCAGGTTATACTGCTGAATGGGCAGCAACAACCTCACGACGTCTCCCTCGGCATAGCCCTCGAGCTTGGAGCGGAGAACCCGCGACAGAGTTGCCGCGGAAATGGCGTTCCCCAGCGGAATCGCTGGCAGGTATGATTTAACCGAGGGATCCCGCAAGAGGCCACGCAGGTACGGGTCGAAGCTCACGTAGAGGGTCTCGAGAATCATGCCATTGGCGGGTAGCTCCTGGTCTAGGTCAAAGGGGCCGACGTCTTTGACTGCAATGTGTTCACCCGGCACGGGGAGACGGTCGGGCACTTTGGTGAAAAGCAGGGCGAGATTTTTGGTGTTGGAGGGCATCTTGACACAAGGACTTTTGGATATAACGCTTACTGACTTGAATGGATGGACTGATGAGTCGGGGGCGGGAAAGGATTAGGTGAAGGTCAGTGAGAGGGTGTGGATGTACAAGGAAGATATCAATCAAGAAGAAAATATTCCGTGGATCAACGATGACCGCTCATGCTGTCATGATAATGCGCTTCGTGTGTAATGGAAAAAGAGTTCCGACCGGAGGGAAGGGAAGGGTAGCGAAACGATATATACACATATACGGACCACGACTCCACCCCAATTGCAAGTATATGTATATAGTCGCAAGAAAGAATCTATTGAGATGTACCGAGTATGAAGGTCGGATCTCCTAGCCTCGGACAAGAGTGTTTGTCATCGTTCTCTTATGTGGCCATCGGCGAGAGAAGAAATGAACAAGTCATCACAGACGCAGACCATCGACAAAGTGTTCGGATCTATTTTCGCCCGGGTGGCAGATCCGCAGAGAGGATAGACGGCGGAAGTAGAGAAGTAATAATACGAGACAGAAGGGCCATGTTTGTCAACCAGGGGGATATTATCAATGTCTGCGAAACCTCCTAGGTAGGCAATAGGTACCTACATCTCGGCAAATCCCTCCCTGTCAGACGCAGGCAAGGGGAGCAGAGAAAAGAAATACCCGGGCCATATCCGAATACGGCGGACCTGGATATTTCCTGCGGACTTATTGGGCTGCTCGAGGGTTGTTCAATACGACAGGCTGGACCGCCAAGCTGTAGATTGGAAATCAAGAGGCAGTATTCCTAGTCGGCACGGCGGCATCGGAGAGAGGGCAGGGTTTGCGAATCTATCGTCGCATGTCGTGTCTATATCATACATCCATCTCTCGTAACAATCGTGGACTGTTCAATAGTTTGGCATCTTGCAGCGTGATGGTCATGGCCGGCGGAGGGATGCCACAAACTTGCCGTGAGTGACACAAGCCCGCATGTCACGAAGTGTTCAAGTTCGCGTCGTCCGTAGCCCATCGTCTCCGAGTACAAATCTTTCCGAGAACCATCGAGGCACGCCCGACCCAGTCTCGGGTGGTTTCGTCCCGCTCGTCTGGCGGCAGGAAATGTTGTTGCTTCGCCCAGCTCTCGACCCATCATGGCAAGGCTCTGACTCAGAGGGCATCGCATACTGCACTGCCCGGTCCCAGTCTTTGAGATGCTCGTATGGACTCCTCAACCAAGCCTCCAATTCATGCAAAAACAGCCGAGCATTGTCGCGGCCCAGAAAGTCTTTCAATAACTCCTCCGCTTGCCCGGCGCTGCCTTTCAAATCAATCGACTTCAAGATCCCAATAATGTACTCAAGTAAGAAGTCAGCATTACTGGCGCGGCGGTCGGTCGCTCCAGGACGTGAATGTTGGGGAGCGCTGGGATTGAGGAAACTGAAGACTTGAAGTTCGCGTCTGATCCACATCCGGGCTCGAGATATCAGCTGCTCGTCTGCTGCTAAAGACGAAGGCGTCAGACTCCGGTATCTCGAAATGCGATTTGTGCCGACGTGCAGGGAGTAGAGTCTCTGCCGGTACACCTGTCTGCGAAATTCGAGCGCGGTATCTTTCAGCGCTTCAGGGTGCGCGCCTCTTGCATTGTTATAGCTTCCCCCTCTTCGATATGCTCGACCTTGCCTTGATCGTCGCTGTCGAGCAGCAGCGCTGGCAAGCCCATGAGTACTTCGGCTTGCTTGCGAATTCTCTGGAGGAAGGTAGAATACTTGACTTCGCTGCTCATCGGGGTCGCCAAGATTGAATCTGATAGCTGTGACTTGGCCTTTGCACAGTGGGCAGACTTGTTGCCGTTGTAGCCATGTCCCCAAGCATGAGAAATCAAACTGGTCGTGGTGGCAGGGTAGGGCGATGGCTTTATCCGAGATGTTGTCTAGGCAGATGACACATTGCTCTGGCGGGGGGAGTGTGTCTTCTGAAAGAGGTAGTAATGCCGTTTTCGAGCTCGGAGGCTCACTGAGATTCAGTGCTATCTCATCCTTCGAGGATTCTGTTGCCATCAAGCGGTGCAAAAGGAAGAAAGAAACGACATGGCGGGCGCAAGTGGCGTGGAAATGCTTGCGGGCTCTTGCAGTTGGAGGGCCAAATGCTCCGCCGAAATTTCAAATGACGCCACTCTAAAAAGGGGTCTAGCCTTGCACCGCCACCATCCACAAACCGGCCTTCTACTGAGTACATTTTGATATTCCAAACGCAACTCATTCCCATTCTGATCGTTCACATAAGAAAGCTAAGTTCTGTTTAGAGCCCCTGGCCTTTCATCCCATTTTCTGACTAGATGTTGAACGGACGACGGTCTGTCAAACTAGGCTAAACAGCAACTTCGCATCAGCATTTATTAGTCCTCACCGACAAAACAACCCCCAACACCCTCGACATACATATATATATATATATATATCTTTGCCTTGTATCCTCATGTCTTGACCCGTTGGTCTAGATGACTCAGAATCGCCGTAGAATAGTTCACGCAGTCAGCAACGAAATAAGAAAACCATTTGCTCGTGTCATGCCTTCGATAGTATCGGTCACCTCAAATCCGCCATACTCAACAGCCCAAACGCCAACGTTATAGAACGCACTGTCACCTGCTTCTGCTGATTGGAAATGTGTTATCGAATTTGCAGACTTTAGCATTGTGTCCACACCGCTGGCATCTGTAAGGCAGCAATTTCCCGAAGATAGTTTCCCCAGCCAACAGGAAGTCGATCTTGGAGACTCAGGTTCTGACCATGTCGAGGCCGAGGAAAAGAACAGGCCAACGCCTGGAGTCAATTGGTGGAATATTTTCATCAATTGATTCTGGACCAAACAATCGGCTAGTTCCTGATCAATGTTACGCGCCTCATCTGCACCAACATCGCACGCTCAGCAACTGGTCCTCGCTGGTCCAAGCGATCCAAATGCGCATCCATGCTATCATTTGAGCGAGTTGGAAGGTGTGGCCGTAGGTGGCATGGCCAACCTCATTTGGGTGCCAGCGGAGTGGAGAGTGCTCGGGGCGTCGCGTTGATTGGCTTCATCTGCAACATCTGTTTGAGTATTGGGTCGACGAGAGGAAGACATAGGCGATGCAAGTTTAAGACAGAATGAGAGCAACGCAGTTTTCTGAACGCTGAAGGCCCACCAGACCTATCCCGAACCCTGTGAGCCTTCCAGAGGGAGAGCTCCATATCGATCGGTTTCACTGCCCTCAGTCCAACTTCCTAGATCCTCATATGACTACCGGACGATCGCAACAATGTTCACTTGGAGGCCGGTGCCCTAAGCGGAATTGAGGTGCCTTGACTGCGCTGGCCCCGAGTTCCAATCCTCCGTTCCTGGTCCCACGCACTCAATCCATGGTCGGCCAGGATATTGCGGGTCACAAACGCAACAGCAAGCAGCAACAAGACTGCAATGAGCTGTACCAAGAACATGAACACGAACTTGACCGCAAAAGTTCCTGTGAAAGGGCTGAGAGACTTGGCATGATCGAACGCGTAGACCACACTATAGATGGCTCTGACGCCAATGAAGACGCACGCCAGAATCATCAGGGACCCTGCGGCCCGCTGGTTGCGGAGCTTGAAGAAGAATTGGGCGCAGAGGAAAGAGACGGCAATCCATGTGACCAGAAGGATGATGGCTCCAGCTTCTAGCAGCGAGTACGCCGTGTTGATGTCTGATTGGGTGTTGTGCTCGTCCCCGAGCTTCGCTCCACCGGCAGCGAAGAGCGCAAGGCCGGAAATTGCGCCAACATGGATTCCCGCCTCTTCGATGAGTGTTGCAGGTTGACTGCGGTTCGACGTCGCATAGTAGCCCCTCAGCAGGGCCAGAAAACTAGCAGTAGCAAGCAGCAAAGGGCTAAGGCCAATGGAGGAAACGATGGCCCCTGACGTGGATGGGTGAGGGTTGTTGTGATCGCCAATCTGAATGCCCGCGGCGACAATGCGAAGTATATCGAACGCAAAAATGAAGAAGAATGCTCCAAGCGCGCGTCGACCATGCTTGTAAAGCAGCCACCCCGTGGGCGGAAGGAGAAGGATGTAAATCACCATTTCGGCGATTGAGAGCCTTGTTACTGAATCAAGCATCATGATAAGGATCTCTGGGTAACTTCGGAGGAGGGTTTGTACGGTGGAAGTGGGATGGCCTCAAAGTCTGTGATCGTGTCGAGTTCGAGCTGGATGGCGATTTGAAGTGCACTGTCCTGAAAACCCCAAGGCTCTTATATCTCTGGCACTTACTCTTGATTGCCATCATAGCTGCAGGTAGGTCATGATGTGCAGGCCCAAAGGGGCCACCAGAAGCGAAGCCGCCCGCCAAAAGAGGCTTCCTGTTCGCAGTCAATACGATATTTGGCGCTGTTCACGAGCATCGATAGTCGCGCAGCCGGCGGTTGCAGCATGTGGATCGCCCACCGCATTGACACCCTGCTGGGGATGCTAGGCAGCAGCATTCCCATGGCAAGTTGGCCATGCAACGCATGTGGAAAAGACGCGGAGCGAACCGTGCTAAGGCATCACATCTCGCGGATTTTGATCATTGGATACGAAGGTGGCTGAGTCGCCCTGGTGGCCCAACGGTCGAATTGATTACCAGAAAGAGAATAGTACCTCGTACAGAGGGATAAAGAGACAAGCTCAGTCAAGCATTGCGGAGATGCCAATCTTAATAAATCGTCCAATTAACATTTGTACAATTATGTCGGCCTTGGAGTTGGGTTTCTAGCTTTCTCAGCCTCGCATCCTTCAGCCTTGTAGCAACCAGTTACCAATCGTTGGCGCATCCCTGGGGTCTCAGGATGATAATTGCCAGATGACATCAAGACATAGGACGCGTTCTCTCCCACTTCTCATCCAACTTCTGCCTGTTCTCGTTCTACAATACAGGGTGTGCGACGACGTCTCTATGGACAAAGATAGTGGATGCTCAGCTCGCCATCAGCTGTGCCTTACTGTCACGAATTAGAGACCAATGGGCGACGACAGCGAGGCCGGCTTGATTAAGGCGAAAACTATAATGGGTGCCCGCGCGCCGAGCCCCAACAAATGGAACAGGTAGATATTGGGATTCAGCAAGAATCAGTTTAGGAAAGGTGACCCCTCTCTCAATTGAATGTGAATTTCCAGGTCGCCTGCCCGACATTAGGCGTCGGTTCTTCTCGCTATCCAAATAAACGCTGCTTTGCAACTCCATTCCCGCGTCGATATGCATCTGCATGACGCGCTGTGCTCAATCACGTAATATTCTGCACGCTGGAGGGAATCACTTTGAAGGCTAACATACCCGGGGTATCATACATAACACATTTTGATCACTGAAAACCGTCAAATAAAACACCGTAGCAACATTACATAACAGCCTGTCATTTAGAGAGATGTCAGTCACGGTCATCATCAATATAAATCGAGCGAGTCGCAGCTTTCCACAAGGGATGGGAGATTCCCATTCATACTGAGAATGAAGGGGAAATTAGGGCCACTTACACATTCACTTTTGTCCTTCCCCGGCGGAACACCCATCTCATCGAATGTCTTGGGTCCCTTGCCCGGGGGCCGAGCTGCCGTCGCTGGGACGGAACTCGGTTTCGAGGGTGGTGCGCCGCCAGCGGGTGCATTGGCGTCAGGTTTTGAAGGAGGGAGATTTGCAGGTCTGACATTGGGCGGAACTTGCATTTGGTTGCCAGCAAGAGGTCGTCCGTTGGGGTTAGGCATACCACCGTAGCCACCAACGTTTGCGGCCGGACCTGGTCCAGGCCGAGGGTTAGGAGGACCCGGTCTATTTTGCGATGGGGCGCCCTGCTGTCCTGGAGGGCCTTGTTGAAGTCTTGGAGACCCACGCGGAGGATTGCTGGGATTCTGCTGCTGTTGAGGCCGGGGTCTTCTCTCTGGTTCGAGCGGAGCAGAAAAGCCAATGTCAAGTTTTGTGGGCGGTGATTGTCCCCCTGGCGGAGGACCTGGCCCCAGGTATGGTGAAGAGCTATTGGGTCTTGATGGTGGGCGAATGGTAGGAGTTCCTTGTCCTTGAGGTGGAGGAGGTCCTCCTGATGGTATGCGCCCTCCACGACCATAGCCAGGCCCAGGGTAGCCAGCTCCTCCGGGGTTAGAATAAGGCCGCTGCTGAGGAGGCATGTTCGAAGGGGGAGTGCCGTATGGATCAGGCCTTGGAGCGCCCATGGCTGCTGCCGAGGTTGGCCGGAGGTTAGGATTTATGCCAAACGCGGACGCGGGTCGAAAATCTGGGCCCTGGTTGACAGAGGGCATATTGGGAGGTCCAGTAGGGTAGGGTGCTGTACTGCCTGGCCTTGCTGAAGGGGGTCTCTGATTGTTGAGCGACAACCGAGAAGGATCGGGCATTTCGAGCTGACCAGGTTCCGTCTCTTCGGACAAGGTTGGCATTGCTGGGACGGGAGGCACGTCGGGTCCTCCAATCATCGAACCACGCTGCTGCCGAATCTTTTTGAGAGCGACACTTTCATGATCCTTGCGTGACAAAGTCTTTGACCTGGATATAGCATCGATCCTTCCCGTAGCATCCTGATTGCCGCTCTGTGATGCCTTGCGATACCACTCTTTCGCCTGGTCAAAGTTGACCGGGACATAAATACCGACCTCATAATAGTAACCCAGAGCAAATTGGGCTGTTGGAAATCCAGAAAGCGCTGCTCGCTGCGCATAGGTAAAGGCGATTTCCTCATTCTTCTCGAAAAGACCCTCATGGCCACAGAGGAACCACTTGCTTATTGCCAATTCTGCTTCGGGCTCCCCCTGTCTCGCTGCGAGGACATTGTAGTGCAGTGACAAAGCGGGATCAAAAGAGCAGCCCAGCTCGCAAAGCTCATATGCAGTCCCCATTTTCACTTGAGCCTTGGCAAACCCGAGGTACGCGGCCTTTTCGATGTTCATCTTGGCTCCGGCAATATCTCTGGGCAGAAATTGATCCGGTACCTGGATTTGAGGCATCTGTTGTGCTTGGAGCATGCCGAAGACATAAGCACCCTGTGGCGCATTTTCATCTGCCGTCTGAGCCGACATATAGATGAGATTGAGGCCACGTTCGAAGTTCTGCACTTGTCCATGCTGGCCAAGGAGTGTCATCATCCCGAGTCTGTAGCACGCCGCTGAATCTCCAGCATCCGCGCCCTTTTGATAGTACCTGATCGCCTTCAATGCGTCGTTTGAGGATTCGAATTGCATCCCAATCCGGTAATCCGCGCGGACGTATCCTTTTTCCGCAGCTCTTGTATAGCAATAGAATGCTTCTTTTTTGTCGACCCGGTGCCCGAACTTACCAAATTCAAGCCACATGCCCCTCATAAACTCCGCCTTGGGATGATGTTGATCGGCGAGAAAATTGACAATCTTGAGAGCATCTTCTTTGAGAACGTGCTCAATTCGAGGCGTTCTCGTTCTGGGTGCTTGTGCCAAAGCGATTCTTTCCTCGTTCTGCTGACACACCTCCACATATGACAAGGCGTCTTGAGCCCACGCGAGCTGGGTATCAGGGTCGTCGCAGCCGAGCACAGCAACCCTTGCGGCTTCCAGTGTAGCCTCTTTCTGTTCATCGGTAGGGGGGATGTTGGGAGGAGGGTTGCGAAGCATGGGAAACGGAGAGAAGTTTGGCTGTTCCGTCGGGGCCGTCGGGGCCATCGAGGTCGTTCTGGGCGGGAAAAGATTATCTTGCCTGTAAGATTGGGTTTGGCGGTCGTTGGGCGCCCTCTGATCGTACCCTGGCGCGTTCATACTAGAGGGTTGCGACGGCGCCCAAGTTTGCACGTTGCCCTGCATATATTCGGCAGACTGGGGAGAGTAGACCGATCCTGAGTAGGCAGAATTCGCTGAATTGGGATTTGAGGCAACTTGCTCCATCTGGGCCACATTTTGTTGCATATTGCTGGGCAGCTCATGTACTCTGTAGTCGTCAGCGATGATCGGCAGCGTCATGAACCCAGTACCACAGACCTGTTAGGGGTTGGCTGTATGATTTCTGGCATGTAATAGGAATCATCTCCCCCAGGGACGAAAGTGGCCCCCGTATTGTAACTCATGGTGAGGCTCGGAGGGGTGATCTTTGGTGCTTAGTGTTTCGTATTTCAGCTGAATCTCAGCTCCAAGGGGCCTGATCTGCCTGAGCACCTGGGAGCTTGCAGGTGATTTTCTCAAGAGGTAAGAGATCTTGATCCGTCCCGCACCCGCACAGGAAGGAGGAGGGATGATGATATGGTTTTCCGGAAGTTCAGGAGATTGCCCTGGTGCTTACGCAGTCAGGGCGAGTGTTGGATCTTTAGGGCAAAGGGTGGGGGTATTTGAAGGAAGTAGATCAATGGAGCACAATTTCGGAGGGCTGGTCGACTTTGTAGACATGTCTTGGAGGGCACTGAGGAGGCAAAGGAGCAAAGCAAATGTGGCCTGGTCGTCCGCGTCAACCAAAGCCGGGCATTGTCTGTGCACTTGTGTGAGTTAAAGTTGATAGAATACTTGGAGGGCGCAGGCAAGGCGAGGCTGCGGTAATTGGCATTGCGTGGTGCAAGTGGAGGGGCCAGTTTGGCACTTGTACGAATAGGCACTTGGGACTTAGCTAAGAGGGGCATCTGGGTGGGAATACGCCCCGGGCGGAGTAAGCCGCAGCCTGTAATCAGAGGCGCCTATGCCCTAGCTGGGGCCTAGCTGGGCTCGCTAGGCATTAGAGATCAGTTGCAGCCCTGCACAGCCGCAACCCTTGATACCTAGCTCGCTAGGTACCTGGTATCCACCACCCTTGGTGCCATAGTCCATTTTTGGCATTCCACTGTGCCCGTTGATGTTCCTGTGATTCTTGCAAAATCAGGCCGTGATTCCTTTGTGTACAACGAAACCGCCCCTTCTAGCTGATGTCCAATAAGATGATGTTATCGACGCCGCTACAAGTCTCTACACATTTGTCCATGTTGCTGTCTTTGGCGAGACTCTCGATCCGATTGAAGCATCAAACATCGTGACTTCGAATAACCCTACCACGCGTCGAATACACGTCTATTCATCCTGAAGTTGAAAATGCCTTGCAGCCTGAAACCCCGCCAACCCAAGCTACACGACAAATGGCACGAGGCTTACACTGAAGAAGTCAGCCAGTATGGAGCCCACCCAGGCAAATTTCTGCCACCCTTATCAGCCTTATTCCATTCAATTAGATTTCATGAAAGAGCTCTATCGCTGCATAGAGGAGAACAAAGTGGGCATCTTTGAGTCTCCTACAGGCACCGGCAAATCGCTGAGCTTGATATGTGGTGCTTTGACCTGGCTCCGAGATCACGAGCATCTGGCGCTGCAAGGTCCGACGGATGGACATGAGCCATACGATTGGCTTCTGGAGGCTGAAAAGTCTGCTCAACGCCGTGAGCTGCTTCTTGAACGCGAGGAACTTGAGTTGAGACTTGCCACGATCCGCGAAGAAGAGGCATCTCGCCGACAGAAGCGATACGATGTGAAAGCTTCCAAGAAACCTCGAACCAAGGTTGCAAACAACGATGACAAGGCTACAGATGAGGACGAGTTTATATTGGAGGACTACAACAGCGAGGGGGAAGAGACAAACGCTGCCAACCACTCATCGGTCAGCCTTTCCAGCTCAACCCAAGCTCTGCTCGACAAGCTACAGGGCCCAACGAGAACTGATGTTGAAGAAGAAAAAGATCGACTTAAGATCATTTTTTGCTCACGCACTCATTCTCAGCTCACCCAGTTCGTGAACGAGCTGCGTCGTGTCAAACCCCCTTCCTCCATCCGTTCCGAGGCTGCGGATATCACGCGCAAGTCTTCGCTTGAAGAAGGGGTGAAACACCTTGCTCTAGGCTCCCGAAAAAACTTGTGCATCAACCCGAAAGTTGCAAGGCTATCGTCTACCACCGCAATCAATGAGCAATGCCTCGAACTCCAGAAGCCTGCCACTCCCAAAGACAAAAGGTGTCCCTATATCCCCACAAAGGACGACAAAGTCAAGGTTGATGATTTCCGAGATAGAGTGGTTGCTGAGATACGCGACATCGAAGACACGAGTCATCTAGGCAAAGAGATGCAACTCTGTCCCTATTATGCTTCGCGAGCAGCTATAAGCATGAGTGAGGTGCTCACGCTACCCTATCCTCTACTCCTACAGAAGTCCGCTCGTGCAGCTTTGGGGGTCTCAGTCAAAGACAATGTTGTGATCATCGATGAGGCTCACAATCTTATGGATGCCATTGCGGACACCTTCTCTATCTCGTTACGTCTCGGCCAGCTTGAACAAGGTGCTCGACAGGTCACCGCTTACGCAAGTCGATTCAAGAATCGCTTGAAAGGGAAAAACCGTGTGTACGTTATGCAAGTGATACGGTTGCTGACTTCGATGATCGACTGTCTGCGTGAGACGCTGCGAAAAGGAACTTCAGCCCAAGCAACTATAACAGCTACTCAACTCATGTCGGGGAAAGGAGTCGATCAGATCAAACCCCACAAACTCTTGCAATACCTGCACGAGAGCAAGCTTTGCCACAAAGTTGAGGGATACTCTGAGGCGCAGCGAGATCACAATGATTCGAATCACAGCAAAGGTGCTTTGCTACATTTTCAAAACTTTCTTATAGTATTGATGAATCCGGACGATGAAGGACGATTCTTCACAAGCCGACAAGATAACGATGTCGTCGTCCACTACACGCTGCTCGACCCAAGAGAGCACTTTCGAGAAATAGTCCAAGAATCAAGAGCTGTCATTCTGGCCGGGGGAACTATGTCCCCTATGTCCGACTATTCGGACTATCTCTTTTCATATCTCGACAGAGACAGGCTTCGAACTTTCAGCTTCGGTCATATAATCCCCCCTTCGCATTTGTTCGCTCAGGCCGTTACAAGGGGATCTTCTGGCGTTGAGTTCGATTTCAGGTATGAAATGCGTGGCTCTGAAAAAATGATTCTTGAGTTAGGAGAGCTTGTTGTCCGGACATGCAGGATCGTGCCGGACGGGGTTGTGGTATTCTTCCCAAGCTACGATTACCTTGCACGAGTGCTTTCCGTTTGGCAGCACCTTCCAGCTTCTCAGCCGGTAATGCATGCGCTGGGTAAGGTTAAGACAATCTTCCAGGAATCAAAGTCGGTTGCTGTCGATGAGCTTTTACAGGAATATGCTACTGCGGTGGATAGCGGAAAAGGAGGTCTGATGTTGTCAGTCGTGGGCGGAAAGCTTTCTGAGGGTATCAACTTCTCTGACAAACTCGGTCGAGCAGTACTTGCAGTCGGTCTCCCATTTCCCAATGCCAATGGAGCGGAGTGGAAGGCCAAGATGGAACATATTGAGGGAATTCGATACGAGCACTGCAAAGGCCAGGGGAAGGGTGAAGCAGAATGCAGGGCTGAGGCCAAGATTGCAAGCAGGGAATACTACGAAAATGCATGCATGAGAGCTGTGAACCAAAGCATTGGAAGAGTAATCAGGCACAGAAACGACTATGCTGCGATCCTGATGGTCGACCGACGGTTCTCATCGGAGCGGATATCGCGCAAATTGCCTGGCTGGATTCACGGAAGCATGAAGGACGGCCTCCGAGACTGGACAGCCATAGAAAAGGGGATTCACGTCTTTTTCCGTGGGAAGCAATGAGCGTATGTACATCCCAAGCTAACTGCCACAGCAAAGTCTGATTCAACACCCCAAAATTCTTGCCGCACAGCACAAATGTGGTGTTGACATGCCGACTTTGCACACTATCACACACTTAAGACTATAGAGGTCTGTGTAACTCTAGACCGCCGACATCATCCACCTCTCACCAAGCACGACTCGAGATTAGTGGCTTCCAAGGTTTGCGAAAGACCAAACAGAATGTTTTGTGTGACTGAGATTATTATGAAGGTTAACTAGACCGATAGAGTATGCTTCGTCAACTGAGGGTAATGGAGGCCCAGGTTGGGGCTTCCTCGATGGCGAAGCTGCGGACGGGCAAGACTGTACAAGGATGGTATTCCACCGACGCCAACACCAGCGGCATCAAACTGTTTTGACCTACTTGCTGCCACCGAACCAGCTGCTTATCCCACTCTTTGCCTTTGCGGCCTTCTCTTCAACCGTCTTATCGAACTTGTCAATTGCACTGTTGATCTGACTGCCTGTCTTTTGACTAACTTCCTTTGCTTTTGCTTCGGCTTCGGTGAGTTTGGCTTTGGCGTCAGCGGACTAAGAGCTGTCAGTATCGGATTTTGCAAGGCACAAGCAGGATGCGAGTTACAGCTTGGTTAAATTGTTGACCTGCTTGAGAAGCGATGGCCTCGCCTTTCTTCTCGGCTTCCTTTTCCTTGCCCGGTACTTCACTCTTTATCTGGGACGAGATTTTGGAGGCGTCGGCTGTGCACATGTTTAGTGGACTCCAGCGGTGAGACGACGAGCAGTCCTACCTTCGAACTTCTTCTGAGCGACCTTGGGATCGCCACCAGCATTATAGAGATAATATCCAACTCCGCCAGCTACCGCTAGACCAGCAATGGTGAGTCCACGGCTCGAGGACATGATGGGCGAACTCTGAGGCCTGCTGAAGTGATTCAGGAAGGGAGGATGTCTGGAAGTGAACCGCTCAATGGTGAAAGAGTCTGAGGGATGACGGGTGTTCAGAGAAACTGCGAGATGGCTAGGTACAGGATGGGGCCTCTGCAGTTATTGGCGAAGATCAGCTCGGCGTTCAAGAAAGCTCATAGAGGTAATGGTGGTATGATTTGCACCTGCGCAGCTGCTCGAACCTGGCCTCGCAGGCACTGGGCAAGCAAGCAGTGCAGGTGGTCATTGGCAGTGACATCATTGGCGGCATGGAAAAATGTCGTAGGCGCACCATCCGTCCACCAAGGTTCCCCGCGTCATCTGAGGAACCAGCCACTCAGAATTCTGTTTGCCTGCGCCAACGACGTAAACACTGTGCACTGGCAGATGCAGCTGCGGCGGTGGCAGGCTGCGCTCCTGCTTAGGTGGCTCTCATTCTTTCCCATTCACATCCCAGCTACTGCAATAGATCTCTGTATAAACCACCGCATTATTTTATCAGTCCTATATACCATTGTCGTCCTGTCAGAGAGGCTCCGAAAACGAAGCCTAGCAGTCTGGTGTAGGCGCCCTAGTGGATGCTCTAAAACTTGATTTCAATTTGGAGTTAGACGAACGCCCGCTGAATTCGATTGTTGCCCTAACAAAAGTCCCAGAGGCATGTCAGAAAATGTCTCCAAGATTCTGACTCGTATCACAACCTATGACGGGTCTGCCGCTGATCCCTATGACCATGAGATCGCTCTCATCGATAGCACCCAGCCTGGGAACGAGGCGCAGTCCCACGGTGAGCCTCGTTCAAGCTCTCCGAGCTCGAGCACGGGGCAACTGGCTAAGAAAGGAACAAGAGAATCTTTGAAGGAGCATCTGGGCCGGCGGAAGTATGCCAAATACCAGCAGGACCGTTACCACTCCAAAACGGGCAGTATTGTTACCGCCGAGGAGCCTTCGTCGCAATCAGCGTCAACTCCGCAGGCGCAACAAGTCGGGACAGAGGCTGGAACACAGGAAGTGGATTTTGCACACACCGCTTCTGCCACGAGAGGACGAAAGAGTGCGGAGAGAAGGAGGCGAGAACACAAAAAGGCTAAACACGAAATCCATGAAATCGACATACTCTACGAAAACCAGCGGGGTGCGTTCTTTTGTGGCATTCCTCTTTACTCACACTCGTCTCTGCTGCCGCCCGATCCTAGTCCATGGTCGAACAAGGATATGAAGGATTCAGCCGTCAATATCACCAATGCTCAGGTGCCTGATCCGACGTGGGAATGGGCATGGAACAGCTGGTATGTCGACATGAGCCACGACGTGGACGAGGAAGGTTGGCAGTACTCGTTTGCCTTTGGACGCAGTTGGACCTGGCATGGGACGCATCCTTGGTTCCACTCATTTGTCAGACGGAGACGATGGCTACGGAAAAGAGTCAAACGCGAGGTGCACGGCAGCTATGGGATGCCTGGGAGCATGAGTGATGCCCACCACTTAACCGGCGATTATTTCACTATCCATTCAAAGCGAGATCGTAGTCCGATCAGTGCGGTTGATGGCGCCGGTAAAACCGCCAGACCATCAAGCTTCATCAGCTTTCCAAGCACGATTGATCAGGACCAGCCGCCAGAGGAGATCAGAGACATTGCGACCCTGCTTACGGCACTCAAATTTGCACCTATTGATCGAGAAAAGATTGATGTGGTCAAGAGGTTCGTCCAACAAGGTGGAGAGGAGCTTGTCTACCTCAAAGACCATATACCAGATATTATGTCGTTTCTCGTCTTCCAGAATTCCAGGAGGCAGCTCCTTTCATACCTTAAGAAGACGGCAAATGAAGCGCGCGAACACCGGCGGACCCACGAGGAAGAGGACAAGCCAGAGGGTGACGCCGAAAGTCGAAGAATCGACAATCTGCTCGCTGCAGTCGAGGCTGCCGATGCCGAAATCGGAGCCCTTGAATACTGGAGCGACAGGAAGCATGTATTGAAAACGGACGATGCGCAAAGTCTGGCTACCCGACCGATAGCCACCATCTTCGATCAGCCGGCTCCGAAGCCAAAGACGGACGATGACCCCGTGGAAGAGATCAAAGGAATATCCGAAAAGGCTGACATTACACAGGGAACCACGCAGTCCGTATTCAATCCCGATCGACAGTCATCCATTGAAGACAAGCAGGAGCAAGACAAAGCGAAGGAGAAGGAAGACAAGGGCAAAGGTCGTGCGTATGACAGTGAGGACGATCAGGTGGAGCAAGACTCGACACCACATTTGGGCGCCGATGAGGTCCTTGTTCCAGACCAAGATTAGCGGTCTGTGAGAGCATAGTGCGTTGTTCATTAGCGCAGGCGTTTGGCTGGGATATTACCTAGGTACCAAGTATTTGGTGTGGCTGAGGCGGTTGACAATTGGAATTCAGCGAGTATTCGGTGTTCGCCGATAATCGGTGGCTGGGAAACCAATATAACCATATTCGGCTAGCGCCCCGACGGGTCGCGTCGCGTCGCGATTTTCGACTGCCTCATAAATGAGAGAAGAGCCAATTGAACTCTAGAACATCTGCAGGAAGTGTATTCAGACTTGCCCAAGAGCCAAGCTTTGTAAACGCCTTGCTCCCTGTCCTGCTCCGTCTCTGTCTCTACGTCTTCGCTCTTGCTCTTGCTCTTGCAGCCTCGACCTGGGTATTGATTTCGGTCGCACCTTCCTCGCTGATCCCGTCATGGCTCCTTCCCTGCGTGGAAGTTCGCATCGGGTCAGCAAACGACAAACCACCGTCAACAACCACTCAAAGATCTCCAAAGCCTCAAAGGCCGCTAAACTCCCCATCGCGCTGAAGTCGAAACTTGAGGAAGTGGTTCTAGGGCCTGTAGTCCCTACCAAGAAGAGTGTCAAGCATGTCTCAAAGCGCAAACGAGATGCTGTGCAGGATGACAGTGAAAGCGAGCCGGGTAGTGTCTATGTCACCCAGATCACAGCAAAAAAGGTCAGCGAAACTCGAGATGAGTTATGTGACAGTGCTAACCTGTCTTTAGCCCAAGTTGCAACTACCGACCCCTCCTTCCAGCAAGCGCGAAAACGAAAAGGATTCCGTCGATATGGAGTTCTCGCCAACGATGACCTTTCGGCAACTTACTCTAGACACCGACGATGTCGAGCCAGCTCCGCAGGCGCTTCCTCCAGTCTTGCAGGACTTCGTATCCCTGCATGCGGCCTTCCTTAAGGCGTTTACGCTACACATTGTCCATAACGGTCAATCCACTCCGGCAGATTTGGGCAGCCTGCTGAACTCTGTCACGCGGCTCTGGAAAAAACACACTGTGGCCAGGGAAGATATTCAACGGATGTTGGCCATCTACGAGTTGGACGTTGCAACGCACTTTAGTGGTCGCCTCCTCACACATCAAGAGGGGCCCTTCAAACTCACAATGACGGGCGCTGATTTCGTCCGTTACAACGTCGAGTACGTTGGTGCGGGAGGCAAGAGACCTGCGAACCCCAGGTGGGATGAATGTGGCCTGCAAAGGCTTTACGAAGCCGAAATCGAGGCGTGCTGGATATCTCAGCGGAATAACTCTGCCTGTTGGGTCCATGGTGCGATCCGGAACTTTCCTCGTTTGAACTTTGACGTGGGCATGGAGACCCAAGTGCGGAAAGCCAAAGCTGAGACGGCCCGAAGAGAGATCCTAGGGTTATCGTCCGAAGCACAAAACCGTGCGGGAGCTCAGTTCTCGATGCACACGAGCAACAACTCCGAGAGCAACGAGGCCAACACCCCACGGATTGTGAAAGATCGGACACTATCCCTCTTAGATCGGGTTAGAGCCAAGGCACTTGTCAATTCTACCATGACGGCTCAGAGTGCAGAAGCCACTCTTCGTCGCTACGCCGTCGGCCGCATTGCAGAGGTGGTGGAGATCCTCCGAATGAGGCAACAACGGAAACTGAGTTCCAATTTCGTGTCTTGCATTCATTCGAGCCCGAGCAAGGTTCGAGGCAAGGTGTCGTTTAGCATGCACCAGCTGATCAACGACATCAAAAGCAGCCTGGCTGTCCCGATCGGGGATGCAGAGGTCAGAATGTGTATTCATATACTTCAGGATGAAGTCCCAGGAATGTGGGTGTCTGTCTATACTGTCGGAACAGTTGAAAGTGTTATTCTCAATGGACCAGGACTGAGCGGCGCCGAGGTGAAGAAGATCATTGACGAGAAAGAGGGGACGAGGTGAGGAACCGTCCAAGCGCATTGAACAGGATACGAAGGACTGCCGTCCGGCGACGGATCTCCCTCGTTGCGGTTACGAGACTGTCGGAAGCTGTGATAAAGCGGGCTGTCAGCAAACCCACTCAAGGATTCGTTCAGGGTTGAAGGTGGACATGTCAATGGATGCAGTCGAGGAGTCTATAGTCGGATATCAGAGGATCTAGTCGGTACTTGGGTAATATTGCCTGACATGGAGGAGAGTTTGTAGAGCGACGGCTGCAGTGATAGCAGCATGACTCTATCGAGTCCCTACCAGCCACGACCAAAAAGGATAATAACGCAAACAAGGACATGTTCGCTACGCACTTCATCCTTTCTGTGACTGCCAGATGTGACAGCAACATTGTCCTCACACCTTATCGCCACGCGCATTGCGACGAGCTTCCGGACGATACCGGCACTCTTCTAGGCCCCTTGCGGCCTCGCATGTTGGATCCTCAAGATACCTAATGCCCAGATATGCATATCACAAGGCGAGGCTTTGGAGCCCAGCGACCGGGCGAAGCCGGCAAGTTGTCGAACTCCTTGTCATTGAAGGGCGCACACTGCTGAGGCACCTCCAATGGGCACAGCGAGATTAGTGATCTCGTTCGCCCAGGAAGGGTATTTGTTTCTCTTCAAATTCCGGTAATCAGTAAATATTGGCACGAGATCTACTTAAAATACTTTAAAGCGCTTGGGGAGGAGGAAATGGGACTGATCTGCGCTTCAGCGACGAGTAATTACTTTCTCGAGTTCAGGCGTTCAATTTAGGGCGACAGCGTCCTCGTATACAATCTGAGACTGCGGAGCGATAATTATCTTTTTGACAACCGTCAGATCACAAAATACTCTAGCAGGAACATACGGACAGGAAACAACATGGCTGGGGGAGGACCAGTTCCCGTCCCTGTAAAGGGCGACGATGCCACCATCCTGTGCATGGAAGATATCAAGGCCGTCGCAGACGCAAAGCTGCCAGAAGTAGCCCGAGGTATGTAGGTTTTCTACCAGGATACCTGTCCCAGCTCATCCTTCTCATCAACATGTTGTTCATTTTCCTCTTGGTCGCCAGTCTAAGTATCTGAATAACCAAAAAGACTTCTTCAATTCTGGCTCGACCTACCAAACCACCATTGCCGAAAACAGCTCCGCCTTCTACAAATACCGGCTCCGCTCACGGGTCCTCGTCGATGTCTCCAGATTATCCACGGCGACCAGGTGCTTCGGGCGTACGATCAAATTCCCCCTCTGTGTGTCACCGGCGGGGATTCAGGCCATGGCTCACCCGGACGGGGAGGTGGCGACGTCGCGGGCGTGCGCGACCATGGGCATCAACATGGGCATCTCGAGCTTTTCGAATTACTCTGTAGAAGAGGTCGTGGGGGCCTCCAATGGTAATGTGCACTACGCGATGCAGATGTACACGATGAAGGACCGGGCGTTGCAGGAGCGCATCATCAACAAGGCCGAGGCGGCGGGTTGCAGGGCCATTTTACTGACTGCCGACTCGCCCGTGCTGGGCGTGCGGTACAATGAATGGCGCAACGACTTCCGCACCCCGGAAGGCCTGGGGTTCCCCGTCATAGAGCTGACCAGCGACATGATCCGCAAGCAGACCCACGACAGCGGGTTCATGGCCTTCAACGACGACTCGCACAACTGGGCGCGGGACATCCAGTGGCTGAGGGAACGCACCAAGATGGAAATCTGGATCAAGGGCATCGTCACCGCCGAGGACACCGAGTTGGCCATCACTCACGGATGCGACGGCATCATCGTCAGCAACCACGGCGGACGCCAGCTCGACGGTGTCCCCGCGACGATTGACGCGTTGGTGGAATGCGTGGACGCCGCCCGGGGCCGGATCCCGATCCACATGGACGGCGGCATCAGGAAGGGGACAGACATCTTCATCGCGCTCGCGCTCGGGGCCTCGTGCGTCTGGGTCGGCAGACCGGCGATTTGGGGCCTCGCGTACGGTGGACAGAGAGGCGTCGAGAAGATGCTCGAGATGCTGTACGACGATTTCCGCAGGTGCATGGCCCTCTGTGGGTGCAACAGCGTCGACGAGGTTAAGAGGAGTTGTCTGAGCAGGATGGGACTCGACGGCGTCTTGAGACGCATGGAGTAGGTATGGAGGTACCTAATAGGCAGTGTAGGCTCAGGGAAAGGGGGCCGGGAGGGAGTGGCAGCCTTGCGGAATCGTGCAAATGTGGCAATGACTACAACAGAAACAAACATACACATATAGCAGGGAACGACAGTGTTGTTATTCGCTGTCTCCCTCGTACATCTCGGGACTTGGGTATCAGAGTATTCCTGGAATACCATTCGATGCTACATGTCGCCTAGATCGTGCGAGTACAACATAGTACTCGTAGGTACGGCACACACTAGGTAGATAGATGGCGACAGCAGCATTCGAAATATACAAGCGAATCCCCCCCCTCTCTCTCTCTCTCTCGGCTCCGAGACCCGTCAGAAGATGCGTTGACTCCGTCCCGGGCCTTCTACATACATGTGATGGCGCCTTCAGCCTTGTCTGGGGCTCGACTTGATCGAGTGTCCCGCCAGGGAGACCCATGCTTGAATGCGACAGATTTGAAACACTCAACGCTTCACACCCCAGCACAATGGAAGCGAGCCTTCAACACAGTGGGGAAGATCTAGTTCACTGAGAGAAGAAGGGCCCTTTGAATGCGGAATGCAAAAAATGGTCCTCAAGGGGCCTCGTGTTCATTAGGTATTAAATTATGTACTAGATTAAATCCTTCGGTTGCCTGTGCCTCTTAGGATTCCAGTCCCTTGATTGACAGCATCCCCTCAACGTTGTCCGAGCATCAGCGTGTCACGGCCGTTACACGACATCTTATAACTCGGGAACAAGCTTCCATCAACCCATAGAACCGCTGTGACCGGGGCGACAATCATGCAAGCCCATTGGGGAACATCCAGCGCCGTGGCGCGTGGCGTCTGAACCGTGCGTAAACGTGGCTGGGTGCATTGTGGAGTCGAGCGGTGCTCATGGACATGGATGACCCCAGGTGCTCAGGATCACAGAATGTGGTCCTGTCCCGATGGTTGGCTGAACTTCCATGTCCAAACTCATCGTTGAATCCCATACCGGATACTCGGGACGGACTTCGCGCTCAAGTGATCTTGGGACAACCGCATTTTTGACCAGTTCCTTATCCTCACACGCCATCCAATTTGTTTGTGCAGACACGCCCTTGAAGCAAATGCCAACTCTGATTCTTCCTCTTCTTTCCTCCCCATAATTCCGTGCTGAACAAAGCGAATGGCATATCGGTCGTAAGTCTCGATATAGGTATTGTACATGGGGGTATGCAAGCGAATGTAATGTATCAATCCAGACGGTAAACAGTAGCCGCTGGTTGACAAATAGGCTGCTGGAAGCCATACCGCTCAAACTTTCCAGGGATAACGCCGGTGCCCAAATCAGAATGTGCTGGAGTCCAGCTGAAACACCAAATCCACGAACCCTGATAGCAGACCGATCCTGGGTCTAAACCCTCCCGTCCACCAAATCCAACCAACCACATCGCATCCAAAAGGAAGTCTGTGCCAGCGATAGTGATATTCCATACTTAATCCCATGCCAGGCCAGCCTCATTAACAGAGTACCAGGCAGAAACGACAGATCCGGCTTGATCCTGGGAGAAGATTTCTTGTCGGGGAGAAGCGTATTCGTAGTGGTGTCGTATTACAGTAAGTTTGTGTTCTATGTGCAGAAATCCAGAAATTGAGCGCTCATATGCAAGTTTCTTGATCCGTAAGCGTGTTTGAGTCGTAACAGAAACGCCAGGCCGAAGCGGCTGCAGAGTTCAAACGAGAGGTTGCAGTTTTCATGTCGACGGATGAATCCTCGTCATCTTTCGTAATTCGAGTATGTTTCTGTCCAAAGCTTTGGGCTCTCCTCCGTCGGGCTCAACGAACCGGAAGAGATGGAGGACGAGGATCCGATGGTCCATTCGTCGCTGTCGGGGCTGCTGCCGTCGAGGCCAGCAATACCATAACTATAGTCGTTCTGGAGCTCGCCGATCTCGACGTAATCATAGTCCCATCGGTATCTCTTATCAGGCTGCAGTCTCGGCAGGAACTTAGCCTTTGCAAAGTAAAAGATGACACCTGCCATCAAGCTTCCGGCAACCAAATCCACCGCGTAGTGATGCGAGAGGTACATAGTTGACCACCACAACCAAGCAGCGTAGAACGCCCACAATGGCGTGAATTTGGGAAAGATGTGGCTCATGAACAGTGCCTCCAGAGTGGCAGTCGCAGCATGAAGTGATGGAAAGGCCCCGAATACCATTGGGGAGGCGGTGAATCCCGAGGTATACATATCGATCCCGAGCAATGCATCAATGCGTGCTAGACCGGCGGGTGAACCTTGCATAGAATAGTTGGCCGGGGCTAAACCGTACTTGTTCTCGTACCATGGGGCGGAGCATGGAAACAGGACTTGAATGATGACGCCGGCCAGATTCATATACCCAAAGCTGAAGCCAAAGACTGGGAGAGTTGTAGGTGGACCGAAGACGAAGATGATTGCGGCAACCACGAAGGGCCCCCCAAAGTGACCCAGCCCATAGGGGAACCATGCTAAAAGATCCAGGACGGTATTTTGGTGAGCGGAGAGGATATTGCTGAGGTTAGCACCATAAAGGATGTTCTCCAGAGCGGGGAGGACTTTGACCCAGATCGGAGGCCGCCAGGCAGAGGGGATGAATCTGTGTAGGAAAAAGCAACATTTAGTGACTTTCCTTGCCGGGCGCATCGGGTGGGGGTTGTGCGCAGAACAAAGCAAATCCGCCACCAAAACTTACCTGCAAGCGTAGAAGAAAATGAGGTATGCGGCAATAGGCATGAAAGGCCGGAAGAATTGTCGAGTGATGGGGAATATTAACGAGGCGAGGAGGAGGGTAGCGACGGCTGTCTTGACCAACGGCCCCGGGAATTCAATGATGCTCAGCGAAAAAATGCCCACAATCGCCAAAAACAGCCATTGTCCGTCATAAATCGACCATCTATGATTCTGTAGTGACCGTAGCGTGTCCGCGGGAGAAAACGAGGTCTTGAGGGAGGCGAGTGAAGAGGCAGGCGACGATCTGTTGCGGAGCTTCGATCTCAGCCTGCGCCGCAGCCTGTGAGGAACGAGAAGTTGCAGTGATTTCCATGGGATCTGTATCTGTATCTGTTTCTTGTCGGCGTCCTTCCAGGACGGCAGGGAAGCCTGCATTGCACCTGCGTCGACCGCCTGGTGGAAAGCGAGGTCAGGCAAGGGTGTTCAAGCAAAATCTCGTGCGCGGGACCAGGGCGTAGGATGGCGGCGGAAAGGTCTCGAGGCGACGGCAAGGGACAGAGCCCAGAGGGACAACGAGGACAAGAGGTGAGGAGTGTCGAGCAGAGGATCCGAGGAGGCCGGAAGAATGATGACCAGAAGGGGAAGAAGAAAGAAGATATGGAAATCAGTCAAAAGAGGTGCGAGAGTAGAGAGCAGTATGTCAGTGGTCAAGGGCTTAGGTGAGCGCTGAGCAGATGGAGAAGCTGTGGATGTCTGCGGATCGACTTGGTGCAAAAGGGAAGCAGCCCAGGCGAGCAACGGGCTCGCGGTTCGCTCTTCCACAGAACTGCCCGTCCCCGATGTTGCTGGCACCCTGCTGGTGCCTTTTTGTCGCTTGTTTCGCCCAGTCGAGAAGGTAGAGAGACGGATGGGTGGAATTGGATACGATCAGGCCGCCCCAGCAGTGGTCCGGCGAAAACACGCTCTATGCCCAAGGCGTCCTGGCTCGCGAGTCTAAAGTGGCTGAGGCCCTGTCGTTCAACCTCGGGGCCTTCGGGGCGGTCTTTGTGAGAGGCTCTGGTGGCTCCTCCGGGCATGCCCAGCTCCACCGCACCCGTCCTCGCCGCCTACACAGCAGAGTTTGCCCCCCTTTCGCGATCAATGGCCTGCGAGAAAAATTTGTCTGCTGCACTGCCCGACGTCACCATGGGCTGCCAGAATTCGCCGACAGCTTGGTTGCAGTGATGCAAACTTACATATAAACTCACGTATGATGGCAGCGATGACGACAAGACTCAATGCAATTCACAATGGTAGAGTGTTGCTGGACTCGTTGGTACCTAGGTAGGTATTCAGACGACTTGGGTAGCCTTGCACATTGGCCGTTTCCAATTTACGCGGTAGAGCGCAAGCTACCAGGAAGATGGTCCTCGGCAATAAGGTGTGACCGCGCGACCGGAACACGAAGCTGGGGGAGGGATTTGTGCATGAAGCATCGAAGCATTAAGCATTGGAGGGACCCCCGGGATGAGCGATGGACACCCGCGTGATTAATGGCAATCTCCCCATTGTGAAAATTCTCTGGGCGTCGAGGGCGTGTCTCGCCATTACTAGTATCATCAGACCACAAGTGTGAGCACAAGATCTTCGGATTTGCTCCTGTCAGACCGTCGATATCTTTTGCGAGTTTAACTCTCGTGTTCCCTGCCCCCTCTATATCCCCTCCAATTTCCCTTTTCCGCAACCGAAAGAGAGCCTTGTCTCCTAAACGACAAAAGAGCCCCTCCCTGGGTGCTCCGTCTCTCTGCTCTGATCGACAGAGAAAACTCATATACCGAGCTCGGCTTTCAAATTGGATCCCCTTCCTCTAGTCTCTCGCACGAGAGGTACTGGTGCATAAGAAGCACATGCAGGTGCACAAGGAGCTTTCGTTTCCGGCCAGAGCCGAGCACTGCAAGGAGCACAAGAGAACGAGGGCTGAAAATAACGGCCAATCAAGACAAGCTTCTGCGAGGTCATCTTGCATGAACAAACCTTGCCTTTGCTCTGCGATAGGCTTGTTTGACGCCCACACTGCGTGCCTTTGGCTGACGTGCAGAAGCCCTGAGGATTTGCTGACATTGCCATCTGTTACCGAACGGGGAGGACCCTCACTTGCGGAGTAATCAACGTGCGCTTCAACTCGAGTGTTCCAAGGGACGGGCACGGGCCATGGGGTTCAAGCTGCTTGAAAGAAGGCTGGGGCACAGCTGGTCAATGCTCCAAGTTCGGACAAAAGTGCAGGCATTATCAAGCACACACAGGATCTGGTGCGAGCCTGCGAGGAATGGGTCGCACGGGGCAGACACCGCAGTTGGAAAGCTTCGGAACAGAAAATGCTATCTTGCCCTTTTGGTTCATGGCCATTTGGGCAAGTCATGGTCAATCAATTGCGCTAGGCTTGGTATTGAGGCTCTTTGAGCCTTTCATTGCCTTATGACACAATGCGCCCATTTGTGCCTCCTTGAATCACATCGTCTTCATACACCTTCGGCTCTATTTGTGTAGGCCATTTCTGTTTGGCGGCCGGGCCAACTGAGCCAGTTGTGCACATATCCCGCCGAAATCCAGCCGCGTTCCAGCTCTCGTATCTAGGGTAAATAAAACAGCCCTCCCACCTTTCATCCGTTTCTGCGTTTCGTACTGGCCACTCTCAGCACAAGCCCTCGGAAGCGAAAGCGCTATTTCTCCTTCTTGGGTATGCCCTATCATGAAAACTCCTTACGTCCTGCTTTGCGAAGAGGTGGTCCTCGACAGCGGAACCTGCGCAGATGTTGTGCGAGCAAGGTTATTCTGAGTCGAGCCGTGTCGCGAGAGACTAGGAACAGATTGCGAAGAGGACGATGAGCGCGGAAACCTGCTCAGCAACAGATTAGCATCGCCCCTCGACGGTTTCGGTGCGTCTCTGTCAGAGCGAGATGGCGCCAGTGGACGGTAACGAAGAACAGGTCACACTTACGGGTTTCTCTTCTCCGTTCCAGGTGTCGCAGAAGGCGTCTTATTTCCCTGTCCCCATCCCAGCAACGGAGATTGATACGCTGGCCAATTGGAATTGTTCCATATCTTCGTTATTACACTGTGTTGGAAAAGCCCCCAGTCAGTCATTTCTGCTCTGATCCTGCGAGAAGGTCACTTCTCAAGCCCATGTGCTCTTGCCTACCTCTGCGCCGCATCTTCCTGTTGTTCCCGTGACACTTCTTTCACCAAGACTTTCATCCCATCACGACTGAACGAAACGTTCTTCCTCTCAAGTTTCTGCCGCGTCTTGTGCCCGACATCGTGTGCGATTGTGTAGGCCACGAATCCGACGGCCGCGATAATGGCAACGAGGACGATCAGGATGATGAGGGGGACGAGGTCTCTGGTTTTGGCCATTCCGAAGAGAAGGAGACGGCGGGTCAGCAACGTCGTCTCGGTGTCTTTCGTGTCGAGAGCGATGCACCACTTGATATAGGTTCGGCGTGAACTTGGGCGCGCAGAAGCTCGTTTGAAACGTGGTGGAAAGAGGTTGGCTGATGTGCTACAGACTGACTTCGCATCACAATCCTTCGTGCGTTCTGGCCCCTGGGCTTTAATATCATCTCATTTTGTCGATCGCCGAAACTTCAACCCTCCTTATGCACGTTATGGGGGCGAATTTGGTAGTAGTTCCCCTTGGCAGGGTGTGAGGGAGGCGGATGCGCCACAGCTGAATTGTGGCTCTTGTGGCTGCGATCGATAATCTCTACTCGATTGGAGAAGCGGCAGGCCCAGTACGCTACGTTGGGAAGATAAGCCACTCGCACATGGCATGTGATAGTCTCTGTGGAACGGAAGGATTGTGTATCGGAGGAATTACGAATGCACGTTATCCTATTTTGTGCTCACGTAGGGACTTTTGACGCCAGAAAAGGAGAAATTCAGCTATCCCACGCATTCGTAGGATTTCATCGAATCCCACGCGTCTTATGGTTCCCACAAAAATGCGACTCTATTTGCCTTCTACTGAGTACAACGGGTCCACAATGGGGTATCTGACCCTCGCAGTATCAACCCGAAACAACAACGCCCTCGCTATGCAAACAACAGGACTCCTCCCCGTTTACTGTACAGTTTCCCCCTCGATCATCAAGTTCATTCCTCATTATAGATCTTCACCTTCTCACTGATCTCCCATATCCTACTCTCATAGTTCTCCTCAATGTGCTCGCCCTTCCCTCCGGCAACTCTCAGAATCAGGTCATTCAAACTGCTTCTTCCCAGTATATCGACATGATCGCCAGTATTAGGCCCCCCACGAGGGCTGAATCTATCTGGCTCGTGGGGCATCTCAAAGGTTGTGATTTTGATGTTTGAAGGGTTGTACCGTTTGATTCCTCGCCACCCCTTTGCGCACATGTATCCTGTGGAGATGAGGTTGACTGTACCGTCACCTTCCCCGAAGACGACTCCGTGGTCGACACTGCCGACCTGTTGAAGACGGCCATTGGGAGAGTTAACACTGGTGTCGATCGAGATGTTGATATACCCATTATTCAGCGGCTGGATATGTTCCTTGTAGAAGTATGAGCGCTCGGTAGGCTTGCCGATGCCGTAGAAGCAGTAGATCTTCATGTCAGGCGCGTGTGGGAGCCGCGACTCCAGGGGGTTCATCCAGGTAAGAGGGTTATTTTCATTTCGTTCGACTTCGGCCTTGGAATGAGCGACGCCGTGAGAGTACGAGTGCTTGACTTGCTCGACATACCATGGCTCCGCATGGTCCATGAGATAGTCGAAAGCCTGTGACATGGTGAGGTTTTGGCGGACAGTCTCTGTGAGATTGCCGCGCGGCTTGAATGAGATGAAAGTTCCGTGTGTTCCATTCTGGATAGGTGGCGATAGATCATCTGGGGCCCATGTAGTATTCCCCCATACGACGTCTCCACCCTTGGGCAGCATTGACGATATGCCAGGCATGGCGCGGAAGATTTCAGCGCGATCTTCCTTGGACAAGAACTTTTCGAGGCCGTAAACTGCAAAGGCGTTCAGCTGGGCCGTGTCCTTCATCTCGCCAGAGAGCAACGCTGGAATGTCCTTGGCCGTCCCGAGCATGCAGCCCGAGATGTTAATCCATGAGTCAATATGCTTGTTTACCCATTGAGGGCCTCCTTTTCCATGATCCTTGTGTTCTACCCACTTCATAAAGTAGAAAAGAACTTGACTCCCCATAGAATGCGAGACAAGGACAACCTTCCTCCCAGTGGTCATTTGCGCCACCTCGATATAATTCTTCAGCCTTGTGAAGTATTGATCTCTGTGCTCTAGGTTGGCATAGGACAGACGCCAGTCGTAAGCGGCAGTGAACGCATTCGTGGGATCGTATCCGATGGTGGCGAGATTTTCGAGGATTTTGTTCCAAATCCAATACCCGGTAATGAAGAAATCGGTGGCATCGAACCCCTGCGCTGCTCGCAGCTTGATATCCGGAGGGTCGAGTCCTGTTTCTTTGTCGAGCATGATATGCTTCTTCCAGGCCGCTTGGTCCATTACCAGAGCTCTCATCATTGACCATGATCCCCATAGCCGCTTACGAAAGTACTGTCTGGACTTTTCACCTGTCGACCAAGACTCCAGCCCTGTAGATATCACTCCTGGTACCATGATGACGGGATGGTGCGCTTTTACCCCCTGGGAGAGTAGATGGAGACCGACGGAGAACGAGTCGTAGTTGACGACATCTCGTTCTGCTCTCGAGAGGTCCTTCACATCATTTACTATGCCTGCAGGAATGACATCCATCAGGCTGTCTAAATTGACCTCCAGCAAACCTTCCAATTTGATAACATCTTGCGACTGAGCGAACAGCAGAGCCAACAATAGGCCCAGCAGACCACCCAGGCCAAACGTGATGCCGGACCTCCTCTTGCTGTGTCTCCTTGTTTTGAGCTTTTCCAGCTTCTTACTCGAGACCAGTTTCAGTTCCTCGTTGGGATCTGGCGTCCCATCGCGACTAGGCTCGGAGGAGGGTGTAGGTGATTCGCGAATGATGTTGGCAAAGCGGCGACGGAGAGTAGACATCTTGGATGTACAACCCCCTTCAGCAAGTAACAAGCTTGCATGGGGAGCACGCGACAGTATATGATCCCAAGGCGCGGATTGTTCGGGGCAGGGACTGTAATTGCTGAGTGTGCAATTAATTAAATCATCCTGGTGATCCCGACCTTGCCCTTTCACATGGTTCGTCATCGGCGTTTTCCAAGCCGGGGATCTTCAGGCACAAATCATCTCGATGCGAATTTCCTTTCCCAAACCCCATTTCCAGCATGGCATTCTTGACCCCTCCCTAGGAACTACAATACCATGAGCGGCAATGCCGCTGCTGCTCTCGAGTCGCTCAGCGGCAGCAAGGACAGCTCGGCCACTGCCAGTGCGCACTTCCAGACCACTCCTACCGGCATCCACTACCTACAATACTCGTTAGAGAGGGAGAGCGAATACCTTCCCCAAATTCGCGAACTGATCTCCAAGGACCTCTCCGAGCCTTACAGCATCTATGTCTACCGTTATTTCCTCTACCAATGGCCCGAACTCTGTTTCATGGCCGTCGACGCCACCGATGACAACAAACTCGCCGGAGTGGTAATATGCAAACTGGAGCCACATCGAGGAGGACCATTGCGAGGATACATCGCCATGCTGGCCACGAAGGACAAGTTCCGGGGCAAGGGTATCGCCACTACGCTTGTCAGCAAAGCGATCGATTTGATGATTGAGAAGGACGCAGACGAGATTGCGTTGGAAACTGAGGAGACAAACACTGGGGCGATGAAGCTGTACGAGCGGCTGGGGTTTCTGAGAAGCAAAAAGCTGCATCGGTACTATATGAATGGTAACAGCGCGTATCGGTTGCTGCTGTACCTGAAAGAGGGGGTCGGCAGCATTCTGACACAGGACGAGTTCGGTGGCTCTGGTCTGGATGCGCAGGACGAAATGAGATATTCGCATCAGTACCAAGAATCTCCGCAGGACGTATTAAGTCGTGGCATCGTCTGAATCATTAAAGACAACCGCCTATCCACTCCTCCCACCTCCTCACTCCTTTGCCCGCCTCTTCACCTTTGACCGCTCCTCCTAACACATCGATCTTGATGTCATACTCTTGCGCCATCAACTCGAAACTGAACTTGTCTTCGCCGCCGCCTCCTAAGATGTCTTCCTCCGCATCGGCATCTGTGTCTTGGCCCACAGTACCCAGCCCTTTGCTTCTTGAGACACGCACTCTTTCAATCTCAGCCTGTAGTCGTTCCCTGACTGCACCTGTCGGCAAAGCGGTGAACAGGTCCTGCTTGTTCGCTGCGATAAGGACGGGTATTTCAGTCTTGGTTTTCCCACGGGTTTTTCGCCTCTGCAGGGCCAGCAATGTATCGTGGAGGTACACGGCAGTGTCACGAGAGGCCGAAGAGTCGCTGGTGTCCAGCACGCTTGAGTCGACCACGAATATGACGCCGCGGAGGGCGGGATTTTGAATTTGTGACAAGGCCAAATCCGACCTCAATTTGCCATGACCGGGGGTATCGATCATTACATATGGAGTCGATTGCTTGTCTTTCAAGCTGACATCGTTTTCGGAACGGTACTTATTGGACCCTAAGGGGATCGAGGGTGGAAGTCGTAAGCTGACGGAGGAGGAGACCTGAGAAATGCGGGTGAGGGCTGCCTCTGCCTGGGGTCCTTCTAGGTTAGAGGATCGCTTTTGTAGCTGGAGAGCCTATTAGTAACGCAGACCGACAAGAATGCGGCCGGCCAAAATCTCACCAGAGAAACGAGAGAGGTCTTGCCTGCACCGCTGGGACCAAGAAGAAGAAAATTTGGTACGACTTTGGCACGGGCAGTTTGAGTGTAGAGATACAGGTGGACGAGCAGTGGGAGGGTTATCGTCACCAGGAATGCGATGAAGATGGCAACAGGATGGCCGGACAAGAGTCTGGTAGCCCAGCTATCCGGAGAGGACCAGCCCATGCTGAACCAGCGCGGCAGACCAAAGAAGGGTTCCAAGGTTGTTCAAGACGGCAGAGTCGACAATGCGCAAGACATGACGCAAAGAAATGAGGCTGAGAAGTGCGAATTACTACTGGCTGGTCGGCGGGGTCGGAGCGCGCTGAGTGTATTCGGTCCCTAACTCTGTACTCGATAGTGCCGGTGTCGTGCCTTGCAGAAAGGTGTCCGCTATTTGCGGGTTGCTAGTAGGCTAGGCCTTCAACTTGTGTCTCAACTTGTAAACTGCGCTTCCACTTTGGGGCCCTCCGCAACTTACAAGTACACGCTCGTTGTCGATAATTACCTCTCACATTCCCTTTGGCTCGGTGTTGTTTTTCTCGTTGCCTTTTCCCATTCCAACCACAGCATCGTCCACGATATGATTGTACGGAGCATCTACCTTCTGGCCGTTGCCATCCTCCCATTCACGTGTGCTGATGTCCAAGTCGTCGCACCTGAAGCTGGGGACAGTATCTCCGGACTCAATCTAGAGATACAGTGGAAAGACTCAGGCAATTCACCGCCACTCTCTCAACTAGCTAATTATCAACTCTTCCTGTGTGCGGGGGGCAACGATGAGTCCGACTATGTAAGGGCACAGGGGAGGCGAAGGACAGGAGTATGAGGCTGACCGCGCACTACACAGATCCCAGTGGCCACCCTTGTCCAAGAAGGGACCTATACAACCGGCGACTCGATCACTATCACTTTGCAAGCGAGTACCGGGGCCAATGTGGCTAACGCCTATTTCTTGAAATTCGTATCCGCCGCAACAGGAGGCACTGTCATCAACTTTTCCGACCGATTCTCCCTCACAAGCATGAGTGGCACGTTCCCGGCTGCGGTACAGCAAGGATTGAGGACCGTCACTGGCACTGCTGGGCCGGCCGATGTCAATAACATTCAAGCTCCCCAAGCAGGCGCTGGTCAAAATACCCAGTCTTCTGTCGGAGACGGAGCCTACAGTACTCCATACACCATGCAGACAGGGACAATCCGTTATGCTCCCATGCCTCCAATGGCCCAAACACAGATCACTGCCAAAAATGCTTCTCCTCTGTGGCCGACTAGCGCATATACTGTTTACCAGACCATTGCCGGCACTCCAAATGCCGTCACGACCAACACGTTGCCCATTACATTCACCGTTTCGAGTAGAGAGAATCCGGTGAGATCGGCCCCGAGTGTCTTCTGGGAGATTCGATGCTGACTCTTACAGATCGCTGCGGCCGGCCAGCCCACCGACACGGCGATGCAGAAGTTCCTCAATCGGTGGAAGGACTGAAAGTTGACGAGAATAACAATTAGATTATGAGAACATCAATTGCTTTGCATGGGGCTGGCATCAAAATGTGAATAGTCAAGAGTCATGTCTATGAGAATGGAGTTTGGTCGGATCCGGCGTCTACTATATGGATGGTGTGCCGTTTCTGGTGGATGGGAGTAGATTCTATGTGTGCCCCCAACGCCATGCTGAAAGATTCATGAGCAAAATTGTTGGAGTAGTACAGCCAATGTCACCGGTATATTTCATCGAACGGTCTCGTATCCCGAAAACAGCTGTCCCACACCTCATTGACCACTTTGACAGCCTGCACGTCGTCTTTACAGTTCGGTCGACCCATGACCGAGATTATCGCTCTTCGTCGAACGCAGTCCTGGTGATGGTTTGTGAAAGAAAGGATCTTGTTGCGGAAGAACTCGTTGGCCCAGCGACATTCGCCGCTGAGGTTGCTGGCTCGAATCTGCGTGACTCCATTAGCTTGACATGTCTTGCCACTTTGGCGGAGACCGACCTCTGAGCACGCCGCATGCCTCAGATCATCTTCCAGGGTCAAATTCGTCTTGAAGCGCAGATGGTCATAGGCGTGCACCATCTCATGCGCCAGGACATCCTCCAGGACAGACCGTTCCTGCACGTAATTTGCGCATATCTTGATGCCGTATTTATGGTCAAAGCCTCCTTGCATCTTCTCCTCGTCGCCTCTGCACGTCCTGCAGTGGATATTCTGTGGTCCCAACTCGCCGCCCAGTTTCTGGATATTCTCGTTCATGAATCGGATTATTGGAGAGTATTTCAACAGGTAATCCCGGCTCTCTTCGCAACGTTTGCAATCGAATGCGCTATATCGGTCGTCTGCATCGGCCCAGTACTTCTGAGCGCCTCCGGGGGACATGCGACCGGTGATCATGCGGAAGAAGTTGACGGAACGATTCCACCAAGTATTGCTGGGGAGGAAGTCTGATCCATCTTGCTGGGAAGAAGCAGAAGCAGAGGACGAGGAAGAAGGGTCAGCCATAATGAGAGAGCTTATCTAGGGACCCAAAGCAAGAAAAAAAGAAGCAGCAGAGTAACAGAACTACCATTCAGAGATCGGAGCCAGATTGAAGCTGCAGACCAAAATGGGAACTTGCGATGTCCTGATCTCAACTCTGCCAAGGTTGGGGTAATTAATATTAATTAAAACTGCTCGGGGCTCGCCCCGAATCGGGCTGTGCTCTACCCCTACCCACCGAGTCACGACTTTTATCCCATAATGAATTTGCGAAGGTGCTTAAAAGCTGCGCATCCGGGACTTCTCTCCTGAGCTGCTGAAACGAAACCTGTGGTGATAGATACCTAGTTATAGTATTGATAATCTGACCTATGAGATAACTATCAAACCAAGCTGACAAAAATGAAAACGCGGAGTCAAAGTTCAGAGACATATATACTGAGAAGTCTATAGCTGCCCACAAGTATGTACATTAGATAATAAAAGAAAATCTCTCTGTCTCTCTCTCACTCACTCACTCACTCACTCACTCACTCACTCACTCACTCACTCACTCACTCACTCACTCACTCAACTCATTATATAGTCCTATAATCAGCCTGCCATTTCATACCACAATCTCCGTCCTGCGGTCCTAGAAACCGTTCTTCTGCAACCAGGTGTATATTTGATCATATGCAACATTGGCAGTATAGTGAGCGTTCAACCCATGTCCACACACGGGTAGAACGTAGTATGAAGATGTGTTGCTTGCTGCTGGATAGAGCTCTTCGATAACTTGAGCACTAATGTTTGTCGGCGATAAGCAGTTTCCAAGGCAGTTTGGAAGATCATTTCCTCCATTCACCACGAACACTGGGGCGGTGAAGTTGCTAGCGACCGCAAGCGAATAGTCGGTAATGATCTCTCCCACCGCAAGGGTCTGTTTCAAAGCATCCGACATGTCAAGGATTTTGGGGTCAAAGTTGGGAGCCTTGAAGAAGAAGAACTCGACGGCTGCTTTAGAACCAGCGGTAGCGTAATCATAAGCAAGTCCATCGAATCGCGAAGGATCAGCAAGCGCTGCAATGTTCAGGTCGATACCTGAGAAGGAAATGGCGCCACCAGGCAAGCTTGTTGAGAAACCTGTCAACACCGCTGCGTCGAAATCTTTCGGGTGTTTCCCAGTCACACCATTAGACACAATACTGCCGATGGAGTGGCCCACGCCTATAACCTTTTCGAAGGGAGCGGTTCCGTTGGAGAAGCCACCAGTGCGTAGAAGCTGGACGAGCTCGTGTGCGATCTCGATCTGAAGGGGCATTTGCACTACATTTGTGCCATCTGGATGATCAGAGAGTCCCGAGCCGAGGCGATCATATAAAAAGGTTGTGTAACCTTGCTGGGCGACATAATCCACGTAAGAATAACCCGGGGCGAAGTTCCAATAGCTTCGATCGTATCCTCCGCCGTGGACGAGAAATTGCACTGTTGTGTTGGGGACTCCATTGCTTTCAATTGGGAAGCATAGCTCTGAATAGATTCCCCAGGTCCCGCTGATTTGCTTCGGGCCACCAATATAATCTTTCACCACAGTCGAGTTAATGGTCATGAAATTCGTCACAAACGACGTGAGGTCGCTCTGGTTTGTAATGGGAGGCATGTTGATCTCCAGATTGGTTGCAGAAGCTGTGACGTCTACCGTGCCAGATATACAAATCGCGTGGCCACCGATCGATGTTTGGATGCTTGGGTTCTTGAAAACTTCCAGGTATACAGAGGGAATGCCAGCTATGGTACTGCGGGCGACCGGGGAGGAGTATGCGCCCGTTGCCAGGGCCATGACGGCGAAGGAAATGATTGAATGCATTTCTGTAATGGAAGATGGACGTGGGCAAGTTGTGGGAGCAGCTCGGTCTGTGGAACAGCGACATCTGGTTGTGCTGAAGCAAGACCGTGCTTATATACCTGGAATTCGTGAACAGGATCAATTCGGCTTTTCCATGAAAGCAAAGCGCCCTCATGGTGGTCTGCCATGACGCATACGCAAGGCTTGCAGAGCTACGTTGCGAGAACGCATACGCATACGCAAATAAAGGTTATAACCCATACCTAGGTAAGGTAGTTAGTAATTAATGCTAGTCTCGCCAGATATGGGTTTAGTCTAGATTCTTCCCGGTAAACAGCGGATGAAATGAATGTAAAAGCCTGGGGTACAAAATAGGTATCGCGTACGAGATCATTGGATTGAAGTTGTATCCAGGGGACGGATTATTTTAAATACGCACGAGCCAGGTACATCAGCACAAGTACCTCCTTCGTACTCGTGTTCGTAAAGCTCAAGCCGGCCTGAGGCTGAATGACCGGATCATAAGGCCAATTTAATATGACGAACGGAAGAGGTCTGCAGATACAGTACGAGGTATGTCAAATAACTTAACTTACTCTGACCCGTGGCTGGCACTGCATGCGGTGAAGCAGGTTGAGGAGGTAGATGGAGTGTACCTACCTAGGTAGTAAAGCTGAGAGGAGGGTGAGTTCTAGTACCTAGCGAGCTACCTAGGTAGGTACCGATGAGCGCCGAGTAAGTGTACCTGAGCGGCACGGGCGAAGTGACTCAGCAGAGTCGCACGTGAGCTCCGAGCAGTTTTTCCTCCGCTGCGACTCGTCTTTAATCATCGCCAAGCTCAAATCTGACTCGCTCATGGCTAATAATATTTTTACTGATTGCATGCACATCCACCTTGTCTGTTGGTCAAAATTTGCGGAGAAAACAAATTCTCGGTGACAGCCTTGTCTGCTTGTCTTGGAAGGGCGTGCGCCCGAATCTCCTTCCATTTCCTCCCCTTTGACTCAAAATGAGCCCGTCCGATTTCGGCAACAGGAGTCTCAGCGTGGTGCTACAAATAACACACCTTCAGAGTCGCAGGAAGCCGGAAAAATGAGGGCAGGAAAGCATTTGACAATAGTCATCAAAATTGGTACAGAGGCTACTCACCCACCATGCCCTATCTATTTCGCGGAGAAAAAGATTTCAAATCGAAAAGGACGAGACTTACTGTAGTTCTGGGAATAGGCACGTCCTCCATCGTCGATGAGACTACGCACGAACCGATCATTTCAATTCTCGCACAGATCGTCGAGACGGCCGTCACCTTGAAGCGAGATGGCCACCGAGTCGTCATCGTCTCCTCCGGGGCCGTTGGCGTCGGGCTGCAGAGGATGAATATGGCCAAGAGACCGAAACATCTCGCTCAAATTCAGGTAGGTTTATGAATGAGCTTCTCTAGGAATGCCCTGCTATGGACAAGGCTAAACCAAGTCTTCTCGCTACGAAAAGGCTCTCGCTGCTATCGGTCAGTCTCGCCTCATGTCGGTCTGGGACTCATTTTTCGCGCACAAGAACCAGCCCGTCGCCCAGATCCTGATAACACGCAATGACATTGCCGATCGCTCCCAATATCTCAACGCCCAGAACACCATCGCAGAGACCCTGTCAATGGGTGTGATACCCATCGTCAATGAGAATGATACCTTGGCAGTATCGGAAATCAAGTTTGGCGATAACGATACGTTGTCTGCCATTGCCGCGGCGATGGTGAACGCTGATTATCTCTTTTTGATGACTGACGTGGATTGTCTGTACGACAGAAATCCTAGGAAGTTTCCTGATGCGAAGCCGATTCTCGTGGTCGATGACATCGATGCTCTCCAGGTGGATGTCTCTTCGCGAGGGTCGGCTTTGGGAACAGGTGGTATGGCGACGAAGATCGTCGCTGCGCGTCTTGCTACGGCTACCGGCACGAGCACCGTCATCACAAAGTCCTCAAAACCAGGCAACATTGCGGCGATCATACGACATCTGCACCCACCTGTGGAGGTTGACGGCGAGACTGGTACGATGCTCTCCGTACCAAATATTCCGCCGCCTTTGCATACACGATTCCTTCCATCCCCGTCTCCCATCCGCAACCGCGCCTTTTGGATCCTCCACGGCCTAGCTCCCCACGGGACACTCTACATCGACCGAGGCGCCTCCGTCGCTTTGGCGAACAAAGCCGGCCTGTTACCCGTAGGGGTTGTCGATGTGGAAGGGACGTTTGCTCAACAGGAGGCCGTCCGCTTGGTTGTGGTGGATAAAACACCACTGGGGAGTTTGTCTCCCACGGGCAACTCCAACTCGGTAGCCATGCAATTTGTTTCGATGGGAGAAGAGATCGGCAGGGCTGTGGTCAATTACTCGTCCACCGAGATCGCGCGAATCAAACGACTCAGGAGTTCTGAGATCAGAAATGTCCTGGGATACGCCGACAGCGAGTACGTCGCGTACCGGGAGAATGTAAGTCTACACGCGAGTGCCAGTGGTGACAAAAGTAGGCCGGACACGCCGAGTGGGCCAAGGACACCGACGAAAGAGAGGACGCCGGAGACGAGTGTGGTGGATCTGAAGAGTTGGAAGATAGAATGAGATACGGAACAGGATGCCATGGGCAATCTCGACACTAAAAGTAACTCAGATCTCTTCTTTATGACGGCACCAGGTATGATGGAAAATGGATTTGGGGTTGTTATTGGAAAGGAGTCAGAAAATCTAGAGCTTTTGGGTCATCTTCATACTGGATTCAGCAACAAAAAGCGCATGTCTCTATAGTTTGCATCAATGTTGGTAGAGTATTTCCGTTAAAAGGAGTGACTAAATAACACATCAACAACCAGCGAACAACAAGAACCATAATCGGAACCGAACGGGCCCCACGGATGCTCAAGTGTGTTGGGACAGCGCACAAGCTGATACTTGTGACCATCGCCTGGGCCATAAGATACCCCTTGCAAGTGTGTTCGAACAAAAACCCGACAGCAATCTCAGGCACGATCCATAAAGCCAACGGCGCAAAGCAGTTCGAACAAGGAGGCAGACCTCGGTGGGGAAAGCGAAAAAGAAACATCCATCGCATCTACATGACCAGATGCCCGTTGGGATATGCCCTTTTCGTCAGCCCGCATCGTTGCCTGCATGCTTCAAATCCTTCCTGGCTTCCCGTCCCAATTGCCGGGATACGCTGACCTGTGGCCGTCCAATTTCCGTTGGTGAGATTGATAAATGGCATCACTTGAGTACCAATGTCTTTCGGCATCATGAAGAACGCCTGAGCGATATTCAGTGTTCCTGGGTCGTTATCAGGGAGGAATGAGTAGAGCTGATTGTACCCGCAGTCTACACAGTCGTCAGACAAAGTAGCAGATCTTCAACACAACAGTCGACGTACCCATATTGTACATAGAATGCACGCTGGCTTGAGGAAAGATGGTCATCATCCCTGGAGTCAGAATTTGCTGGACCAGTCGTTCCCCATTCTCTTGCACCATATACGTGTGGGTTGTTCCGCTCACTGCAACAACGAGGTTGGCGGCTCGATGTAAGTGCGGCGCAAGCATCGCGCATGGCCCAAGGTTGAGTTGCGCCACCGTTGCCCCAACCGTGGAGAGGACAGGCCAGGTTGCAGCGTTTGCGTTGCAGACGCTTCCCGGTGTCCAGGAGTACATTGGATTCGAGGAGAAGTTGTAGAGAAGCTGCTGGTCCGAAAGCAAGTGAAGTCGGTCATTCATGGTCGCTGCCATCTTCAACTTCGCGACTAGCTCTGGGTCCACTGTCTGATCGGCAGCCAATATTGGCAGTGGCGCGGTGAAAAGAAAGATGGCGGAGGCAGATCCGATGCATGCTGAGAGAAGCATCATGGGAGGTTTCTTACGGAAACAGATATAGCTGATGTTGAATGCGGCTATAGTCGTGATGAGGGCCGTCAGAAACCAGAACAGGCCAGGGGCATCGAAGCTTGGGGGTAATCTCGATGTCTGTTGAAATGCTTTGCTCGAGTACCGACAGTCTGGGCTGGTCAAGCAGAACCAGGAAATTGGGTCTGAGCATGGCACAGACATGGGTTGGATCGTTCTTATGTGCTTTTGCTTTCCAAGCGTACCGCTGGCCCAGACACCTGGCTCCGGTTCGTTTCTCTCACGATTCCGGGGGCGTCAATCTTCCGAGGAGAAAGCCAGTTCTCGCGCAAGATGGAATATTCGAAGCATTTTCTACCCTGGTGGTGAAGGCCCGCAAGATCTTATTGGAGAAATGCGTTTTCTTGTGCGCTTTGAGCAAGTCAATTGATTTGATACCGAGTCGAGTACTCGCTTCCGTTCGCAACACATTCCAACCGATTTATGCCTAGGATCATGACTGAACGTAACCACTAATTCACCCCGGATGGGGGAGGGATGGCTTGTACGGTAGGATGCAACCGACCTCCTGCGGAGGAGTTAGACGCAGAAATCGAGTGGACAGAAATTCAGTGAGTGAGCGAGAATGGCGGGTAATCACAGGTCTCGCTATTATGATCTTTCTTGGGCTCAAGTAGAGGAGAAGGTGTTTCCAGAGAAATGGTAATCGTTGTCCTGATCCGGGGGTGTGAGACGACTGAGCAAAAAGGGGTTGGCCGAGGAGCCGCGACGGGTACAGAGGAGTGAGAGTCTGGATAACGTGGCAAAGTATGAGGTTCATTGTCCAGTTGGCGACGCTCTGGACAAGTGAGCGGTTGCGAAGACCCAGAGCAAAGTGGAATCATCGGGAAAGAATCGATGATTTTAAATCTTTTGTTTTTCCAGCATTCTTGCAGGGGGTATTTAACCAGAATCTACTCGCAGCCAGACATCGGACAAGGACAGTGCCGGCCTGGAGCTGTACACCCAGGTCACGTCGCGAGCCTTGGTTTTGCTGTGTAGCGTTGACCTGTCCGATATCACCAAAGACTAGCGAAATGGGCGTATGCCCTCTGTTTTCAGTGAGCCAGCACACTTACCAAGGGGATCAAGTGGTGTACAGCTTCCAAGGACTGAAAGTCGGTGAGGCTGTCAGTTGCGGTGTGGGATACCAGGCAGGTGCAATTATCCCGCCTGGCTTACGGGACGTGAGTCTCGCAATGACTCGACAACTTGTGGAAGTGTAGCAGTGACTTTGCACGACAGTGGTCACATCCTACATCGAGCACACCTCGGTTGGCGCCCATGCAGATCTTGGATATTCGTAGCACAACGAGATCTTTGTGTACGCGGCAAATCATGTTTCCAGAAGCATGGAATCCTGTGGGAGAAGAGGTAATTGTAATGCAAATTATATTTGCTCCCAACACAAGGGCACGAAGCGAGTGATTGCAGAAAGAGGCGAGGTTGGACTCACAGAATTGATATATAGCTGCTGCATTTCCCCATTCGCCAGAAAGGCGACCGACCCAAGCCCGAGACCTGCATATCAAGACGTTAAACCGCTGCCAAACGCGCACATGGCAGAGACGCCGTTGACATCAAGTGGCGCCACTGAGCCAACCGTTGCGCCAGGGCGGATCGGACTGCCCCTTGAGCACACAGTCCGCCTTTTTTTTTGCTGCATTGATGAATGCTACCTTTTTGATCCTTTCTGAAAGGCGATTTGCAATTTCCAACTCGATGAGAAGGCGATTCCTTTTGAGCATCACCGCCTTACCTAAGTATCGGAAGTCGATCGGAAGAGGCTGGTACGGGGTGGCAGGGTAACCAGGGGGAGTCAGAAGGGAACTTCTTGGGTTTCTCTAGACAAGGATAGGCTGAACGGATCAAAAGAGCGAGCCTGGGCGACAGGCCTGATCAAACAGGGTAGGCGTGGCAATCCCCCGCAAGGAACGATAGGCTCTCGGTTGAATGCAGGAGATGGCGGATTACCACGGGCTGGCCTATGGAATTGAGAATGACAGGACTGAGGATATGTTTGGAGATTGGACAGCATTCATGTGGATGAGATTGATGAATTCTTCCCTGGTACCGATGACAATGTTGTGGTGCATTCGAAAGACGCGCTAGAAGTTGATGATGGAAGTTAGAGAGAGAGACACTGTTTGCCATGAGGAGAAAAGGCAGTAGCTACTCGTAGGCTCCTTACCCGAAGCAGCCTCCCAACTCGTACCTGGTGGGCTTTGCTACCCGTGGGTGGAGTCGGCGTGAAAATCAGGGGTAGGCACCCGGTCAGCACCTGGTAGGAAGGCCCAAGCACTGCAGCCCAAGGAGCCCAAGCAGTGGTTTTGGGGCCTCCCCTTGTGAGTGGCTTCAACTGGCTTGGTCACTCACCAAACGAGTTTGGCGCGGGCGGCCACCCACTACTTTGTGCCTTGTGCCTGCGCCCGTCTGGGTGCCGTCTCCTCGCCGCCTCCCTTGGTCACTCATTGGCGCTATGGAGAAGGCATTTTGAGTTCTGCCTCAAAGCACTGGCACTGGGACTCGGACAGATCGGGGACCACAGACGCCGTCAGGGATGAACACACTCATATCTGGCAAGACTGAGAGAGAAACAACCACTTCTTTACACGAAGCTGCCCTAGACTCCAAAGAAGTCACCCCTCTGGTTTCATACCTTGCTGTTGGTCTCGCCGCCCAGCTACTTCTTGCTCCGCCTGCGCCTTAGCAGCCTGTTATCGCATCCCTGACCTCCTTGCCATTGGCAGAACCGCTGGGTTGATGCACCTCTCTCCTCTCCGAACTCCTCGATCAACGCTTGCGAAAGGACCTTTAGTCGAACATCAGTCTTGTTGGTCCCCCTTCTGAACAAGCCATCGATTCCAAGTCCTTGACTTGCTCGCCTGTGTTTCTATTCTGTCTTCTCGAGACACTAAATCCTTCAAGAATCCCTCCATCACACCGCCCCCAACCTCGCCTGACTTCCCAGCAGTCCCCATCTGTCGCGACCTTCCTCCGTTCCCGTCGTCAGTTTTACAGGAGCCAGGACGACCGGTGGAATCTGGTTCGGGGCATTTGGATAAAGAAACAGGCACAGGCGAAGCGGGTGACTGGTTGATACCATGGCTGGGTGATTACCACCATGTTCTGGTTCGAACCGGAATTCTCAATCGCCAAAATTGCGAAACAAGTTGTTGGTCTACGAATATACACCCTCATTCACACGTCTCCTTCATCGACCACGCTCCTTGGGAGCAGTCCGACCCTGAGTTGAGAAGCGGACTCTTCAATAAGAGCCGGAAACTATCGCGAACATACGTACTGCTGTACACGAACCCCTCCGAAGCGCCTGCATTCCAAACAGGGCTGGCTTTGCATATTGACCGATACCTCCTTGATTCGCTGGTCGCCTCTTCAACCGCAGACATAGCAGATCCCAGCTGCAGGTACATTCTGCTGAAAAGCGTTTCCGGCATAGCTGCACTGGAGATCTCGAACCTGCGTCCTGCGGTGTAGCCTGGGCTTTCTCCAGTGGGTGCGCCTCGGCCAAGGTCGCTGGCTACTGCTACTCAACCGACCCTCATCATCCATGTACCAGCATCACCCCGGTACTTGAACGAGTGCGAGGTCTCTCTCGAACGCCTGGCTGAAGGAGCAATGGATAACTCTGGAGATTCTTTAGTCCACAACAGCAGACGATCAAGGTCGAACTCGACATCATCTCCAGTGCCGGCCGTCAGGAAACAATCTACTGCCCCCGCCCTTAAACATCTAGATTCTCGAAATCCTCAGCTAAGAACAAGGCCCAGGAGTCCAGAAAGCTCGATGCCGCCCACCAGTCGTTTTCGCTACGACAGAAGTCGTTCAAGAAGCCGCCCAGAGAATTCTCTCAGCCCTAACCTGAACATCAACCGCTGGTCGCATTCAACGTCTTCCAGTATATCTGGAATGGAATCAGATACGATCCGCGCCCGCGCAAACACCTCTCGGCGGATGAGTATAGGCCCTTCGCTGGTGTCATCTTCTACGCCAGCAAAAACGTCCATGCATACCCGGAGATCTTCCAGCCAGAGTCCTCAGGTAAGACAGGGTTCCGGGTCAGCTTTCCTTCAAGTAGAGCGGACTCATGCTCCGCGAGACCTCAGTCCAGTTGGTGCCGCTCCGCACCTCACCCCGACGTCAATGTTTAACCCCAGCGCTGGAGAGTACTTCGGCGAGACCTGGCAAAGTCGTAAGACTGGCAAGAGTGGGGAAGCGGTTGCCGTGGCTGTACATTATATGAGAGCGAGTGCACAGCCCAACATGAGATCCTCCGAGAATGTTACAACTCAATATATGACACAAGTTTCTCGACCAAGCACCCGCGAAACCCGCCCAACAACGGCCGGTCGGGACGGATTGATCGATACGCCGCCTGCGCCAAATGCACCCGCGCGTGTTAAGAGTCATCGAAGTCCGACCCAGAAGACAATGCTTTCCAAGGCGCTGGCAGTAGCGAACAATGCTGTATTGCTTGATAACGCCCAGAATATCGAGGGAGCCATCGAAGCATATGCTGAAGCCTGTGATCTGTTGCAGCAAGTTCTGATCCGGAGCTCTGTCCTCGATGACCGAAAAAGGCTGTCCGACATTCGAAACGCGTACTCAAAGAGAATAGCCGACCTTCATGACCTCGATGATTCCTTCTCCGAACTGATGGAGAAAGCTTTACCTGAAGACCCTCCGCTCGATGAAACCAACAACTCCTTCTTCAGCACTGATGGAGTCGAACCAGATACAACCGAGGTTTTGGAGTCTGTTCAAATCCCTCCTCGACAAGAGTCTCTTCTGCCGGAAATATTTGGTGGAGAGTCATATCTCAATGAGTCGTCAACCCGGAAGAGGATACAGATCCCTAGTCTTGCGGTGCCTATGGATGCGCAGTATATGCCTCCACCTCTTTCGCCTAGAAGACCTGCGTCTCCTGTCTCGGAAAGAGATGCGAATACACCTCTGGCGACCAGAAGATCGAGCGATGTTCCAAAAGCTGCTCTCCATACTCGACAAGGTAGCACTGAGTCTACTTCTTGGCTCGATACTCTCGAAGATGGCGACTCATCGACTTCTCGGTCTTCTCGATTATCATCTTTGGATTTTGGGATCCAGAATAACCACAATATTGTCGACGACTTCGAAGCAGAGTTCGACGCTGCCCTTGACGCTGCTGTAGATGCCGCCTATGACGACAATCTGACAGAGGAGCCCACTCCGAGACCAGACAAGAATGTGCAGGATTTCGATCAAGATTCCAGTGCACCCGTGCCTGCCTTCGGAACAGCCTCCCAAGATCATTCTGTTCTGTTGTCTGACGTCGAATTGACTCGAGAATATGATGAGGGCGACTCATCGGAGGAAGAGGAACGACTACTAGAGGAGATGACTAAGGGGTTTATCTTTGATGATTTTTCGTTTGACAATAAATCGAAATCGGCACTTCCTCGACAGTCAGACTCCAGTACGTTCTCAGGCAGGACCTGGACAAGTTCTCTTCCGTCGACAACAGCAACAAATAACACCACCTTGAGCACACTAGCAGAATCGCAGGAGGCGCCAGTGGAAACATCCCCTCGACCAGTGCCCCCGGCAAAAGACGCCTTTTTGCCTTCTCCTCCAAAGGCAGTCCTTCCCCAACCACCGCAACTGGCGCTGTCGGTCCAACCGTCCAGCAGACCGACCAGTATAGAGAAATATAGTGGACTAAATATTCGGGAAAGGAGATTCTCAGGTCGCAGTGGGGAGCAGCTCAAGATCGAGACCTTTGCACGACGAAACTCTTCGACCATTCCGGTCAAGCCCACTGCGGCGCCTCCGTACGTGCCGGAACTGGATGTCTCTGGAGAGCAGCCGAAGATATCTCAGACAATATCTTCAGGACCTACAATTCCTTCTCTGGCGCCCATCACGCCCATGACGGCCTTGCCATCCAATGATTCTGTGCAAAGTGAATCCCCGGCCACTCCTGCCTTGACGCAAGGGGGTTCTCAGGGCAGCATCGAGGATTCAGTCGTTATGCCGCCGTCGCCTGCAAAGATAGGGAAGATGGGGCCTCCCGCCGCCGTCAAGAAAAACTTGTCATCGTCGAGCTTGAGGGTGAGAAATCTGTCCGTGGCAACGACGGAAACAAGTACAGAGTCTCCGATTACACCGGTCAGCGCGGGATTTGGTGGAGAAAGCCGAAAGGTTGTGCCGCCCCTACCATCAGCTGCATTGCCGACACCATCGACCGCCGCCTTTGGTCCTCAACTTCTGCAGACGGGTGGAATGTATCTGTTCGACGATATCACCGCGACTGGTCCCCCGAGGACACCGCGAAGTCCTGATGCCCCAAGCGCGTCTCCTCCTCAACTTCTGGAACCCTGCCCAGAATCTTTCTTGCTCCGCCCGTTCTGGCTGATGCGATGTTTATATCAAACACTTGCTCATCCAAGTGGCGGATACCTGACCACGAGGCTATTCATTCCTCGGGATGTATGGAAAGTGAGAAACGTCAAGCTCAAAGCTCTTGATGATAAAGTGTCTCAGTGTGATCTATTAACCGCTGCGTTACTCAAACTTGCCAAAGTCGATACCTTTGACGCTGACTCGGTTCTCGACGAGCTACAGTCATTCGAAGTCGTTCTGGACCAGGTTCGAAACACGCTGCAGAAGAAAATGGGCAGCGATGTGGGCTTTTCAGGGTCATCCGGCCTTTTCAAGTCCACTGGCGAAGACCAAGAGACCGGTAAATCAACTAACACTGCCGCCAAATCTATTGCGTCCAGCTGGCGCAAGCTTCGATCCAAATCCAGTGCTCCAGCCATGGGACATCAGGGCGGGCAGAAGGACGGTGCCATGTCCGGCCCAGGCATGGCGTCGCTACCTATGACTTCATCTTCGGCTGTAGCTTCTTCACGGTCACATCTGAACCGCAAGTTCGCACCGCCTCCGACACCAACGCAATTGGCGAATATTCAACCTATCCATGCAGCCTACATGTCGAGCTTGGCACGCCTCTTTGACGCGGCGCAAGTGCTTGATGGCATCGCTCGGCAAGTCGAAGACCCGGGTCTAAAGTGCAGCAACAAAACCCAAGTCGGGTTGGAGCTGGGTGTTAAGAATGCTGCCGAGTTCTTTGCATTCTTCATCATTCGGTTTGTCATGGCCGATTTGATGCTGATGGTGGACAAGTTCCTTAAGAGAGGAAGTGAATGGGTCCTAACTTGATGCGCACCGCTTTCTGACGTTGTGGATGTCTTTCTGTAATGCTATCTGTCATGATGTTGCAGATGATTGTATGTTGCCTTCCAGCGGCATTGGCGGAGTTTTACAGTTGCTTTTGATGTTTGCCGGATGTGCTTTCGCCTTGTGGGGAGCCTTTCTGTTTCTCCAGTGTCTGGTTTGTTGTGATTTATGATACCACCCATCGCCAGTGTTTCAAGGCATAGGTTATGTGGAATAGCCCACAAGACGAACAGAGGAAACGGAGAAGGGCAGATAGAGATGGGTACGGATATGTATCAGGTAGACTGAGGAGACAGTGGACGATATTGCAAAGATACTTGGAGAGCTTACCGTCGAATCAAACATGTCTACCCAAGTTCTCCTTCGGTTGTGAGTCCATGACGTTGGCCATTGATCCAGGCGTGTCGCAGATGGGGACTAAAAAAGGCGCATGATTTGATGGTCGGCAGAAGGAAGCAAAACCTGCCACCATCTGCCTACGGAACAATGCTGGTGGACATGTTCGCGCAAAAGACTTCGTGCTACTGAAATGATGAAGCATTCAGCAGGCTTGTCGTAGGCTCAACCAATCAGAGCACCCCAGGGCAGCAAGGCTGGAGGGCTCGCAATGCTCCGTGTTCTGCCCGAGCCCATGCCACCGTGTCCTGAGCTGTCGTCCGCGGCATGCTAGAGTTTTCCTCAGGTGGTTATTTACAATGATGGTGCCTGCTTTCTTGTCCAGAGGCGGTAGCTGCTATGCCATCTGCTTTGCAAGTAAACCCCTATTGGACCGCGGCCGCGTCCCAGCGAGAGGAATCTCAACACTGACGACCATCTCTCTTGAAGACAGACTCCGAAAATAAGACGATGAGAATGATGATGGCTCCTCAGACTTTTCCCGAGGAATGCAAATGGAATTTGAGCATGTAAGCGTGAACAGAACCCTGTCTATGCGCGGCTGAAAATATGTGTCCCATTTCGAATTTGCTCCTGCAGAATGAAGCCGACCTGAGAGAACGGAACGTGCTTGGGAATTATGTTTGCCCCGAACTCTCTGCTTCTTGCTCCGATCCTTCTGTATAAAGCTCCGGAAAGAGATCTCGCAATACGTCGTCCACCTCCCTGTTGTCATATTGAGGCAGATCTTGTTGGGTGACTCCTGCGTCGCCTTGAGCGCTTCGCGATGATTCAATCCGTGGGTCATTCTCCAGTAGATGACGCTCGGTGCCGCCCTGGACGGATCTTTCGGGTCGAGACTCGCCAGGCTGGGGGCTTTCTTCCGTCCCACCTTCTATCGCGTTGATGATCGCGTTGGACATTTCGTGCGGTGACAATCCTTGCAGTCTCTTGAACACTCGTTGAAGATGCCACTTGCTGAGCCGGACCTGGCATGACAGCTGCTGTAGACTTATTTTTTGACCTTGGGAGGCTGTCGTCTTGACCAAATCCACAGCGTGACGGATCTTAGCCAGCAGCGGGTCCTCCTCTTGCGACACCAGCAAGTTGGGTTTGCAACGCTTGCACGCCCGGTATCCGGCCTCCTCCGCCAGGGGACCGCTGTCGTAGAAGATGATGTTCGCCCGACGCGCCAACCGAGCTTTGCAATCGGGTCGGCAGTAAATGCCCGTTGTTTTGACAGCGTACACAAACTCTCCCACCGCGTCCGGGTTGCGAGAAACGACCGCAGACCACCGAGCCTTGGTACTTGAGAAAGCTGGCCCTGACATTTTCCACTGTCTACCAGCCTTTAAATCGAGTTTTTCTGAGCCTTGACATCCTGAGACTCGAGGAAATCGACGGCTTTTGACTTCCACTCCGGTGGCGATCGCCCTCGTGGACTTTGGCTTCCTTGCCGCTGTGGTGGCGGCGCATTCTGTCAGCCGCATCAATCTGTCAGGGTGATAGACTGTGAGATATTGATAGCAGTGCTGGAGGCGGAATACCAAGGGCGGTTTCTTCTCGTCTCGATCAAATGGTAGTTAAGGTACGCTTGATTGGTAACAACCAGAGCAACTGGCCCCATGGAAACGAAGCGTACCCCGGAAATGCTCCGGCACATTGCCTTTCCTTCTCCGAGTGCGAACACAAAGACGTTTGGCGTAACGATGATACAAGTCGAAGAACGAGGAATAGCAGTTTGAGGACTGGGAAAGGCAGATATCGCCCTTGCAGGTGGATTGTGGATACAGCTGTCGATGTTGCTGTGGAGGATCAACGATATTTCCAATCGTCGGCGCCGAAACGGATCCATGAACCCTCTCATTGCTGTGTAAGTGACCAATGGCAGGCCTTCTTGGTATACCTTTCACGGTTACGCTGGTCATCTTTGTGCAAAAGGTACGCTATTACACCTCCTGCAGCCCCCAAAACTATGTTAACGACGATGCCACTGTCCCCGCCCAGGAACAGGAGATTGTATACGTGTGGTGGCAATGAGTCATGCAGGTCGAGCGGTATCCCCGTTCAACAGGCCACGATCGAGGGTATAAAGCCGAGAGCTGCATTCGAGGACGAGAAGCCACCATTGCATCACGGCCACCAACCTCGTTGAACCAAACCTCGTCTCCTTCAGTCTCCGAAGCCCTAGTACCTCTTCGACCATTGCATTCGACATGGCTCACCAGGAGATCTCGCCAGCAATTCTTTACTGGGGGACGCCAGTAGTGTTGATTAGTTCCACGAACCCTGACGGAAGTGCCAACATAGGCCCTATGTCATCAGCTTGGTGGCTCGGGCACGGTTGCATGCTTGGACTCGACGCTTCTTCGCAAACCACGCAGAACATGCTTCGCACGAAGCAGTGTGTGTTGAATCTGGCTTCAGACGATATGGCAGCGAATGTCAACGCATTGGCGCGAACCACTGGCACTGACCCAGTCCCGGGCCCGAAACAGGACAGAGGCTATGAATTTGTCAAGGACAAGTTCGGGTGCGCTGGGCTCACACCCCTGCCTTCAAAGAAAGTCGGACCCCCGGGAATCAAAGAGTGCCCCGTGGTCATGGAGGCAGAAGTGGTGGCGGTACATGAAATGTATGGAGGAAGGGCGGTACAAGGGTTAGTCCTTGCGATCGAGGTCAGAATCCTGCGAGTCAGCATCCACGAAGAGCTCCGACTCAATGGCTTTCGCAATCGTGTCGACGCGGACAAATGGAAGCCAATGATAATGATGTTCTGTGACTTTTACGGGCTCAAGGATGGAAAGGTGAAGCATTCAAGGCTGGCAGAGATCGAGGAGGAGATGTACAGAGGACTGACCGAAACGACGGGGGAGATAGAAGATGAGGTGGACAACGACTTTGCAGAGCACGTCGTCGGCTTGACTGCTTCACACCAATAGAACAGGCGCAATGCTGAAGCCTCATAGATTCTATGTTCAATAGACGGCGAAGACCAATGCCAACCATCGTTCATCAGCACCCTCCAAAAACAAGAGAGGCCATTGAGCTTTTGAGACGGTCGTCTTTTTGCACCAGCGGCGGATATTGCCCTGGCGATTCAATCATTTTGTTATGCTGCGATCACACTTTCAAGCAACGAGACGCTTGCCCGGATTGTTAGAGACCTGGTGTGATGATTGCGTCCTGCCCACAAGGGATCAGAGGGTTTCCGCTTTTGAACGTCTCACAGTTACCCTGGGACTTTCCAGCCTAGAGCTGCAAGACATATATTTCTGGATTGGACCTTGCTTGAAGCAGGCCACAGCAGATCCCCGGTAGCCCTCGACTTGCCCCATGGACTTGGTATCGCAAGGACTTCCTCAGTCTGATGGCGACCGGTGAGACAGGCGCAGGTTGGTCTCAAGTTTAAGCCCGTGCAGCAACTTGTCGTCATGAAAGAGAGGTCACCAAGTTTGCATACGGATCCTGTCATGCGCGAGTGTGATGAGCAAGAGTTGTCGAAGTAGGTGGGAGGGAGTTTCAAGGATACGAGCTGCTGCTGCAGCCCCAAACAGAATTGTCACTGCCAGTGATGCGCCAAACTTGCTTTTGACATCGAGGCCGGGCGCGCATCGAAATTTTGGCGGCGATGAGCAGCATCAGCCACATTTTGCACAAAGCCTGCATTGATCGGAATTTGTCGTAGGCATCGTTTGACTTTCTCCATCCTCAACCTATCTAGGGCTCTTTCGGATGTTAGCTACCCTAGAACTTACAGGGAGATCTCAAATGCCCGGGATCCTGGATCCTCTCCCCCTCATTTCCACCTCAACTGAAGATACATTTCTTGCAAAAATGGTGCACTTGAAGTGCATTTCATCCACCCGGTCAACCAACAAAGCTCGTTTCAGCCGTTCGTCCCTCGACCTTGAAGAGTAACTGATGTGCTTCACCAGACAAGCTTCAATCCTTCTCGTCGGCACCTCCATAATCCCTCTATGTCGCCAACAAAGCTGGGGTACCCAACCCGCCCTTTTCCCACCGGACTCGATGTAGCATCACATCTGACAGATAATACGATCAACCATTCTTAGAGCGACTGCCTTTTTGTTTTTGGCCCTCGGACACCGCTCGATACAATGCAGTAAGACCATTCATTGTCGGAATCGCTAAATCCAAAGCCTGTGCATCCTCGTATTCAAATGTCACACAACATCTGGTAGCCGGACAGAATTGAAAATGCGACCGACCTGGACTGGATTCCTGTAAATCGTGCTTGGTCCATTCGAGACTTGCCTTTTTTTTAGTGCATTCGGATGCCGATGGTAGGAGAGGCCAAAAACCTTGCTTTACTCGCTCAGAGTTTGCCAAGGGACAAATGATCATCTATGTGCCGCAGCCATGTTCGAAGAGGAGCTTTCTACTAAGGATTTTCCACGTCATGATGGCTGGGTGCTCAATGTCCAAAGCATATGGCCGAGTTGGACCTCAAACTCGCACGAATCAGGACCATTGCAACGCCCCATCCGCTCTCAGTAAGTCGAACTTCTCTGCTACAGAACTTTGCAATCTCCAGCCCAGGTCGTCAACCTCAGCGCCATAGGTTGACTGCGAAATATCCGAGATGGATTGAGGCGTTCCAGTGCTGACCATCCCGCTTGCAACATTCATTCCTGGCAAGAACATGCGGTCCACCTGACACTGAGTTCCCTGCAAATACGAACCGCTCGTCCAGTGGACGCTTGACCGATCCTTCTGAGATCTGGACTTGTTGTATTAGGTTTTCCAAATCGCCGAAAGGGTCTCCCTTGCCAGACGCGGGGTAGGTCAATTATATAGCTGCTCGAGCTCACCCGGCTCAGTATTTTAGAGCCCACCCCAGTAGTCCTACTGATATTGCATTGGCGACCTTCCCTACCAGCTTTGGCCTAACAGAAGTTGAGTTCAGAACAATAATACAATGCTCGAAGTCTACTGTGATCCTTGCACGGTCAATAGCCGCAAGGTTCTGGCAGGCCTCGACCTCTTGGGCACCAAATACCACTTCAACCATGTCAATTACTTCACTGGTGAACACAAGAGTCCGGATTACCTGAAAATCAATCCACATGCCACTATGCCGGCTGCGGTGGACGGAGATTTGAAGATCACTGAGTCCAATGCCATCCTGCAGTACGCCGCAGATGACTGTGGTTCAATGTACCCGAAAGACTCCAAACAGCGATGTGCCGTGAATCGCTGGCTTCTGTGGGAAGCCTCGATTTGGTTTCCCAGCTGCTATATCTATCTGGTGGAATACGTGGTGAAGCCGCTTCTCCAGGAGGAACCCGATCAATCGGTCATCGATGCAGAGGCACCAAAGTGGCACAGGCACGCCGCAATTCTTGATGAACAGCTGTCGAAGACCAAGTGGCTTACTGGCGACAATGTCACCATTGCCGATATTGCTGTTGCTGCACCCATGCACCTGCATGCCGCTCAACGCCTCCCGCTCGACAAGTATCCCCATCTCACGCGTTGGCTGACGGAGCAAGTCGAAAAGCTCCCTGAATGGCAGAATACCCAAGCCGCTGTCGACAAAGCCTTATTGCCAGGTAAGGCTGCCACCACCAATGGCACGGCTGAAGTTACCCACGCTAATTTCAACTACACAAAGGACGTTGAGAAGCGGACCGAGCTTTACTTCTACGAGTGTGAGGCTGCAAAGAACATTCATGAACCTGGGGATGATCCGCACGAAATGACTGTGACCGATGGGTGGCACAGAGCCGACTCCTTCTCTGTCGACAAGGAAGGATTTTCTGTTGGTCAGTTCAAGACCGGTTTTGACAAATGGGAAGACGAGGATTCCGTTCGCGAGCAGTTCTACCCCGAAATAGTGGAATTTCTGAAGAATACCACAGGCGCGAAGCGCGTGCTCGTCTTTGACCATACCATCCGCACCAAGCGGAACGAAGCCAAGAAGCTGACTCAAGAGACAAATACTTCGCAGCGCGCTCCGGTCATGCTGGTCCATTGTGATTACACTGCAGAATCCGGTCCTGTTCGTGTCCGCCAACTAATGCAAGATGAGGCCGACGACCTCCTTTCTCGGCGCGTGGCATTCTTCAACGTGTGGAAGCCGCTTTACCATACTGTTGAGGAGCGACCATTGGCCATGTGCGATGTGTCCTCAGCTCCCATGGAGGACTTCTTCAAGTTGTATCTCCGGTATCGTGATCGTGTTGGGGAGAACTATGTCATGCGATACTCGCCGAACCATAAGTGGTGGTATTTCCCAAGGATGACGCCAGAGCAGGTGATTACTCTGAAGACATATGATTCCGAGACCGATGGGCGTGCTCGTTTCGTGGGACACAGCGCGTTTGAGGATCCAAACTCTCCCCCTGATGCTCCAATCCGTGAGAGTGTTGAGATTCGCACAATTGCTTTCTTTTGATGGATCAAGGACGCTGATGATGGTCACGATCGGAGCGCTGTAGAGGGTAGTTTGCGTGAATCCAGGAATGTCTTCTTCCCTTACAAGCACCCGACAATACCCAGTCTTCGCTTATGCTCTTGTCCACAGAGTCATATTGATCGTGTCCCTACGCTTATCATCCCACAGTGGGGTTAGTCCCACATGTGCAAATACTCAGCCGGGACATGGTACGGCTTAAAGCACACATTAATATCCCAGTTACCAATCTGGATATTTTCGTCTCCACTTCTCCACATCATGGGGTAATGGAGGTTCATGGGTGCCGCGGTTGTATGGGCTTGGACGTGATCTGGACTGCCTCTCCACATCGACAGAGAGTCAGTGAGTATATATCGTATTTGGTCCTGCTGAGTCGGACCGTGATTTGACATGTCTCTGATCGTCTTGGGCAGAGCACCACCTTTGGCTACCGCGTCGTGTATGGCATAATGTCTTCGTCCTCCAGCTCCCCGGCTTTGCCGCCACAGTATCCCGCCTCGTACTCGGGAATCCCTGAGAGGCTATTGCACAAAGCCATCCGAGAGAAATCAAGGCTATGGCAAAACCAGTCGAAGGAAGACCAAACTCCCAGGAAAAGAGGCTTGGCCATTCCTGCCGGTATTGGGCGCTCGGAATTTCTCAAAGCATTGGACGAGTTGGCGACAACCCTGGGAGGAGAGCACGTTGTGTTGAATGATCAACCTCTCGAGGATGGATGGTTAGATCCCACGCCCGCTCTATGAAGTCGTCCTTGTCAATCACTGACTTTCTGCCAGGTATTTGGAGCGTATGATTAGATTGTCCCCTCGGCGTGGTTGCAGAGGTTGATGTCTTGATTAGAACCCAACACGCACGATTCTTACATGATCATGGACGCGGAAGAGACGGTATCGTCAGCTTGTGTCTATCCAGGAAGCGTGGCAGATGTTCAAATTGTGGTCAAGTGGGCCAATCAACATCTTGTCCCTCTGTATCCGATCTCCATGGGACGAAACTGTACCTGATGCCAACCGAACGTCATATTCTCGTGCACTTCGCTGACTGACTTGACAGTGGGCTATGGTGGTGCCGCACCGCGCGTCCGTGGGTCGGTCATTGTTGACCTAGGTAGACGGATGAACAAAATCTTGGACATCGATCCAGATGACTGCACCTGTCTGGTCGAGCCGGGGGTGTCTTTTTACGCCCTGTATGAGGAGATCAAGAAGAAAGGATATTCCATGTGGGTGGACACGCCAGACCTTGGGGGTGGCTCAATCATTGGAAACACTCTCGAACACGGAGTCGGCTATACGCCGTATGGAGATCATTGGTCGACTCATTCGGGCCTCGAGGTAGTCCTTCCAACTGGCGATCTGCTCAGGACCGGAATGGGCGCCCTTCCTGGCAACAATACCTGGCAAACCTTTCCATACGGGTTTGGGCCGATATCAGAGTATGGCGGCATTCCTAATGGTTCTCCACGTGCTGACAGCACTTTGCAGTGGGATCTTTTCGCAGTCGAACTTTGGGATTGTCACAAAGATGGGCGTCGCCTTGATGCCAGATCCCGGCGGCTGCGAGAGTTTCGTGAGTGGCCTGAATTTCTCGAGTCTTGACGTGTGACGACTGACTGACTTGACAAGATGTATACGTTTCCGCGCGAAGATGACCTGCTGCCATTGGTACGTTAATCCTCTTAAACCTTGTTGACAATCTGCTGAGCCATAAACAAGATCGATATTGTCCGGCCGTTGAGAATTGCCAACTTGCTCGAGAATGTCGCCCAGATCAGACACGCCACAATCGAGTTGGCAGTTTCAGGGCTTCGGCGCTCGCACTACTATAAAGGAACAGGTCCGATACCTGAAGAAGTCCTGCAGTCCCATCTGGAGGCAACGCCGCTTGGGCGATGTTCCTGGATCTACTATGGGACCTCTTACGGGCCTGAAAACATTCGGAAATACAAGCTGGACATTGTCCATCAAGAATTTACCAAAATTCCTGGGGCGAAAAGGATTGACCCTCAGACACTGCCAAAGGACCACTATTTCTGGTCTCGGGCCAAAATTGCCGGGGGCGAACCGGACTTTGAAGAGCTTTCGTACATGAACTGGGTGCCTAACGGAGCTCATCTGGGGTTCAGCCCTGTCTCACCGACTCGTGGGCCCGATGCCCTGAAATTGTGGAAGATAGCCAAGACGAGGCACGAGGAGCACGCGATCGACCTCTTTCTCACATTTTGCGTAGGATTGAGGGAACTTCACATGATCAATCTCATTGTCTATGACCGAGGCAGCTCCGAAAGGAGAAAGGCCGTAGAAAGTTGCATGCGGGCGATGATCGAGGACGCAGCGAAACAAGGTTACGGAGAGTATCGCACCCATCTTCTCTTCCAAGACCAAGTCGCCCGGACGTACAACTGGAACGATAATGCCCTCATGAAGTTCAACGAGAAACTCAAGGACGCTCTCGATCCAAATGGGATCCTTGCCCCGGGGAGATGTGGTATCTGGCCGGAGCGTTATCGAGACCGAGGTTGGGAGATTGGCAAGGAAGGAAGAGAAACCTCTGAAGGGGAAGGGGTCCGACCGCCCGGAGCAAGCGTGAAACTATGATGCTGGGAAATGAAGCCATAAATCACTTTTCTTGCCAGCGGCGACATCTTGTGGAGATAAGGGCATGTTCGTGCTCGGTAGATGGTGGAGGGCGGAATGCCCTGGATATGTAGAAGCAAGCTTTGGTCACCACAGCAGATGCGAAGAGGCGTTGATACTTTGGCTCTCAAGGGTCGGACTCTGGTTTGATCAAAAGCAGATCAGGCGCCGTATTCATCAGCGAGCTCGATCCAAGCATCGACTATCTTATCGACATCGCTTTTCTTGATAGGAATGCGGTGAGGCCCATCCCATTCGATAAGCGTCGTTGTCTCCGGCGCACAGTAGTTTTCCACTAGCTTCCTGTGAAGATGGAGACCCTCGTCCTTCAGGCCGTGAACGTGCAGTGTCGGGACTTTCAACTTCATGTCCGGACGCTCAAGGATGCTTTCGACATCGGCCGCGTCCGCGAGGCCGCCTGCTGACTGCATCCACGGCAATTCTTCAGCCTCTTCACTCAGACTGACCAACGGGGCTCGGCCGGCGAGAATAATGGCAAACTTCCAAGGTCCGGTTTTCTCCTTGAGCTGCTGCTCGTAAAGCATGCTCGCTGCCAGTTTTGCTCCCTGGCTGAAGCCCAAGGTCCCTACCCACTCCCCCGTCCCTTCGTCGCTCTCCATACACCGCTCGATGGTGTACTCCAGCTCATATTGACAGGCGGCTGGGTCAATCTCTGGGTGAGACTCTAGCCAACGGAACCACCGTCGGAACGGACCCCAATCCGAATACACGGGATGCACGCCGACTCCCTCGTCGCAGAAGAATGGAGCATCGACGAAGACAAACCGGTATCGATTCTTCAGCTTGTCATGGCCGAGGAATGCACGAAGCTGTGCCTTGAAGATTGCCGCATTCACACCACCTCCGTGGATGCAGAGAATGCGCGGTAGATGCAAGGTGGAATCCGAAGAGGCCATGGCGCGATCTTCCCGAAGTTTCAGTTTGCTAAAATTGCCTCTGCTGGATTGTCAAGATCAGCTTTCCAAGCGATTTCAGCGGGTCGGAGAATATATACAGGGCCGAACCGCTCGAGATTAAGGTGAGCAAGAATGTATGCTGACAACTCTGGATGTACCTCGTGTAAGGCGTGCGATGTTCGATGATCTATAAATAGCAATCTACTAGGTACCGAAGCTGCGCCGAGTACTCGGTGTGGTCAGGAGGCTCAGGACTCCCGCTCAACTACAACATACAAAACTTCGAGGATCCCATAGCTGTATAGACAAGCTTGGGGCCAATATCGGGGCGGTTCTGGCATCCTGTCATTCCGTTCAGTGAAGCTCTATCTACCAGCCACTAATATTGGTGTATTCATGCTATGCCTCTCGGTCTCCGAACGCTTGCATGGCTAAAGATGTACGAGGTACAAGTTAAAACCCGCAGTTTCTATTCTGCATGAGAAGGTCCGACCAGTCCGGCCCATGGCTCCAGTGTTGGCGATGAGCGACGTGCACTTCGCCTTATTCAGGAGTTGATCTTGAAGCAGGAGTCTCGAAGACGAACCAGGATATCCAACGAATGATCGAGATGGGTCGCTGCTGATGATTTGGAAGGTGGAAGACATGGAAGCGGTCTACAGATGAGGCGTGCTCGTAAAGATATGCAAATATTACAGATCCAGGCATCATGATCTCATTGACAAATCTTGCTTCGCTATGCATTGAAAACATTCAGATCCTATCCACTCCTGGGACGCCTCTTTCGTGGGCACTCTTCTCCAACCGTCCATCTACACTCCGTCCACGTGCTAATGAGACACGCGCTCGTGCTCTATCAAGCTCCACTGGCGACATCTGACCAAATTGGACACTACTTCCGAGCCTTTCGTGATACCTCTCGAAAATGTCTCCGATGTCTCCGCCTTCGAAGGATATGCTGGAGGTGAATGGGGAGGTTTCGTCCAAATCATCGATGGTGGCTCTCCCGTCATCCCATGAATTCGCTGCGGCCACGTCAATGGATGTCAAGCCTGGTCTGCTGTACAGATAAGGTTCCCGTATCTGCGGAGACGTACCCAGTGATGCCGACCCGGGCACTGCTGGCGGCGCTGTTGCATGTGATGTAGTCGAGGCCTTGGATGTATCGCGCGACATGGGCTGCGAGCTGTAACCTGTAGGAGCGGACTTTGCGGAAAGCAGACTATCGGGCTCTTGAATTGGAGGGTTCAGATGAGATTGCACGTTGGAAACTTCATAATGTTGTGAAGGGGACATATTTTCCTTCAATGGAGTTGAAGGGGCAACCTTTGCTGTCGCATGATTGTTCAATGCAGTGTACATCAACCGGGGCGAAGACGATGGATGCCTGGTGTGCCTTCGAGTAATCCCGGATGAATCGTAGGTCGGCAGAGACTGACTTGGCAGAAACTCTGTGGCCAAGATTGAAATTTTCTGATTGGCAGATTTGGCGGAGAGTGGCAGACGTCCTTCGTCTGATGCCGGCCTGGTACATTGTAGACGCGTAGGTGATTTTATTCTTCCTCCTCTTATGGGCGGAGGACTGGCCCGGTGAATGGCCGCGAGAGCCCCCGATGCTTCAGACCCTGTAGAAGCCGGCCTCGTCACGGTCCGGTCGTCGCTGCCGGTGGTGAATGATGAGGCTCTCGAGTGACTCTGAGCTTGTTCGTGGGATAGAGAGGGTGGAACTGGCAAGGGTTTCCATTCCCCAAGGTTCTTTGGTTTCTTTGATTGGGAAGGCCGCCCTTGAAATATTGCCTGTAGAACCGAAGATTGGCGGACATTATCGAAGCTGGCTTCGGTAGGCGTCATCGCATATAAGTCAGAAGCGCTCGGACGTCGGCTTCGGTTTGTGCCTAGGATTAGGACCTTGGAGTTGCCCATTCCAGATTGAGACCACCTATCCGTCCAGCTTCCTTCGGACCCTACGTCGTCCAAATCCAACCCCAGATGCATCTGGATTGGCGATTCAGTCTGGTCGTCAGCATGTTCAGGCGTCCAGGTAGACGTCCTGGTCAAAGCACTGCTCTCAGTACCAGGACTGTCTGAAGACGTGCTGCTGGCCCGCTCAAATACGGAGAATTGTACTTGATGATTGAGACTGTCGACGGATTGTGATGGAGACTGAGTCTGAATTTCCTCCTTGATCGATCGAATGGTTTCATGAAGGTTGTGCCGTGCCTTGCGCAGCGTCGGCGAGGCTTCCGTAGACGATTTGGGGAAGTGTGACCACAACCGAGCCGCCTGCGTCTCATAGTCACGATAGTCGCGGACAAGACCACGTCCTTCGGTGCTTTTTATCTTGCCGTCTGCGACCATATAAGAGTGGCACAGCATTTTCGAGGCTACGCAAAGCCACCACCAGTAATGTGCTGGTTGATCTGCATATCGTAGTTTCAGCTCGTCTCGAAGTACGTTTTGCACGACGCTATGAATGCGAAGAATATCAATGCTGTAGGTTATCGATTTGGAAGATGATTCATCCAATCTGCTGTCCGGACGAGCCCCAGTCAGTCCTTCAAGACTGCTGGAGTCATCCTCGAGCAGTCTTAGCTCGTTTCGCTCTGTTTCGACAGTGGTTACCCTTGTGCCAACTGTATCGGTAGTATTATGTCGCGTCCGCCTAGGTTCTTGCAGTGAGATAGAGGTTTTGGGTGGTGTGACACAGTACTCAAGCAAGGTCCGCTCGACCAATCCATACCGTATAAGAACAGCGATCGTATTGTCTAGCTCTTTCTTGAGGCTTCCTATCCGTTCAATCGAACGAACTTCGACCCCAAATTCATGCAAGACGGGCTGTCCAAAGCGAATGAGAGCTACTGGTATCACGTGCGCAAAAAAACTGAGCAGTGTAACCAGATGGACAGCCTCGGGATGCGAATGCTCTCTCAGCGCTGAGATAATATCAAGATAGGGGTCTGCAAGGCGATGATCTGAAGTTCCGGGATTGAACTTCTCAAGCGATGTCCCCCTGGCAATCAAAGCGTGGGCTGCGGCGTGAATAGCAAGTGGCAGACATTCATAGTGCTTCACCAATTGTGATGCCTTTTTGGCCTGCACTTCAGTTGGTGATTTTATCCCCAGGTTCTTGTAGAGGAGAGCACACGCGTCATGCTGTGAAAGGGGGAACACTTTGACGCCTGCCGGGTTAAGTAGTCTCTGCCGCTTGACCAACGTTCGATCGACCGATGTGTAGATGATGTTGTTGCCTGAGCGATCCGGAATATAAGAGACAAAGGCTTCGATGTCCTCGTCATTGTCCGTCGTTACACCGTCAAATATGAGCAGCCAGCCTTCTCGAGCTTCGAACCATTTTCGCACCGAGTCGACAAATCTTGATGATTCATCCCACCCAGAGTCCCGGGGTTCGTCCTTTCCAAGTATCGCAACAGCTTGAGCAATATCCCAGAAACTCTTCGAGCGTGACTCCTTGGTCTTGGAATCGACCCAGAAGCAACCGGCTGGATATTGTCCCTGGTGTCGCCACAGATATTCCCGTGCAATCTGGCTTTTTCCACAGCCCGGCGGGCCCCACAGCAAAACGGCGCACGTTCCTAACGCTCGCCGCTTCTGGTTTGCCAGTCTCTGAGCGAGTTGGTCCATTTCCAATTGGAAGCCAAGGAAAATTGAATTTGGGCGGAAGCCCACCGGAGCAACAACTAGGGAAGTAGACGATGATAGAGTTAAAGATTGATCAGTCATTCGGGTTGAGCCTACAAAATCCTCTGTAAACCACCATGAGTCAGCGTCAACGAGCTCCATTCCGGTCACGAACCAAACTTGGCTGATCAACGAGGTGCAGTGACCAAATCATCCTCGACTTCTTCAACCTCATACCGGGGTGAATTTGACGCGGAGATTTGTTTGGGAGGAGGCGCACTCATTGAATTTGACTGGATAGTTTGCGCAATTCCAGACGGTGTGACTGTTCCCGAAGTCCCTACACTCGTTTGAAAGACGCTGTCTGTTGAAAATGGTCTCAGCATCGTCGCAGACGCAATTTGTGGGTTCGCATCCTCACCACCCAATAGTTCACGTGCAGCTGCTTGCCTTTCAAACTCGGCGACTCGTTTCTCTTCTTCCCAGCGGGAGCGGATGAGCGATTGAGACCCAGTGGCATATCTGAGGCGTCGTAAGCATGCGTCATTCCGCTTCAATATCTGCTTCCTTTACCTTTGAATGGCCTCGGCGACGACATCGTAACCCGGGCTTGATTCGTCCTCGAACTTGCACATGTGGCTATTGAAGGAAAACGGGTTCAGCCATCAAGCGCGGCACGCAGGCCTTGGTCGCCTCTTACCTGTGGTCTTTCTCAATGCCCATCCTTTCAACCCCTTCAATGACAGGGGCAGCAGAATCTTCCTCAACGACGAACGCTCGAGTCCCTTTCAAATCGGTAGGCTTTGATTCATGGAAGAAGTAGATGTGGAACCGCCCTATGATCTCTATGAAGAGCCTATTGATATTCTGCAGCGTCTCGTTGTTGGTTTGCAGGGCATGCACAAGTTGTGGAGATGTATCGAAGAACTTCTTCGGAAGTGCTACGGCACAGATCTTTTCGAGCAAGGAGCCCCATTTTGCGAGGTCGGAACCATTGTGAGGAGTTCCAAGAAAGAGAATGCCATAGGTACTGACATAGATTGATCGTAGGCGCTCGGTGTGTTGGTGGGGTCGAATACTCTGGCAGTATATCAAACACCTCTTGACCACCAGGCCTCCAAGGGAATGACAGACGAAGATGATGGGTCTTTCGGTGGCTTTCCTCAACTGTGTCTCATCAGCATAAACCCAGTATAAAGCATGGTGTCGAACAGTAGCTGCGTAACAGCTCTTGGAGATCTTGTCCCGCACTCACCGACCTGTTTGCCACCAAGCGGCTTGCAAGATGTTCTGCATGATTGTGTATCTTATCCTTGGAGACACCGTCGGTGAAGGCGGTCACGTTCGCATCATATCCGTAGGTCAGGATTCGGGGTCTTTGGTCTTCAAGAGCCGCAGGGAGGAGATCAGCAGGCCAGAAGACGTTGGGCTTCTTCGTGGACCAGGTGTCGTGGGGATGCCCGTTCAATCCATGCACGAAGACCACGTCGACAAGAGGCTCCGTCGCCGCGTAGACTTCTGTAAGGCCATATTGTACAATCTGCTTTCCAGCAGAGGTGCTCATCGTTAAGATAGCGCACAGTGGTCAGACATCGAGGAAGCCAGAACACGAAGGCAGCAGAAGCAGGAAGGAGAACCAGTATGAAAGGGACAGCGGTCATGAAAAAGACTCGCCGGCTCACCGGTACAAGTACATATGTAGGCTGAAAAGAAGCATTTCACACACAGCCGACTGGATCCAGGAGTCACAGTCACCGTCGAATTGAACGGGAGGGCGCAGGTGACTTGGGAGCCTGATGATGGGAGTGGTGGATGCAACCTGCATTTTCCCCAGACAAAGAAAATTGACCTGTCTCAGAAGACGATGCAGGCGGATTTTAGGGCGGTGAAAGGCCTAAACAAGGCAAGAAAATGCACCACAGTGCTAAGGCGCTAAAAGGCCTGACTGCGGCTCGTCCCTGGAGTTTCAGGCGGCTTAGGGGTTTCAAATGTGCCTTCCGGAGGCTTGTTGCCTTTCTTGGGGCCATTTTGTGGGGGAGTTTTGCTGCAACCCAAAGGGGACGAAGCTCAGGCGGCACGAAAGAAAGAGCTCGGATGAAGGCCCAAGGCGACCTTGTTGGCTGCTAGTACTCGTGTGATTGTAGAATTCAGTCGCGTGGCTTTTGACTATCTGACCTCAAAATGTCTGGTTGTCACAAGATCTCCTCTCTAAAACTTGTCCAACGACACCCGGCCAAGGGTAATGCAAGTCATATGGCCCGACGAACATCAGGCTTCTGAGGCGAGATGCGCAACCTCGAGGCATCATTTTGACGCCTCATCTGCCTTTGAAGGCTGGCTTCCTCTTCTCTGCAAATGCTCTCAATGCTTCCATTCGGTCCTCCGTCTTCAGGATGACCTCGTAGGCTTCGTTTTCGGCAGCCTCTCCCCGCTGCCATCCGCTGACTGCACGCATTGCCTGTGTCAGAGCAATTGGGCCTCCATCGCAGATGTCACTGGCAAGCTGTAAACTGGCTGCTAGCACCTTTTGCCGTGCCTTATCATCTTCAGTCAACTCTTCAGGAGTAATTTCCACAAGTCGGTTGCACAACCCCAGAAAATATGCTTCTGCCCCTCCAACTCGCCGACCGGTAAGGATAAGGTCGCGTGCTCGGCTGACCCCAATCAATGCAGGTAGTCTGTAGGTCCCTCCTGCTCCTGGGATGATTGCCAACTTTGTCTCGGGTTGCCCTACAACAGCAGAGGATCCAAAAACCCGAAATGTGGTGCAGAGCGCGAGTTCCAAACCACCTCCGAGGGCGACTGAAGATATAGCGGAGATGGTAGGGACAAGGAGATTAGACAGATTGGTAAAGGTGTTCCGCACGTCGGTTAAGAATTCTCTGGTCCTTTACATCCATGAGCAGGTGCAACCATTAGGGGTCTCAATGCGTACTCTTCCTGTGTCATCTCCTTTCTTTCTCTCAGGTCTGCACCGGCGCAGAAGGCTTTGTCTGTATTGGACGCGATGATCAACGCTCTTGTGGGGCCTGCACCACCTTCCGCCTGGATCTCGTTGACATGACGCTTCAGATCGGCGACGAGTCTGCGCGACAAGGCATTTCGAGCAGTAGGCCTGTCGAGGAGAAGAATACGAATGTTACCAGAGTGCGGCGCCGGTTGGTGTTGAACTTTGATTGGAGAAGGTTCAGACACAGATGCAAAGCTACGATATTTGCATTGAGGAGCTCGTAGACTCGTGAGGACGCGCCATGCTGGACGGGTTCGCATTATTGCGAGATTTGCGAAGAACGAAGAAACAAAATGTGGTGTCTACCTCCTTTGCAAGCAGCGAGGACCGAGGTTGCGGGGAAACGCTCGCTTGTGAATCGAGCTGCAAGGCAAGCCGGCCCTGTTTGCTTGGCTGACACCGTCCCCGAGATCTTGAGAACGGCAGAACATCAGACCATACCATCACTTGACGTCCGACAATCATGCTTTTGATGGATTGGTAAATATAATTGAATATCTCTCGAGGCAACGAGCGTCAAGCAATTACATATTCTCATTTCTTGCGAAGATATCACACCGGGGCGACGTTTCGACTACCTAGGTACATAGTACTTCAGGATGGACCACAGCATGCTGCATGACACTATTCTGGCCCTGGAGGATTCAACCTGGCGAGCACTAACAAACTCCGGAGCCGCACTATTGCCATTCCTCAGTCGCGATTGTATCATGCTTTTCCCATTGGGGATGAAAGTGTCCGCCAAAACGACGCCCAATCTTGAGGACGTGATGACAAGCGATGCCTTTGTGCCATGGAAGCAGTACAAGATGACTGATGTGGAGGTTACACCGCTAGGGCCAGAAGCAGCTCAGATCACTTATCGAGTTAACGCGACGAGGCGGCATATTACGGCGGACGACGATATGAGACAGGACGAATTCAAAGCATTGATCTCCAGCACATGGAGGAAGGATCCAGAGGCAGGAAAATTTCTACTGTGTGTCCATCAACAAACGCCGTATGAAGAGGATCTGGAATTTTGAACAACATTTGGTTATGAAAGATGTACTCTGTATCCTGGATGCGTAATGCGGAACGAAACGTGGAGGGAGCTTGGGCTTAATTTGATCGAATACCGTACCGACCTCAGGATGGTGCTGATATCTGGATGACTTGTCCGGTGGGTTTGAGTGGGTATAGTTGTATCCTTTGAAGAGTACCTACCTACTAATTCATTGATCGCCTGTGATTGTATCCTCGGCTGGATGATGGCTCCATGGTGAACTTGAAGGGCATGTGCATTTGTCCTGCACAGTGACATCAGCCGCGTTCTGGCAATGGATTGCGCTGGAAGCCCTGGACACTCCCACGGCTCTCAATCCCGAGCGAGTAAGTGGCGTTTGCCGCCAGCTGTGTGGGGAAAGTGAATGGTCACATTTGTGACGTCGCTGTCGAGGCTGAAGAAGGCAGGATCAACAAAACGCTCTCCAGGCTTTCACGCCCGTCACCCACCATTCAAAACTGACCTCATTTCCCTCTAGGACCAAAGATTCTACAATCCTCAAACCACAGCCCAACCCCGAGAAAGCCCATCATCAAGTCACCAAACCTATCCAATTCAGAAACCCTGTCGAAATGTCCTTCCTCTACCAAACAACTCCCGTGCTCCGCACCGCAGTTCGATCATCTCTTGTGCGCTCGTCGCCTCGCCTCTTCTCTACCACAGTCCTCCAGAAGAAGTCGGCTACCGATTCCGTCAAGGACGGCCTCAAGACTGTCGACCGAGCAGTCTCAGATGTTGCAGTTGCCGGTATCGACAAAGGAGGTAGGCGAGAAAACATGCCACTCGAAAACCTCGCCTAGCTAACCATGATCCACCAGTCGAACTGAAAGACAAAGCTGCCGAAGCCATCGGTGTCGAGACCAAGAAGGCCGAGGGCACCGCGTCCCAAGTTGCCGGCGAAGCCAAAGGAAAAGCCGCCGAAGTCAAAGGCCAAGCAAAGGGCAAGGCGGAGGAAGTCAAAGGGAAGATGTCGTGAGAAGCACTGCATGGAAAATATTTCATGGTGGGGGACTAGAATCATCTCATGCAATACCTTCGTACTGCTGGGGATAAAGCTGGCGTTTCCCGTGTACCAATAATCATCGTCAATGAGGCCATGACTTCAAGAGGAGCCGCCAAAAGTTATGTACAATACTCAAGTGCCAATCATATCAGAAGGTCTGGCCTTGCTTCTCCGAGCCCTTCAGATTTGGGACCGGCTGCAAGACCGGGTTAGCGAAATGAGTCCGATAGACCTCCTCCTCTTCTTGCTTCAACCCATACTTCGCGGGATCGCGCTTCTCTAGAAAGTGCTTGACACGGCCCGTTCCCTTGATGTCGTTTTCTTCAAAGTGATCCTTCCTCGATGCGAGAAATCGATTGGTTTCCTCGGTGAAGGCTTGTGCCCGCTCTTCGATTGATCCAGTGAATTGTCCCGCTCTTGTGGCCTGGAGGACTCCAGCGATGACCGCCAGGAGGATGACAATGGATGCGAATGCATTGGGGTGGAGATACGTCGCTGGAGGATCTTTGGGTTTCTCGTACCGTCGATACCATCGTTCCCAGTCTTCCCAAGTAGCATTTTGAAATATGGACGAATCGTCATCCGGCCCGAAGCCATACCGTTTCCCTTCGGGGTTTGTATATCCGTACGAGTGTCTGGTTGCTGTCCTCGTTTGCCCCCATCCTGCGCCAGATGCATCGTATGCCCTTCGCTTGACGGGATCGGAGAGGATCTCATGCGCCTGCACTACCAATCTGTATCTCTCCACTCTTTCAATGTCGCTCAGCTCACTGCCGAGGGAGTTGTGGCTATTCCTGTCGGGATGGTAAATCTTCACCAACTCGTAGAATTTGTGTTTGGTATAGACTGCATGCTTGTCTAGACCAAAGATCTCGTAGGGTGAAGGCGTAAAATGGGAGCTCCGCCGACAGGGCCAATTCATGTTGTCTCGAAACTCATAGCCTCGATCTGACCTGACGTCTGCATAGGTCCGCGACTGCGAAGGACAGCACGACTCTTGCTTCAGGCGCTTCCGTGGGGGGCTGGGGCATGGAGTACAGAGACAGCATTGCCATGGATTGTAAGCTGCCGGCAGCCTCACCTTCTTCAACAATGTTGATGGCATTTTGACAGCCAGCAGAGCGAGTAGATAAGGTCTCGTGCTAAGTGCGGAGAGGGCAGAAAGTCGTGCATGTCATCGGCACTTAGTCCCTTGTTAGCCAGGAAGGTTGGCCGCGTCATTTTACAATTTTCCCAGCAAGAAACGTGATCACGTCGACATAATATGTTTCGTACTTGGCTTCAAGGAATGTACAATAATGCCACAATCACGATCACCTCGGCGAGACGACTCGCGGGACGATCGTCGTCATCGCCACCGAGATCATGATCGAAGGACCAGGGATGTGAGAAAGCCAAGGTCACGGAGCCGCGACCGAGCCCTGAGAAGGTCAGCAAGCTTGGATGGACATGGCCAGAGAAGATATGATGAACGCCGCTCACAATCACCTCGCTCACGACGATCACCAGAGAGTTCGAAACGTCCTAGAGGCACTCTCCCGTCACAAGCTGACGCATTCAATACCACCAAAGGGGTCCCATCCCCTCCAGCAACCGAGAAGCAGAAGCCCAATTTCCGCCCTTCTGGTCTTTTGGCTGCAGCCGCAAACACAGTCTCAACATCAGCCGGCGCGGTAGTCCTGAAATATCACGAGCCTCCGGAGGCTCGAAAACCGCCTTCTTCCCAACCTTGGCGACTGTATATCTTCAAAGGGGAATCAATCGTCGACACGCTGGACCTATATGCCCAATCTTGCTGGCTCTTTGGCAGGGAAGCGTCTGTTTGCGACTACGCCCTTGAACATCCCAGCTGCTCTAAACAACACGCTGTCATTCAATTTCGGTATGTGGAAAGAAGGAATGAGTTTGGTGACAAGATCGGGAAAGTGAAGCCATATGTGATCGATCTGGAAAGCGCCAATGGGACGATGGTCAACGATGAGGCTGTGCCGGAGGGAAGATTCGTCGAATTGCGGGACAAAGATATCATCAAGTTCGGTCATTCATCCAGAGAATATGTCATGCAGATGCCTCCTGAGTGAACATGAGTCACCAGCAAAGCCGGGTCCGCTACGAGAATTGGAAAGCAACCGAATCTTGGAGACTGCGACGCCTTTTTCCACGAGACCTCATGTTGATGTACCTGATCAACTCGCTTACGCCCGTGTTTATTTCCGTCCTGCTTTGGCTTCCCGACCCGTCTCAAAGTCGATTGGGTTGGCAGTCTGCGTTCTGGAAATTTGCAAAGATCGAAGTTCGTGGACTTCTGAGGGCTATTGTAACCTCGGAAAGCCCGCGAAGAGGTTGCAAAGCGCATCATCAAAGTTGAGCTGTCTGTTGGACGACCGATGTCGAATAGCTCTGTGAGTGTATTTCTAAACCCCCGGCGAAGTGGAAGGGCCATGTCTGTTTGGAAAGAAACCTCCAGTCCGGCCATGAAGCTTTTCTGATCCCCTTCACGAATTCTCTTTTCCTCCCCGCCACCAACACCAGTGCAAACCTGATACGCTTCATCAAGGCTGTCTATGTTTGTCTGGCGCTTTATCGCCCTGTGTCGACCAACGCAGCACGCATAATCCACAAAATGGGGCGATCGCCACAAGGCCGCGACGCCTCAAATTTAAAATGCGAGTAAGACAACCCGGATCCCGCATCCGCAGCTTGTCCACAAGCGCTCGAGAACTGGTACAAGGTCGATTGCTCTCGGAGAATCGAGCAAAGTAAGCTCACGATTGGACTCGATGCTTGGAGTCAATCATCCTAACCGATGAACGAGCCCATGCCACTGGCCCAAGCACAAATTGTACCGCAGCAATCTGCTGGCGCTTAATGTGTCCTCATGTTCGATGCAGGAGCCATTCACTCTTATCCCTGCTGGGTTATTTGGACGGTGCGGCCTATCTTTCAACCAAAATGCCGAAAAGATGTCAAAGTTGTGGTTGTGGACTTCTGCGACGAGGACCTACCGGCGAACGAGTTTCTTAAGGGTTTCAAGGCTCTGGAGGATAGTCTGTGTCGGGAATCCCCTCTAGCCCACCTTGACCGCGGACGAGAGTCTTTGTCCTATCAAGGGCGAAGAGTTGATACACTCCAGAGACACGCCATTTTAGCAGCCCTTTCCTGGCATCCTTGATTACGACGAAAATTGCAAGTACATCGATGTCATCAGCTGCTCCGCTCCTATTAGTCCCTCCTTGAGAGAATTGGATGACAAACAGATCATGACTGAAGACTACACATTCGGACAGGATAGTCAGACCAAGATCAACAAAATCCGTCGGGTCATGCGAAGAACAGTCCGTGGTGAAGGGACCCATGTCGTGTTTGGACCTCTTGGCTTTGGCTACTATCGCCACTCTCCGCATGCGGTTGCATCTGCTATAAGAATAGCGCCCATTGATGACCCGAGGCAAGACAACTGGTGCTCTGCCCGGTATTCAATAGGTCCTGCTTTCCGTCAAACACAACTCGACAAAATACTTATGCACATCGAAATAAACATAAGCAGAGGACCGACTCGGCCAGCAGTATGTACATGGATGTAATGTTTGGACGTCAACCCTCGGCGTGTCGAATCAGTACTCCCAGCAGATCCTCATTGGAATGACGATCACGACATAAAAGTTAATGCAGGAAGACAGAAGGCTTCCGCTGGACGAATTCAGCTATGAATAGAACATGTTCAACATTTCAACTTCGGTGCACCTCCTCACTCTAGCCCATCGCGGCTTGACGCAGAATTCATGAATATCGTCAGTGGTTCCTGAGCTTCTCATGCATGTATGCATTGACGTAGCTCGTGACCTTTGAGCCTTGCTCCGTGTCCCTCAGCCGCTTTCGAATTATATTCACTTAGCCAGCCCTTTTCCTCAGCTGATCAGCTCTCACCCTAACGCCTGAAATTCTCCAGACTGTTTGATTGTGTTAACTTCCCGAGCAGTGCACGAGAAGGCTGGACTGCATTTGACACAGGCACTGTCCCCCGACCAACGACGACACGCTTTACACTAGACCAGCTTCATCCACGCATACATCGCGAGGCTCTACCCCTGCCAAGACCTCGCCGTTGCCAGGAAGATGATCGCCTTCTCCTGAGACGCGACCGACGAAACGCACGAGCACACTCATCCCGAGATATTCGAAACTTGTACGAACATTAGCTGGCAAGGCAGTGCTTCAACCAATTGAAGACTGGCCACGAAGACAGTCCTGGTAGAGCTACGCAGTACCAGTTTCGTCAATGTGAGTGTGGTTCCGGTTTACACCCGTTTCACCGCAAGATGCTCCTCTGCCGGCTTACACCCGCCTCATCGTCACAACCTCCATATATCTCTCGGGAAACCGGCTCAAATTCAAAGCCTGGACTTTTTGCACAATAGAGGCTGTCGGTAATTATCTCTTTTATACAGAGAGCACGGTTGAAAGCTCGCTAGGAATGTCGCCGCCCTCGTGGTCCGTGCCGCAGTTGTGGAGACTGCATTGGGCTGCCGATTCCCACCTTTCTGCCTTCTTAGTCGCTTCATATTGCAATCCTTGCATCGTAACACATCTATGGATTTACTTTGGCACCAATTAACCTTTAATATCATGGATCTAGCGTGGCGTGATGGTGTCAGTTCGCTCACAACGCCATTCGATTTCCGGATATCGAGGTCATTGCTAAACAGTCGATCTCGTTTGAAGCGCACCCGCATTGGCGATAGATTGATACTCTATGCGCCATCGAACCTGGTCTAATATCGAAGGTGCCGAACCCGTTCCTCCCTCTTCACTCCGTCCTTTGACTTTCGAAGAGCGCAATATCCTTACCTTACTTGGCTATATTCTTCGGCTGTGAAACGAAGAGCCCGGGGAAATAACCTGGAGAGGAATCCGGGGAAAGCTTAGCCCCAGGTACTTCAACTAAATGGATCAGCTGGCTCAAAAGTAGGGCGAAGTTCTTGGACTGTTGCCTGTTTGTCTGGTTTTCTCCAACCATCTGAGCGATATCTATTCAAGCATGAAGCTCCTCTCGTCATGGGTCCTTGGTTTCCAAGGCTTATGTGTCTTTGGTGCAATGACTGAATGCAATATAGATTCCATCCAGCAATTCGTTGCAGGTCCTGGAACGGCTACAGTGACGTCTGCACAAGCCCTACAGCAGAACAGCACATTTGGCGGGGGCGCTGCCGACCTTGAGTTCCCGGTGAATGACACGGATCTCCCAGCGCTCTGTGCGGTCACGGTCAACGTAAAGTCCTCCAATACATCCTCCTACAATTTTGGCCTCTTTTTGCCGCAGCAATGGAATAATCGCTTCATCGCCACAGGTAATGGCGCGTATGCTGGTGGGATCAACTGGAATGACATGGGCACCAATGCCCGATACGGATTTGCATCTATGTCAACTGATACTGGACACGTTTCGGGATCCTTTGATGCGAGCTGGGCTCTGAATAACCCCGAGGCTCAGTTTGATTGGGGCTATCGGTCTATGCATGGGTCGGTTATCTACTCTAAATTGATCACCAGTACGTATTACGGTACAAACATCAGCTATTCGTACTATTCCGGATGCTCTACCGGTGGTCGGCAGGGCTTCAGAGACATCGAACTGTACCCTGAAGACTTTGACGGAATTCTAGCCGGGGCACCCGCGTGGTGGACGACACATCTTCAACCAGACAATGTCCAGGTAGCACTCCACAATCTTCCGGTCGACGCTCCTACTCACATTCCATCTTCTCTTTTCCCTGTAATAGGGGCTGAAGTCCTTCGCCAATGCGATCCTCAGGATGGCTTCACAGATGGAATCATATCTGACCCCGAGGGATGTAACTTTGTCCCGGAAAGGCTGCTTTGCACTCCTACTTCAAATAAAAGCGCTTGTCTTACCGGACCTCAGTTGGACACTTTGTATCATATCTACAACGACTGGTGGGAAACGAACCAGACGTTCGTTTTTCCTCACTATGAATTGGGATCCGAGGCCCAGTACGGTTTTCTCCTCAACAGTAAGTCACCTCGGGAGCAGATTCTTTGATATTCGAGCATCGAACAGAGATGGAGGCTGTGAATCTCGAATTCCGCTACTATCCTATCTCAAAATGTTCTTGCCTTGCCCAGTTGCTCCTGCCACAGAGCATTTCTTCTATATTGGAGCAATTGCTGATCAAAATGACTCATCACAGCGGACTCTGGAACCCCAACAGAACCAGGAATCGCGTGGATCCAGAACTGTCTTTACAACGACACGACGTGGGATTGGCACGACTTCACTTACCAGGTGATACTGGATGCGGACCGAATCAATCCGGGGCAGGCCAACGTCGGGTTCGATTTCACCGGGTTCTACCAGCGTGGCGGCAAGATCATTCAATATCACGGCCTTGCGGATGGTCTGATTCCTACGCCGAGCTCCGAACTTCTCTATAAGAACATCTGGAGAACCATGGGAGCCGCAGGCATTCCTCTGGATAACTGGTATCGCCTTTTCTTAGTCCCCGGCATGGAGCACTGTCAAGGCACAGCGGTCAATGCGCCCTATTACATAGCCTCTGCCGGTCAACCATTTGCACTTGGTCAAGATGTGTGGAGTGTTCCAGGGTACAGCGACCCAAAGCATGATGCTCTGCTGGCACTGCTGGAGTGGAGAGAGAATGGTACTGCTCCTGAATCGATCATTGGTACCAAATTCATCAATGAGACTGTCACAGCCGGTGTCCAAAGGCAGAGACCAATATGCATGTATCCAATGCAGGCAAAATATAGCGGCAACGGTGATCCAGATCTCCCGGAGAGCTGGCACTGTCAGCTTTTGTACTAGAGGGCGGCAAGCCGTTGCATCGTGGCAAGGCTTTTCAAATGCGTTAAACAGAAGATTGTACTGAGTGCACAGAGTGTGCTAGCTGCTGTTTACGTAGAGTTCCATAGTCACCACATCAACTACTTCTTGTGGCAAACGCTGAACCACATCATTCCCGTTCTTCGCGGTTCCCAATCTCGGAAGGTTCCCGAACACAGCTGCGTGACCAATGCCAAGTATTGCAAGAAATTACATGTAGTCTGGCACAATAAGCCAAGTCAAAAAGCATTAAAAGAAACACAGCCTTCAGTCTCAGTCCATCGTTGCCATAACCGAGGTTTTCCCAGTACGTCAAATGAAGACGGGCGAGCGCGAGGCCCCTCGGCTTTATGAACAATTTATCGGCCTGCGTTCCGATCAAACTTCTGTAACCCACACTTGTAATGCGCTATGACACAGGTTAAGAGCAGGCCGTGGAGACACGCCACGTACTCAATTCATGGCATGAGTCTGGAGGAAGCGCCAAAATATGCCACCTTTCAATGTGCTAATACACAAGTTTGTGGCTCTTTTGACCAAGACTGTTGTTCTCAGGAGAAGGGATAGTCCCTTCTCTGCGACCGCTCTGTTCGTACGAAAGATTTGAATCTATTGACACCCGCTCTAATCTAGTTTGGTGGTTTCCACGACAGTGCTGATATCGCGCTGCACTTTGTCGACATCGATGTATGCTTTACCTGTACGAACCAGCTCGACATCAGGTACATCGGAGTGCTTCTGTCCTTCAAAGAGAGCGTCGATTTCTTCGAGAGTTCGACCCTTCGTTTCAACCCAAAAGACCACCTGACAGGTCAGCCACAAGTCAGACAAAGCAAAGAGAGGGGACTCACAATTAGTACCACCACTATGATATCCCATGACCCGTTGATTATGTACATCTTCCACCCAATATTATTCAAACCAATTGGCATAATGAATACAAGGAGAACGCTGGTGGAATTAGCGATTTGAATGCGATAGATAACGGCAGGTAGTTAACTCACGCGAGAGCATTCAGCATGAATGAGGAGAATGCAAGGCCGTTTGCCCGAATTGCATAGTTCATAATCTCAGGTGGATACAGGTAGAGCAACGGTGTCCATGCAATGGAGTAGAAGCCTTGAAATAAGAACATGACGGCCACGTCGCCATAGACGAGACTTTTTGATGCTCCATTAGGGTTGTCGGCGTACATCTTCGACAGCCCTCCAATAATGAATAGACATATGATGAGTAGACACTGTGAAAGTATTGCGGTAGGTTTGCGACCCCATCGTGCAGCCAGGTGTGTACCGCCGAGAGCGCATGCAAGACACCATACGTTGAGCACGACGTTCTGTTGGGTCAGCTGCATTCCCGCTGCTCGTATGGATGGACTTACCGCTTTGAGTTGATCATTCGAGTTTGTGATACCCGCGGTATCCAGTTCGGGGCCAAGGTAGTACGAGGCAATGATATTGCCTGCGATGCAAGAGAAAGGCCCTGGTGACATACCGATAAGGAGACGTTTTCGCGAAATGGGGTTTTTGATAGTTTCTTTGAATGTCATCAAATTCTCCTTCTCCCAGGTAAGAGTGTCGACAATCTCCTTGTATACTGCGAGTACAACGGGGTCACTCAGATCTCCATTGGCGTTCGTCTGAGCAACAGCTATACGTCCTTCATCATACAAGCCTTGATGTATCAGCCAGCGTGGAGATTCGGGACTATCAAGTCAGCTTCTTGTTCGTATCTCAGAAGTGGAAACGATTCGCTTACATAAATGGCAATATGATGATGCACAAGAGTGAAAAGATACCCTGGAACAGGGATGGAGCCCTCCAGGCCCATGTTGACTGCCACTGACCCGTACCCAGAGTGATTCCAGCCGCAATCAAGGCGCCGACAATGCAAGACAGTCAGAAGAGTTGTTGTCCTTTCAGGGTAGGCCAACCTTACTAGTAAAAATCATTCAAAAGGCCGACGCCCCATGCGCGATACTTGCTTGGATAGGTTTCTGCCAAGTAGACACTACCAGCGATGCCAGAAATGGCCGAGCCAAATCCCAGAACAATGCGAGCGACCACGAACATTGCAATATTCTGTGCGGCAGTCTGAAGCAAGACACCAACTAAAGTCAATACCGAACCCCAGAGCACAGCTGGACGTCTGCCGAGGCGATCTGCAATGATTCCAGATACCAGAGGCCCGAAAAAGCCGCCAATAAAGACGGAAGCAGTGTTGAGGCCGGTGGTGGCAGCATTGAGATTGAAATAATCCGTGTACGAAGGTAAGATGTTGAGACCATTGAGCATGGACCCGTCATAGCCACCAGTCTGAACTCTGTTAGGACGAGCAAGGAAAAGCAAGCCAGTTACATACCGCCGACTGCACCATAGAGCAGAATATCAAGAAGATTGAGAGCGTTACCGTCGATTGGGGCACCCAGGCAGGGAGCCAGGTACCCGTGGCAGTCCTTTGCAGCATCTTGTCGTCGTTTCTCAGTACCTGGCCTTCAAAATCACTTTGCCCAAGACAGAGCGAGAAGTCAAAACAGTGTCACTGAATACACATGCTGTGGAAACCCCAGTGATAAAGCACGAACAGGCGATCAGCCTGCCCCTCCATAAGGTCGTATCACTTGCCTCTCAGGATGAAACCCAAACTGATAACGATCTTCATGGTCGCCTCATGGAACATGGAGAGGCGGAGAACAGCGGCAGCGGCGAAGAGCCGAAATTTTGTATAGGCAGATGCCCGGCATTCCTGTAACCCTCGAGCCTTCTAAACCAAAGACGGTGGGGCAGGAAGCCTATCGTGAAGAGATCTCCAGGTGATAAACCATATTCGGCTGGGCCCAGGTGCTAAGCTTCTGACCAGTGTGAGCTTAGCCTCCATGCCCAAGAGCCAAAGATGACAGCTTTAAAAGGAAGGAGGATAACCCCTCACTCATGTTGGTTGAGATAGCTGAGGCAGAGCTGTCACCATGGTTGAGCGGCCGACTATTGTGATCGCAGGGCTCGCCTGTGAGACTTCACTCTTCACACCTTCCAGGACGCTTTCGCCTGCCTTCCAGGCCAAACGCGGTCACGAAATCATCGAGAAATATCCCTTCATCAACAAGGATAGCCCCCTGGGAAAAACAGCAGATTGGCGCGGAGCTCTGATTGGCCATGCGCTGCCAGGAGGGATTGTAACGCGTGCCTCTTTCGAGGAGCTGGCTGGCGAGATTATAGACAGATTGAGGGCGATTATTTCATCAACCACGATTCATGGACTCTGGTATGATATCCATGGCGCCATGTGCGTTGAAGGCTTGGATGACTCTGAAGCAGAGCTCCTCCGTCGCATCCGACAAGTCATTGGTCATACCGTGGTTGTCTCGGCGTCCATGGATTTGCATGGCAATGTAAGTCGCGCACTCGTGCACGAGACAGACCTTATCACCTGTTACCGCACAGCACCGCACATCGACGTGCGTGAGACCAAGGAGAGAGCTTGCCGCAACTTGGTCGAGCTAATCACAAAAGCTCCAGCTGGAAGGAGGGCGAATGGTAGTCCTGTGCTGCCCCTCAAAGCATGGATACCCATTCCGGTCCTGCTTCCAGGCGAGCAGACCTCAACCCGCATCGAGCCGGCGAAGCACATCTATGGTGCCGTTCCTGTTGCAGAGGCAAGGGGTGCTGTGATTGACGCTGCAATCTGGGTGGGATATCCCTGGGCTGACGAGCCACGAAACCGTGCGGTTGTCGTGGTAACGGGCTGGAATGAAAATTCTGTCAAGAATGAAGCAGAGAAACTTGCGCGATTGTTTTGGGATGCGCACGAGGATTTCGACTTTGTCGGCCCGACAGGATCCTTCAACGAATGCATCGACGAGGCTGTAGAATCGAAGAAGCGTCCGTTCTTCATCAGTGACTCGGGAGACAACCCAACTGCTGGTGGAAGTGGCGATATGACCTGGGGCTTGATGCACCTGCTGGCTCACTCCCAGTTCAAGCAGCCTTCTGGTCCGACGGTGGTCTACGCCAGTGTGCCCGGCGCCGAAGCAGTCCGCACATGCGTTGATGCAGGGATAGGTGCAACTGTCACCGTGACTGCCGGCGCCGAGGTCGATAATATCCATTCAGGGCCAATCACTCTGACGGGCCGAGTGCATTCTATCAAACATGGAGACAGGAATGCCCAAATCGAGGTTGTTCTACAAGTGGGCAGTGTCTTTGCCATCCTGACCGAACTCCGTAAGCCTTACCACCACGAGCATGACTTCACGGATCTCGATCTCAAGCCTCGAGAAGCGGATATCGTCATTGTGAAGATCGGATATTTGGAACCAGAATTACATGACATGGCTGCTGATTGGAGACTTGCTCTCTCGCCTGGTGGTGTGGATCAAGATCTGAAGAGACTTGGGCATACCCGCATCCACAGACCCATGCATCCCTTTGACAACTTCGACAAAACACCAGACCTCTCGGCTCGAATCATTCCACCTTCACACGAACCCCTTTGTGGTCCAGACGAATGACTTTCCAGCTGCCCGACCAAGTTCAGCGCCTGAGGCCGATCTAGTCCGTCATTGCCTGTTCTGTGTATTATGTCGTCGTCCGGCGCGGGCAGTTGGTCGCTGACTTCAAGGATTGGGAAGGACAATGAGACAACACAATATAGCTCCCGGTCGTCTACTCCACGACTCTCCCTCCGAGAGAGGCGTTGGCCCCAAGTCTCGTTGCCCTACCGATGAAAGCCCAGCGAACATGCGACGCCTCCTGGCGTTAAAAGGTTTTACCGCCGTTCAGCAGTCATTGCATGTCATTGTATGTATTTCCTCGTCAGATGGTCCTCTGCGCCAAGCCAGGCCGGGGTCGACTGTGAAGGCTCCCGGTTCTCTCCGCAACTTCAAGGGGCCCTTTGGAACTGGATCTTGCCAACGAAACAGATTGAAAGATCAGGAGCAATCACCAGGGTCTCACACAAACAAATAGCCAACCTGGACCATCGTTGGTAGGACTCTTCTTTGTCGACACTTTGCTGCACGAGCCCCTGTGATCTAGCTATGAAGCTCCTCTATCCTACCTCCTTGAAGCTTGACGTAACAAGTCTTGAAGGATTTGGCGTCACTCTCCACCCCTACGATGTTCACAAGCCAATCCCCGAGGAGCTCACCGACGCAGAAATTCTTGTGACTTGGGCAAATACCAATCTTCGTGATGCCGCCAGACGGATGGGCAACCTTCGCTGGATCCAGTCGCTCTTTGCTGGCCCCAACGACGAGCTCTCAGCTGGCTTCCCACCCAATGTTATCATGACCGCTGGCACTAATCTGCACAACGAGACCGTTGCGGAGCATGCACTTGCACTGTTGCTCAATGCCGCTCGCCGTCTTTTCGAAATGCGGGATTACCAAAACCGGGGCAAGTGGCCAGGACACCTGGGTGGGTTTCTCCCCGACCGCCCCAAGGGGTCGTTTACTTCATTGAAGGGTGCCAATATTCTCATCTGGGGCATGGGAAATATTGGTCGCACACTCGCGCCACACCTGACAGCCTTGGGCGCCAATATTCGGGGCGTTGGGCTTTACGAAGAAATCATTGACGGGATCCAAGTTCAGACCAACGCAGCCTTGCCCAAATTGCTCCCACAGACTGATGCCCTGATCATGATCCTACCGGGCTCGAAAGCGACCTGGCATTCTCTTAATGCGGAGCGACTTGCAATGCTGCCTAGACATGCCTGGGTGGTCAACGTTGGGAGGGGTGTCTGTGTGGACGAAGATGCACTCGTTCATGCCCTTCACAATGGAATAATTGGTGGTGCAGCTCTGGATGTCTTTCACAAAGAGCCACTCCCCGACTCATCTCCTCTTTGGAAAGCACCAAATCTGATCATATCGCCACATGCTGCTGGAGGCAGACCACGCTACTCGGAAGTGCTTATTGCGGAAAACTTGCGGCGTTTCCTTGCAGGACAACCACTCAAGCACGACGTGACTTCAGGGGGGATGTACGCTACCACTGCCCCAGGGAAGAAATCAACGCTCAAGGCCGTGCTCTAGACCCAAGAGATAGAAGCAGCTCAAGACCAAAGATAAGGAAGGGGAGAAAATGCACGGGAAATATGGACTAACGAGTTGACTCAGACGGAACAAACACGGCTGACCATCTCCGAGTGGAGTGGAACTGAAATATCATTGTGTATCCCGCGTCTTTGTGCATTGAACTTCGCAAGCGGACAGCTCTACCCTTGTCCTTGTCAAGAAAGGCTGCCTCGCGCTCTTCTTCTGCTTACAACGGCTTCGTCCTTGTGGTCCCCCCCCAGTCATGCTGGGAGCATTCAGTCATCAATCTGCATGATACCAAAAAGAGGACTTCCTCCATATTCCGAATTCTCCCACTACCCATGAGCTTGGATGTTCTCTCAATGTTTTGCCGAGGGGAGTTGGCAGCCAAAGTCGGCACGTCAAGGACATCGGACCGCTCATACGAATTATGTCCCCACTAAACGAGCTGTTCTACGGGACAATCCTGTTCTATCTGTGGCGTGCTACAGTGTCATTTGACTGGCGCGAGTCCTCATTCATTTGACTACGTTGCTGGCCATCAACCCTGGTAGACCTGAAAGAACCTTGCAACCGAAGATACGGCATTCAGCACCAATGGTTGCGGTATGAATACAGGCACACTAGAAACATTGGTAATTATTCCTTGAGACTATGCTTGAAAACATCCATGAAAATGTGCCATCGGAGGAAGTCCGTCATCACATAGGGTTTCAGAAGAGGTACGTTGCATTTGGGCGACGCATATGGTTCAAGCAACTGCAACTAGCTTCGCAAAAGATGCGAAAAGAGGCCCGTTTCAAAACTTCCACGTTCAGCGAATTAAACGAAGGTTCTCCACAATCCAAGACGGCTGAGTGAGAGCAGGTCTCAAGTAAGCACGGGCTGCTTGGATAATACCGCTTCAATGTCGTCCAAATCACCCACGCTCCGCTTCGTATATCAGAATATCTCCAACCTGGCGAAAATTCCCCGGATGCATCACGATATCTGTTTACCCCTGCTTACCTGAAGCTGCTAGAAGAAGAATAGTCATCGGGGGGAAATTGCGGGGAAAGTGTTTAATTTACAACGTACGGGGTGTATGTTATCATTGTCTGGAGTACTTTGCATGCACTAGTTGACTACACAGTGGATGAGTCTCGACACCATCCTTCAATGCTCCCGGAATGATCAGCCTTCACACCATTCAAGGCGCCACAAGACCTCCTTGTGTTATTTTCTAGCTCCACTACTTGAGAGACTTATCACGGTAATTCACCTATCTCACATATCGCACCAGATCGCGAGAAGAGCTCCACTATAGAAGAGGAAAACATTCTACTAAGACATGCTCTTTTCTTTTGGCAGTTCCGGTTTCATCCGAAACCATTTCGGTCTTGTGGCCTCTATCTTCAGAAGCAAGGAGTCGGTGTAAGCTCTACGTGCTGGACGTTGCTCACTATGCACGGCAGAATATTTATCCCAGATACACCCCTGAGAACTCCGAACGGGGTGGTTGCCAGAAGATCCTATAACTCCACATTCAGGTAGGCCCCGGGAATATCGCACGCGGTTCCAATATCACATTGATATCAAAATCGATTTTGGAGACAAATCTACACTTGATCCCCAGGACACGTTTTTCTGCTCACAGCAATACCCTCGTTGTCCATGGTGTATGAGCCTACGCTTGAAATCTATCCCTTTTCAACCAAGCTGCTTCTGCTTGCATCTGAAAACGAGAGCGAAATGGATTCGCAGATCCGGACTAGTCCTATTCTCCTTGCCCCGGGCCCAACTGAAGTTGACCCGAAAGTCCTCAGGGCCATGTCGTCTTTTGCGGAATCACATTTTGCTCAGCCATTTTGCAACACATTTGGAGATGTGTTGACAATGCTCCGCAAACTTTTCCAGAGTGAAGATCCAAATGCCCAACCATTTGTCATTGGTGGTAGCGGTACCCTCGGCTGGGACTTTGTTGCAACGAATTTCATTGAACCTGGAGAGCCAGTTCTTTGTCTCAGTACTGGGTACTTCTCGGATGCCTTTGAGATGTGCCTCGCCACTTACGGAGCCCACACAAAGAGAATGACGGTTCCAATTGGAGGGGCACCAAACATCGAAGAAGTTGAGAAAGAGTTGAGAAAGGTTCGATACAAAGCTTTGGTTGTTACCCATGTTGATACTTCGACTGCGGTTTTGACGCCGTTGAAGCCTCTTTCGGAACTGCTGAGACGCGTTTCTCCCGAAACACTCTTCATTGTCGATGGCGTCGCTAGCGTTGCATGCGAAGAGATCCAGTTTGACTCCTGGGGTATCGACATCGTTGCCACGGGGTCACAGAAAGCCATTGGCTGTCCTCCTGGGCTCAGTATCATCATGGTCTCTCCGCGCGCTTTGGAAACTGCTAAAGCACGGAAAGCACCTGCACATACTTGGTATGCTAGCTTGTCGAGGTGGTTGCCGATCATGCAAAACTACGAGAAAAAGCAATCGAGCTATTTTGCAACACCTCCTACTCAGATTGTTCATGCTCTTCATGCCTCACTGACATCAATTCTCTCACGTCCTCTTGAAGAGAGATTTGAAAAACACCGGCAGAAGAGTGCCGATGTCAAAGCAATAGTCAAAGAATTGGGCTTGACACAATTAACGAGAGAGCCGGAGTACCAAGCCAATGGGCTTACTGCATTCTGGCTCCCTGAAGGTCTGTCCTCGAAGGAACTGTTGTCAAGAGTCACTGAGAAAGGCTTTACCATAGTTGGGGGCATGCACAAGGAGGTCGGTCATCAATACGTAAGAGTTGGACATATGGGATACAGCGTTGTGGGCGAGCCGGAGAGACATATTGATGGTGGTTTGAGGGCTCTGAAAGAAGCAATCACGGAATACTATGCCAGCAAGAGCAAGCACTTTGTCCCTCGAGAGAACCAGGAGGCCTCGGGCCTAGCAAGAGCAAGCTTGTAACGAACTGATTGTTTTCAGACATGCCTGCGGGGGACTTGTTGCTATTCTGGGGGTAAGGTGGGCAAGCCTAGCTGGTCAATTAGGGATCACTACCAACAACGATGGCTCAAGGGTGGCTATTCTGCATTCAAGATTCATTTAAAAGAGTACGTCCTGAGGTCGATAAGCGTATAGGCAGCGATGTGGAGACTTTTCATTATGACTGAAAATGAAAACATTCTTGAATGGGATCATGTGTGATTGTGAGCCAAACAGGTCAAGTTGAGCTAGTACAGAGCTGTCATCCTTACTTCCGATGTCTTTACTACTTTGGAATCGAGCTGCAGGAGATATAGTTCAGTACAAGTGCTTTAACTCACTGCTCTGTACATTCCACCATCACCTATTATGGGGATGAATCCCCACAATACCCCTAAAATGGTATTGTCCTCTGTTGATAACAAGAACTGAGCTCGGTCATTCCGAATCCACATTCGGACCTCGGCCTACTCAATCCGGACAACTGACCACTCTCCTTCCTCCCGAGGAACAAATGTGCACCTCACGGTGCTTGGCTACGAGAGTTCGATATTTTCAGAATAATTAATTATTGAAAAATCTTTTCCTTTCCGCTCATCTGTACCTTTTGACATATGACGGTGCGCTAATTGCGCTCTACTGACAATTCTAGTGGTGAACATGGGAGAGATTCCTCTCAAATGCCTGGCGGGCGTGGTTGTGAATGAGGGTCCTGACTTCCACATCGAGGTCGTTGAAGTCCCCGTCCCTGAGCCCAGTCCCTACGAAGTTCTAATCAAGCTCAATACGACTGGACTGTGCATGTCGGATGTGCATTATATGCTCAATGACCTAGGCGTGCCACCTATGTCACACTTTCAAACTAGGTCTCCTGGGCATGAGGGCGCGGGGGTAATAGTCAAAGTTGGGTCGCAAGTAACTTCCCTCAAAGTCGGTCAACGTGCTGGAATCAAGCCAACTTGGGATGTTTGTCATGCATGTGAGAGTTGTCGAAATGGCCGGGAGAACTACTGCAAAAATAGTGTCTCCACAGGACTGCAGAAACCCGGTCTGTGACTTCAATTATTTACAAGTAAGAGCATAGCTGATGGGAGCCTTGAAGGATCATACCAACAATATGTCGTCTCGCCGGAACGGTACACGGTGCTTATTCCAGAAGGCGTCAGCGACTATGTTGCAGGACCAGTGATGTGCTCAGCATCCACTATGCTGCACTCTTTGAAGACGGCCAACTTATCACCAGGACAATGGGCCGTCTTCATTGGGGGCGGAGGTGGCGTTGGCCTCCAAGGCGTTCAGCTTGCATATGCTATGGGCCTCCGTCCCGTGGTGGTCGACACCGGCGCGAAACGGGACGAGTTGAGTCGGAGATACGGTGCCGAGCATTTCGTAGACTTCAAAGAGACGAAGGATCCAGTGGCCGATGTTCTTACGTTGACTGATGGCGGCGCCCACGGTGTTTTCGTCACTGCCATTCAAGCCTACCCTTCCGCCATGGATTACCTGGGCGATCGAGCAGGGGGAAAGCTGATGTGTATTGGTCTCGGGGCACCGAAGCGACACACAATAACACTCGACCCAACAGCCTCGAATTTTATGCTTCGCAACCAATCAGTTACAAGCACAATCGTTAGCTCTCTTGGTGAGATCGCACAGGCCCTTGACTTTGCTAAGCGTGGTGAGTGTCATAAGAAAGATTCTGCAAGCTTTCATAGCAGTGGTTAACACTACGGACAGGAAAGCTTCATCTTGATCCAGAGATTGTGGGAATTTCACAATGGAATGAATCGATTCAGAGACTTAAAAACGGACAGGTTGCCGGGTAATGTCCCCTTCCCGGCTCTTTTTTTCCCTCTCTCCAACACATCTAAATGAGAGCTAATGGTAGATCATCAGACGCATCGTAGTCGACTTTAACAAGCCATAAGCGCCCGGACTAGCTATGTCTCTTCCACAAAGTAGTTTTGGATAGTTGGTCGGTATGAACAGCTGATCCCAGGCTTGGACAAGCTCCAGCCGAAAATGGAGAAAAAGCCCGACTAGCAATCCACTAGGATTTATCCCGCAAGGGAGATATGAATACACGACGAGGTCCATCAGGCTTTGGCAGCGGTAGTCGCGGAGAATCGTGAGGACAGAACCAGTGCGTGCGCTAGACACCCTCTTCCTTACGAGTTGAACGGAGACAGACTCGTGAGAGCGTCATATGGCACCCAGAGATCTCTCTGATTGTTTTTGATTACTTTGTTCAAATTTCTACCTGCGAGCATATGGCATCCAACGTGAAAGTTCGATGACCGGCAAAAGTTGTCAAAATCCCTCATTGAATAAATCAAGGCTGTTTCATGCTTTGTGTTAGGTCCTGACGTTTGCAAGGCAGACTCATCCGGAAGTGTGGTATGTCTGGCAAGATTGTCTCGAAGACCTGACACGGAGCAGCTCCAACCGAGAAGATCCCCAGTTATAACAACAAATCTGATCTGATAGAGCCACCATGAGAAAAGGGCAAAAGAGTAAAAGAAGCCAAGAGCATTTAGCACGCTGATGGTCGAGATCCTCTGACATCTTATCTAGTTGGTAGAAATCGGCGCAATCGGCGGGATTGCTGTAGAAATCTTCCTGCAGGACACCTTCGCCACATGCTGCAAAGTCCCATGCCTTTGAGATTCTTGTTTCTGGTAAAGTTGAGTCGAGTTGATAAGCTGAGCTCGTAAACTGCGCTTGTTCATCGGACTCGAAACCTTCGCAGCCAAATGACAGGAGTTAGGCATTGTCGAGGAACATATCTGGTCTGATGTTCTGAAGACTTTTTGAACGCGATGTAGGTCAAATTCGAAAAGCTTGTCACGTTCTGCCCAGAGGGGGCGATTTTCTCCAGTGGATAATACCTATTGCGGCGCCTGGCAACCGCTGCTGGACGGGGCGCAAAAAGTACACGCTTAGCGTGACGTCGGTCCAGCTTCCTTGTAAAGGCTGACTGACCTTCTGGACCGCCCTTTACATCACCATGCGAAACTTGAGCGCATCTTTTTCGACAATCTCCTTCTCCCTCGCCATCAACTCGGGCATATCCCAACACACAGCGATGAATCGACCGGCAAGCCAATCTCTCTTCTTGCTGCCCAGAAACGCAAAGGTATCGCCAACCAAGTCGGGCGTATCATTGAGGAGACCTGTAGAATCAAGCTTCAGCCAGAGCACAAGTATTACAATCGATGTTCGACTCACGGTGCATATTCGAAGGTATATTCTTGGCAAGCTCGGTGAGCATCGACGCTGGATGCATGGAGTAGGCTAACAGACCCTAAATGACGAGTTAACGTCTCCTGTTTCCCCGGCGATGTCTCATTCGGCTCCTTTTTCCCAGCCAGATATGACCAGCACGCACAGAAGCACAACTCACCTGGTCACCATAGTCCTGCATCAGGAATTCGGCGAAGCGAACGACAGCAAACTTAGTCGTCTGGTAGGAACTCGCACCTGGGGTGAGGATGTGGGCACCCAGGCTGCTGATGGCGACGAAGGTCTTATCGCCGCCGCAGCGCAGCAGTAGGGGTAGGAAGGCTTTGGCAATCCAGTAAGTGCCGCGGATATTAATCTCCCAGGCGTACCAATAATCAGTCTCGTCACCCTCAAGAAGTGGCAAGAATGGTGGCAGGAAGCCGGCATTGCTGATTAGAATGTCGAGCCGGCCCCAATCGCGCTCGAGCTGCTCTGCCGCCGCCGTGACGCTTGCTCGATCCTCCAAGTCTATAAGAAGCACCGTCACGGTCGGCTCCGGGTGACCCCCTTGCGCCGCTGCCGCCTTGACTGCGTAGACTAGGTCGGTGACCTCGCGTCGCATTCCCAAACCGATATGGGACGCACCTGCGCGTGCGTATGCTTGTACCACCGCCCGTCCCACGCCGCCATTGGCACCGGTGATTAGCATCGCCTTTCCCTTGCAATTCCATCCGGGGGAACCCCTGGTATTGATCGCTGGGTATGTATCATGATGCGTTGTCTGGGTAAAGTTTCGTACTTATCACGTCCGTTAGTGAGATGAAAAAGTGAGCAACACGGAGAGGGAACGTGCTAGAGGAATTTTACCGGCTTGGGACATTTTATAGACAGGTGAGAGCGAGAAATCTTCAAAGGCTTGAGCCATTTTTGTCCGCTTCAGTAACTTGTATCTTTCAGAAGGACGAGATTTGTGGTTATGGCAAATTAGCTGGTGAGCACCGCCAGTCAGTCTTCACTCTCTTTCATTACTTAGTTTTCTGGGGCTGCTTCCATTTATGTCCCACTATCCAGACATGTTATGATGCTGTGTCTCTTTTAGCGGAGATAAACCATTCTACTCTGTAACTCCTGGGGAGCTACTCTGCAGGTCCGTTTTCATAGAATGCCTGTACTCAAATCCACCATAACGAATCGAGCTTTTACCCCCACGGCGCTACAAACATAGCCCCATCTCGGAGTTAAGGAGCTTCTATATAAGCAAACGTAGCTAACTCCGTGTATGTCTCTCCTCGCTGTACAAATCTGATCATCTTTCACGAACAGATAGGGATTTGATACCTCTGGATGCAAGAGTTAGAAAGTCATCGGCAGGCCCTGAAATATGTTCATACTCCATTGAATGGGGCTCCGATCTGCCTCTAGCACCGCTCTGATGAGAACTTCATGGCACGCGACCGTCGGCTAGGTCCTTGAACTCGTGCGGGTCTTTCCGCGGCACTCCAGCTCTCAAGTCATCACGACCAGAGAAACGGTCTAAGTTCCACGTCATGTCCTTTGTACCAGTAAATTCAAAGCCACAGAACCCGTTGCCCATGAAGCCGAACCTGTTCCCACTCAAATACTCGATCTCGTAGTCCTGCAAGAACGGCTGCTGAATCATTTCAAAGTACGACAGTTGGGAGCCGGGCCACATGACGAGCTTTCGCAGGTCCTTCGTTCCCATCTTGTACCAACTACTGCAGCCATCAGCCCAGGTGGTACGTGGTAGGTAGGCCCTTACGTGCCGAACGAAGTCGTGCACCGCTGAGGCTCGCGGAGTGAGGCGGCGAATATGCTGTATACGAATAGTCCGGATTATCTCCAGAAAGTGGTGAGTGAGGAGAGACTGAATCGGCAGAACCGTACCCTACGCCACTGCAGTAAAGGGTCCTCCGTAAGTGAAGTAGTTAGGAAATCCGTCTGCCGACGCCCCAAGATAGCTAGCAGGAAATTCGGCCCACTTCTCGGCTAGGGTCGTCTTCGGGTCGAGGCCTATAATGGGGATTCGAGGTCTGAACGATGTGTCAAATCCAGTAGCACAGAGGATCACATCGACCTTATGTTCTACTCCCGCGGTATCGACCACTCCCGAAGATGTTACCGATTGAATACTCCCAGGGAGAACTGTTGTCTTCTCGCCTGCTAGAGCTTCCAGATAGCCATTACCCGGGGTAGGACGGCGACAATTGACACTGAAGTTCCTTGGGAGAAGTGCCTCGAAGATATCCGGTCGGTGTCTCAATTTCTCTTTCATCTCCGAGTAGGCAAACTGTAAATATTCGGGTCAGTTGGGTCTTGGGCCCAAAAGTGAAATGTCCACGACTTACAGCATTTTCGTCCGATTCAGCTGTCTCGGAGGAGCGTTCTGAATCGGTTGTTTAAATGGTTCTCGATCGTCTTGTGGTATCGGTGATACTTCACTGGATCGCGAGCACATTCTGCCTTCTGCTCCTTTGTGTCTGCGCATAATGTCAGCCTTAGTAACGGAGAACTCGTCACAAGTGGGTTTCACATTTAAATTGTTGCCCTGCCTTACTGCCCTTTGCCTGGCCAATGGCAGCAATGATCCAGGTTGGACTTCGAACCCAGGTTACTAACTTAGATGCGTGCTTGTAAACTTCGGCAACAGCTTGGACCCCAGAGCTACCATTGCCTATCACAGCGACAAACTTCCCCCTGAGATCAAAACCTTCGTTGTAAGTTGCGGTGTGGAAGAGATCACCTTTGAAGGAGTGGAGCCTGGGAATATCAGGCCATTTCCAAGCGCTATTTTTTCACGGGTTAGTTACAGTTCCTGCGGATTCCTGTGAAGGATCACTTACTTTAAGAACCCACAACCATTCAAGAGAAGGCCGCAGTCCTCTTCCCACTCTTGTGGATCTGTTGGTCTTTCCGGGGTGTAAAGTCTCCGTAGTTTGACCACCCATTTGCTGTTTACCTCGTTCCAACTCGCGGTCATAACCTGAGTCTATAGCAGGATGTATTTCATCATACCTTCTTCCTCGACTATGTTTTTCATGTATTGCCAAATCTCCTGGGATGAAGAGTAAAAGTGGGACCAAGATGGGTTCATTCGCCATGCGAAACTATATGAGATGCTCGGAACATCGCAAGCGCACCCAGGGTAGCGGTTTTCGTACCACGTTCCTCCAACGTCGGCATTCTTCTCATAGCAAACGATTTCAACATCAAGTTCTCTAAGCGCTGACGGAGCAAAATGGAGGAAGCCAATACCGGCGGAGCCTGCGCCCATGAAAATGATCTTGAAAGGCTTCTTTCCCGGAGCAGCTCGTTGATCATGATATCGCCCACAACGTAGCCATCGACAGGCTGATCCCATTCGGACCGATACATAGGTCGATTTCTATACCTTCTTCTCGGGCTATGGTTAGACACTAATACTAGGATAATCCCTATAATATTTATACTATTTAATAGAGCTTCTAAAGACAAATATAATAATATATAGCTTATCTCTCTAGGATCTCTCTAGCGTAAGATATTAAGCGTTAAAAGTAAGGCCTTTTCGTAGAATTATAGGAAGGTTAGCTAAGCGTGATAATTCCCCGCTAGAAATAACTAGTCTATTAAGAATATAATAATTCCCCGCTAGAAATAACTAGTTCGCTAAGAGCGTAATAATTCCTAATTATAAAGTATAATATATATCTAGCTAGCTATTACTAACCTAAAATAGAATCTATTCGCTCTTATATAAGTTTCTTCTATTAATATAACTTATAGGATATCTTTATATATTATTATATTTCTATAAGATAAATAATTATTTATTTTATTTATAAATATATACTAGATATAAATAAATCTACTAAATATTTATATATATAAATATTATCCTACTTAGGTCTTAACGTCGTCGTTCTATTAAAGTTCTTATAATTCTTTTATCTTTTTTATCTTTTTTATCTATCCTTATATTCTACTTCTTCTACTCTCTTTATATAAATATTTCTCGAGATTATTTATAATAATATTATTATCTACTATACTATATAAATAATTATTTATATTAATAAATTAATAAGATATATCTAAGAGATCTCTATATAATCCCTAACTAAGCGATCTATTATATAAGTACTATCCGAACTAAGTCTACTAGAATAGTCTATAAATAGGCCTATTCGCGATCTTAAAATCTATATTCTAGATACGTAAGTCTTCTATCTCGATAGAATAAATAATTACTTATTTTCCTATCTAGAGTTTATATCTCTATCTATCGTCGACTAGCGCGGTCTTTTCTAGCGATCTCTATTTAAGAGACTCTTATATTTTAGTCTTAATTATTATAATAACTATCTTAATCGCTAGCTCTATTCTACTAATCTTCTCGCGATATCTAAGTCTCTTATAATAGATATTTATAAGAATATCTACTAGCTTACCGGTTCGATTAAGCTCTATACGTTCTAAATCGAAGTGATTTCTTTCGGTATTTACGTTAACTAATATACTCTTAGTCTCCTTAATAATCTAGGTAAAGTCGAAGATAACTTTAGTCGCGATAAGTAAGTCCTCTAGACTACTTAACGCCTTAACTATCTACTCTAGCTCGTAGACTTCCTCCGATACTATATAGAAAAGTATCTATATATAGATAATTAATTCTTTTATTATCTATATCTTAATCGGGATCTTCTACTCTACTCTCTAGGGTTAAACCTCGAAGATATTATATAGGATAACTTAGAGAAAATAGTTAGATCTCGATAGACTATCTATAAATTAAACTATTAGTCTCCTCACTACTATATAAAATAAATAATTATTTATTTTCTAATCCCCGCTTATATATCGCCCTTAGGAATATCCCGACTAGACATAGGAGTGAAATGGAAGAATCCACTGCTTGAATTTCACTGAATAATTCTCCGACACATATACTAGTAGTATCCTTGCTTTCATTGCGATCTCTCTCCCCTTGGTGGTGCTAGATGCCGCCGAAGTTGGGCGCCTCGACGACGAGATCAGGAAGGCCGCGGCATACCTTCTAGTTTGGATTTTCGCGGTCATTTCGCGGTCGACTTACCCTTTTTGGGATTTCGCGGCCAAAGTTAAACCGCATTTAGAATAGTGCACTCTTTCGCTGCCTTTCCCCCCGTGTGACTGCGCAACTCTAGTTCATAGCAAAAAATTAACCTGGGTGAAAGGTCCGGATTTTGATAGCGCCGATCTCTCAATTTGTTGCCATACCTGATGGCACAACCAGGAAAAGAGGCAGACCATCTAAATATGCGAGCAAGGAAGAAAAAGCCCAGGCCGATGTGCGGCGGAAACGAGCAAAGCGACAACACGAGGCCTCAGAAAGACGTGCACGACAGCATGATCAATTTTACAACGGAGAGATTCCCTCCGTGACAGTGTCCCTCCCGCCTCCACTTTCAAACCGACACGCTCCGAACGATCTGCCACCTGTCACTGCTTTCCCTGCGGCGCAGGGTTTATCGTTGGACGATGACCACAATAATACTAGATGTGATGAACTAGATCTCTCACACCCACCTTCCACCTCCTACCCCCCCACTGGTACCGGAAGACCCAGACCCGCAAAACAATGACGTCCCTCCAACAAGTATGTCGCCATTACCTACCGGATTCGATTCAGCGTTCGGCTACGGCGTTTCGAGCAACACCATTCTGGAAGATGAGACAGTTGGGGTCGAGCAGCAGCATGAAAGGCCGGTCGAGAGTGATAATGCCAGCAACGCAGAACATCAAGATCGAGTTGAATATGTTGCCCGTCGGTTGGCAGATGACCTTATCAAGTTTCGAGGCTGCTGCTCCGATTGCCATGCTCAAAGAAAGGAGGAGCACAATGAACAATTCGAGCATCATGTCAGCCTGGCCTAGTACCTCAACTCGATGGCCGATCGATGTCCCGATATTCTGGGAACAGCAAGCATTGCGACGCGTCAGGATGACCTAGCCAACAAGGTCAACGCGGAGACGCGGCGAGAGATATTCACTAGTCTTACTTCGGATGATTCTGCGTGTAGGCCACCCCACGTGTGTCTCGAAATTGATGAGCCAGCGTCTGCCTCTGTTGGCATTCATTTCGACGTAGACAGTATTACAGGCTTCCCGAGTGACCTCGCCGTGGCTAAAGAGGGTGTTCGATGGCATCCCACCCAAATGCCTATCTCCGACCTCCAGTCCAATCTCCATCTCGATTCGCGCAAAGTGTCCTATTTCGACGAAGCTGGTCGCTTACACAAGGTCCGCCGCCCAGTCCACCAGATCCCGCACTACACTTTCGGTCGCCTCGTTGGCTTCGAAGATATCTCCCTCTACTTCCTCTTTCCCCATCTCTATCGAGAAACGCAACAGTCTAGCCGACTTCGCGATGAAGATTTCCGGATATGGATAGACGACATCTTGCTTCCCATCATTTACGAACATTACAGCAGTTCTCACGTCCAGCACTATCCGTCCAGTTTTGATCACAGTCGCTATAACGCCACTGCTCGCGGGGTAGAGCTTCGCGGCCAGCGAATTAACGCAGTGTCGCGAGAGCAGCAGCTAGTGTATTTTCTCCCGCCCGAATCTCTGCCTCAAGTTTGGCAGTCGACCTTGGTAGCCGTCCAACAGCCGGGGTTCCGCCAATTTCGCGACGTCACCATTCTACTACAGGCCAAAAACTTGAAGGTCCTAACAAAGGACACGACGTGGGAACGGATGATAATGCGATTCCAGCAATACTAGAAGGGTACGGTTAATGAGACCTATGTCACATCAGATTTTTACTTCGACATTGCCACGGAAATATGTCCTACCAAGGCTTCTCGTGTTGCGTCATCGGTACCCAGGCCCAGTCCAAGGCCTGAAGGCGAAGACGGTAAAGAGGACACCGGAGCGGACTTGTGGACAACCCTGCTGTGGAAGCGGTGCTGTTTAGAGTCTCGGAGATCCTGGATGCAGCAGGGTCCAGCCAGAGACCCAAGCCGAAAAGAAGTGTTTTACCCTTTCTGCATACTCCAAGACACCGGCAGTCTCACCGTGGAGTCGAGCCCCCGTTCTCGGCCGCGCGCAGCCGGTATTCTCTTCACTCAGGACTACCCCACCGGCATCAAGGAGCCCTTCGCCGCCGGTAAGGTATACCCGTTCATGAATAAGGCGATCGAGACTTTGGCGTTGGACAAGAGCCTGCAGCGAACGTGGGAGCTCGTTGGAGGTGGTCTCAGTCACAATCCCACGGCACTCATCAAATCCTATTTGTACACCAAGCTTCGTTATCATTTTGCATTACAGGGGTCGCTCAAGAAATCTTCTGGTATTCGCAGTGAGCACCGTATCTCCGGAGAACTATTCCACGCCCTCGATGCGCAGTTTCGCGCCCGGAGACGACACGATCAGCCTATCACATTCATACCGGGGAGGGAGGCCCCCTTCTACAGCTTCCGTACCACGGATATGCTGCGTTAGCTTCGCTAGAACATCAACAAATTTTACCTCGGGTTTGAAATGGTACACAGCTTTCAAGATCCACACTTCGTCACTTGGGAACACACACGTGTGATGCTCATGTTCCTCCGCTAGCTCTCATTCTCGTGCCCAAGCGATCTGATTCAGAAAGTCGGCGGATGTTGGCAGGACGTGCGATTTCAGCCAGACCCCCGGCAGCTAGATGGCCTTCGACGTGTCGAGGGTCTCGGCTTTCGGCGAACGATGGAAGAATTTGGCTATGCGTGGTTTCTCGACAAGATTGACTGGAACACTCTGACCTTTCGACAGCCTCATGCGGCTCACATGATGTTCAATAATCCATCGATACAGGCGGCATATCATGCCCGATACGGCCAAGTCCGTGACGTTCGCCTCGACTTCATTCGGATGGATAAAGCGCGGCAGTGGATAATCGAGTTCAGCGGCGTACCAGCATGTTTGGACTTTCTTGAGAAATACCTCCGCCAGCTTTACTTATGTGCCTTCCGGAAAGATGTCTTTCGTCACATCAAGTCGGTCCTAGATCCTGAGAAAGCGGAAGCCGCGCTGGCTGGTAAGGTGCCGCTATACTACGCCAGCATCAAAAAAGCTCTCAAGGAGAAGTATCGCCCACCGAAGCTCGCTCACGGTAACCGCCTTGGGGTGAAAAGCATGGACGTTTTATTTTCATAGTTATGGGAGTGGAACGATAGGCAATTCAAACGGGAAGGCTAGGATGACAAACCGTACCGCATGCTTTTTCGGCAAAGCTTCTACGCCGTCAACACGGCTCGAGGTAAAGCCAGTGCTCGGACGTGGAGGCAGGAGCTTAAGAAGTCGTTCGTGCGGAGCCATTTCGTAGTTCCGTATCCCCAGTCCAGCGGATTCCTACGTAAAGATAAAGACACAAAGGACTTTATGTAGTAGCCAAGTTTTCATCGAGGCCTTCACGCGTACTATCGAAAGTTCCAGACCCATACCACCCTCCCCGATCCACTCCCTACATCTTACATCAAGCATCATCCTAGCGACGGGTAGCAGGTCGCCCCGGACTCACTCCTCGACGACCATATACCTTATGTAGTGCAGCCCGAACAGCGGCTCCTCCATTTCTCCGAAAGTAAGCTCTATCAGGAGCTAATTCGCTTCCGAGAGGAATAGGTCACCCAAGGCCAGCCCGGTTTACCGCAGACTGTCCCGCCCGTCATGCCCGTCTTGGAATTTAACCTTCGGTCAACGGACTATCTCGGACCGACAGCGAAATGATGCTCCAAGAAGCGAGGTTAGGTTATGAAACGATTCGAGGAATACCGGACTGCCGGCGAGTGCAGCATTTTCCTTCGCCAGGAGCTCGAAAAGTACGAAGCTCTTCAGCATCAGCGACAGCTTCGACGCCGAAGTCGAAGGAACCCGCGGCCTGACTTCCACTCCGACTCGGAACCAGACTTGTCTTCCGCGTCCGCGGATGAGACATCGGACGAAGAGAGTCTCGGAGCCCGACGACGACGGCAAGGCCAGGTAGTGAAGCGAATGGAGACGAAGATGCGCGAACTGATGGCAGCAGAGCTAGAAGATTAGCGACGGCGACGAGAGATATACAGGCCCCAAGACACGGCAAACTGGCGAAAACCGAATGAGTGTCTCGAGAAGGAATATAATCATCGACTTCGCCAGGTTAAATCGTGATTTCAAGCATGGCCAATGGGAGTGAGAGGTCTCAGAGAATGGGCTTATATGTACAAGAATAACTACCTGTAAGATTGGTGAGGGATTCTAGAGCTGTCCCGACGAATATTCATTCCGCACCTAATTAGGTTATTATTTCTTAGCGAAAGCTTACGCTTCCTTGATAAGCCTGACGACTAAGCTCAAGGCGAAGCTAAAGCCCATTGAACGCGTGAGACCAGCAAACGCTGCCGTGAGGAGCAACGCAGTAAGAGCCTTGCAGCAGAATTTTCAAAAGTATGCTGGAAGGTTGAGGAACTTGCCGGGAAGGTTGATTGCGTCGTGTTAATTTATTTCGACCTGCCAGCGGTTAAAATATTGACGTTGATTGTGTCGCGCCGATTTATTTCGACCCGTTAGCGAGTTGAGCCCGGTATCAATTCTACCGTGTTGATTGGGGGTATCGGCCTCATTTCTCTCGATAACTGGTGGAAGATTCCTTATGTTCTTGGTCTCTTTGCCGTGGTGGATACAACAGAAGGTCTTGCTGAACTGGGGGTTCTTTGTGGAATGAGTTGATACAACGTCGAAGCCCTGGGTTAAAGAGTACGCAATGGGGCGGTTCTGACACTCTTCGACGGTTGAGAACATCTCCGGTGGCTGGAGCCTCGAGCCATTGCGCCGGGTAAGATCGCACAGTCTTCTCGAGTATTGATCTGAGATGAGCGGGACAATCTAGGTGCGCACGCCACGCAGAAGACAAAGGGATGGCCATAGAGCTCTCAACACCACGAATTATCTATACAAAACGGCGACAGCGAGGTTACGACAGCACTATCACAAGAGGTTGAGAGTGCTTGGTAAATATGGAGAGGTACAAAAATTTATGTGGTGGCGCCATACAAATTTTCGTACCTTTCCATATGCCAAGAGCCTTATGCCGAGGTTGGTGTGGTACGACTTTAGTGCCAAGTTTGGTCCCCGTATACGGCCCCAAAGTTACTAGTTAAACAAAATTCCCTACTCTGATTGGCTATTTCAAGCCTTAGTCTCTAATTAGTCTTTCCTAGGAAGGGCGCAGGCACCCGCCAAGCCCCCGCCAAGCCCCCCAATCGAAAGAAGTTTTGTACCCTTTAAAATCACCTCGAGCCGTAGTGGTGATCTAGGTATATAAAGTTTACATCTCCACGAGAATCAAAATGGACGCTTAGAATGATTTTAATTCAGCCGCAATAGAGCTCTTAAACTGTCACCAGTCCATCAATTATCCTCTTCTTTGTCATAGATATCGGGTTATCTTCTTTGGAGACCTTCATTCAAATTCCACAATACGCAGCCATCTATGCTCGAAAATTAGCGATCTCAAAGTAGCGGGGATTACAATCCTTGCCATCGAAGCCCCTTCAACCAGCACACTCCCGATAGATGTTTTTTACAAGGGCGAATTGGATTCTCTGGATGGAGTCGATACCGGACCAGACAGTAACATAATAGACTTGGTCAAGGCTACTTCGGCGACGGGAATCCAGGTGGTCCCGATTGATGTCGACCAGTCCACTATCCGTGACAGAACAGCCAGGGAAACCGCCATCACTACCAACATACTCGATTTACTCAATGGAGCTCCGGATGAAAAAATCGCAATCCTACTAGGCTCGTTCCATATTTCTCGGCAGCCGGGATATGCTGCTTCTGAGGTTGAAGCACGCGGCATTCCTTGCCTACGAATTTCCTTCTGTGGGGGACTAGATACCACGCCAACTATCGTGACAACCCCGGCTGCCAGAGCCGGCCTTCAGTTTCAGAATTTTATGTTGGACTTGCGGAAGTATGCCGGAAAAGGCCTTTGTGGGGATGATGCAGACCTCCTCATTCATCTTTCGCAGGAGGCAACGGGTCTCCCAAGGCAAGGAACTACTAATGGGAACTATTTTTTGTATGGAAAAGAGATCGCGGGTTCAAAATAGGGCAATTCCCACCATCAAGAATCATTATTTTGGTTGCTTTAGTTCATTTAGTATTGTATGCCGGATTGTCTCCATTGAGCGGCCGGACGACAGTTATATTGCCGAAGATCGTTGATCTCACATTGATCCTATCCTTATTTAGCCCTCCTCCTTATCTCTCCTGCTCCTTCCGCCTAAGTTATACCGCCACATTTAAGTCTTCCTCTACCTAAGCCTCCCTTAGGCCGCCTTACCTAGCACCCTTATTCTCTATAGAACCGCGCCGCCTTTCCCCTTTTAGCGTCGCTTATTCTCCTCAGAATGGCGGCGCGTTTCCACCAAAAGGCGACGCGCTTCCACGTGACTACGCATGGACCAGGGGCTAGCGTGTGTTTTAGAGAAGCGCGTCGCCATTTCTGAAGCCTCTGCATAGTCAGGAGGCTGGAACTGTAGTATCGATCTTCCATAATGGCTGAGCCGTCTGCGACTGACGTTGCCTTCCTTCGTGCCCTTGGTCTCTGTATTAGCTACCCAGAACGAATCCTAATATGCACCCATGACTGGTGTGGCTACGCCATCCAACGGCCCGAACAGCGTGCTCGTCGCCATTTATGGGAGAAGCACGATATTCCTAAGACATCACCTCGTGGTCTGGACTCTGTCATTAAGGCGTTGGAGCTCTCGAATCCTTGCTTGATCCCTCCTCGACCCAATGGATCATCCCCACATCCTGATTGGTGCCATCCCCGTACCTGAAATCTGACCACGGCTGGCGCTGTCGACACTGCGACGAATGGCTGCGTACCGACTGGTGAACTCAGTCATAGTTCTATGGTGGAGCTGGATAAGGATCTCCCAGCCTGCGGGGCTAGTAGAGCTCCTGTTGTTATCAGCGCCATACGCAGAGTCATACGCGGGCAAAGTCGTACATTATTCTGTCTCTTATAGAAACCCTTAAACAGCCGGGCAAATTGGGATGTCGAGAGAGCGCCCAAAGGTTAGTCCACGAGTCCAAAGCTCAGCTGATTAAAATCCATAGCCATACGGCGGGTTTTCCGGGGGCCAACGCTCAAAGTCCTAGCTCAATCGGACAAGGGATACACCAAGGTCCCACTTTCCGTCAAGAGGATCTAGATCCTTAGCTTCAGCTTGCGCTGCATACGGGCGAAGCACATGTTCAAGGTCTCATGTCACCGGCCCGTCTAGATCAGGCCAGAGCAACGGGAGAGTGAGCTAGAAATGCTTGAAAACACAAAGGGATTTGATTAATCACATCAGCGGGCATCTTGTAGGTCCAACGTGGTTGTGGCGTAGCTGAATGCACAGGTCGCGGTAGGATGTGAGAAAGCTCAGTTCGGTGACGGCCCGTTGGTTGCTGATGTGCTGTGAAAATTAGCGAGCTGAAAGGACTTCCCCGCCCACCTTCAGCCGCATGACTGCCCAACTGTCCGAAAAGGGTAACAAACAACAACATGGTTTTGATCGAACGAATGCTGGCCAGATGTGCTGCCGAAGCACATTGGCGTCTGCCGACATGCTGTGAGCACATTTCCTACCAATTCGAAGAGAGAGTGTGAGATGGGAGCGCGAGATGGAACTCGAGGCAATGTAGTGGCAGTAGTACACACGTCCAAATTCTCAGCCGCTTTATTAGAAAGGTCTAGACCTTGTGGCGGGTTCACGCAAACCAATCCCGTGTTAGTAACGTTTAACCTTGCACAAAACTATGAGGCTGCCAAGCCGTAACCCATCAACACAGCGCCTGCAAGATGACTATAAAGCTTGAGATGTTTTCCTCCAAGATTCTCTTTTTTGTCAGGAAGCTCTCAATCTTACACTAGTCTAGTCTCCTTAGCACTCAGCTTTCACTTTATTCTTCATCACCCTCTCCATAATGCCAGATTCATCTTGGCGCCTCGATGGCAGCTCGATCAAAGCCACAGTGTGGTACAAAGACAATGCGCAAGACAAATCCAGAGAGTCCATTCTCGACCTGAACCGCTGCTGCCGCGTGTGGAACACCTACTCTAATAGCTTCGAGCTCTCATACATCCCAAGGCCAGATGATCTTTCCAAACCCAATGACGATTATTTGTCTGGCAAGCTTACAGAAATCGACGGGATGAAAATCTTCGAGGAGGGCAACGGTGTCTTGCGTGCAGAACATACACCCAAGTACATATTTTGGAAGACTATGTACACAGCTCAATTCGACCTAAAACCGTTTATTCGCTACTCAGATGATGGCCATATCGAGTTTGTGCACAAGTAAGTACCCCACCGGTGAGAGAATATATATCAATGCATTGTGTTAATTTGGTATTAGGCCGTTTCAGAGTAGTGGTAGTAGTCTTCCCGGTTGGGTTAGTTCTATCCTCAAAGTAGTGGGAGACTATGGAAAAAGTCAGCAAAGGTCTGGGGGTGGGGGCGTAATTGGATCGGAGGTTATCAAGCAACTTGACAAGTTGGTTGATATATTTCAGGACTATATCAAAACTCAGAATATGGATGCAAAAGTCAAGGACTTTTTACAGGGAACTTATGTTGATACGAATGGAGATCTTATTCGACGTGGTAGTTAGTTTATAACTATCACGGGTACGTCTCTTTGTTACGGACTGGCCTTCATGCGGCCATGTCAGAGTGCGAGTTAGGAAACTAGAGCGAGGGGTGCAGCAGCCTATCCAAAATGTGGTTCATTATCCTACCCAGACTAATGATTGCTCCCCATACAAAATGTATAGAACCCCTAACCCTATCCAAAATGTGGTTCATTATCCTACCCAGACTAATGATTGCTCCCCATACAAAATGTATAGAACCCCTAACCCTATCCAAAATGTGGTTCATTATCCTAC